TCTTTGAGGGTCTCTTCCGAATCTATAATTCTATGATCGTATAACTGTGGAAAAATGAACAGACTGCTATCGGAAGCACACCACACCCTCTTCTCTCTCTCTCTCTCTTTCTTTCTCTCTTCCTCCCTCCTTCCTTCCCCCATAGTAATTATCTAATCAGGGCTCTGCCAAGGCAGCCTCGTGTGCGGTCTTCAGTGTGCCCCTCCCTGTGGCACAGCCCCGTCAATCTCCAAACCAACACTGGTTGGTGTCTGCTATTACTAATGCAGTTGCTTGTAGGTGCAAACGGACCTAACACCTTCATGCTATCAGATCAGAAAACGCAGTATGAACCATTAGATCCGTGGCACTGGTATCTGCGGTTTCTTTTATCCACGTCTAGTAAAATATGTCGGGTGTGATGGAATATTTTAATGGCCTCCTGTAATAATAATAATAATTATTATTATTATTATTTATGGTCATGTCAGGAGCGACCTGAGAAACTGCAAGTCGCTTCTGGTGTGAGAGAATTGGCCATCTGCAAGGACGTTGCCCAGGGGACGCCCGGATGATTTGATGCTTTATCATCCTTGTGGGTGTGCTATCTGATCTGCCTTTATGTTGGCATGGGTATTAGTTTGTGAGGGGTCGTTGCTCAACCGTCTCAGCAGCCTCCACGCCTTCTGGCTGCTCCTGCCCATGTCGACCTCTGTGATCAGCTTGATCCACCGTTCTTTCTTGGTTTCAGAGATGGAGGACACAATGCTCTGCGCTGCCTGAAGGGTTTGCTCACTAAATGGGTCTGGGACCATCCACTGCCAGAAGGAACAGAGAGTTTAATCTATGCTGATAATTGTGCCATTACTGCTCAAGCAGGGAGCTTTGAGATGGTAGAACAGAAGCTCCCCGAAGCTCTAGGTGCTCTAACTGCCTATTACAGGGAAAACCAGCTGATCCCTAACCCATCTAAAACACAGACATGTGCCTTTCATCTCAAGAACAGAGAAGCATCCCGAGCTCTGAAGATCACCTGGGAAGGAATCCCACTGGAGCATTGCAACACACCCAAATACCTGGGAGTCACTCTGGACTGTGCTCTGACTTATAAGAAGCACTGTCTGAACATCAAGCAAAAAGTAGGTGCTAGAAACAATATCATACGAAAGCTGACTGGCACAACCTGGGGATCACAACCAGACACAGTGAAAACATCTGCCCTTGCGCTATGCTACTCTGCTGCTGAGTACGCATGCCCAGTGTGGAACACATCTCACCACACTAAAACAGTATATGTGGCTCTTAATGAGACATGCCGCATTATCACAGGGTGTCTGCGCCCTACACCACTGGAGAAATTACACTGTCTAGCCGGTATTGCACCACATGACATCCGCCGGGAAGTGGCAGCCAATAGTGAAAGGACCAAGGCAGAGACATCTCCACCTCATCCCTTGTTTGGGTATCAGCCAGCACGTCAACGACTTAAATCCAGTCATAGTTTTCTATGATCTACACTCTCGCTGAAACACCTCAGCAAGCGAGAGTCCAAAAGTGGCAGGCTCAAACCCAGAACCTCAACCAACGGCTGATACAAATGAGAGACTCCCCCCTGGGCACACAGAAAATTGGGCGACTTGGAAGGCGCTGAACAGACTGCATTCTGGCACCACGAGATGCAGAGCCAACCTTAAGAAATGGGGCTACAAAGTGGAGTCCACGACATGCGAGTGCAGAGAAGAGCAAACCACTGACCACCTGCTGCAATGCAACCTGAGCCCTGCCACATGCACAATGGAGGACCTTCTTGCAGCAACACCAGAAGCACTCTAAAAGTGGCCAGATACTCAAAGGACATTTAATCAACTACCAAACTCACACATTTTGTATTTTCTCTGTTTGTTTGCTTTGTTCTGTTAGAAATGTAATATAATTCCCTGGCCGCCCTGACACGAGAAATAAAAAATCATTCTGGGAGGCTTCTCTCATGTCCCCGCATGAGGAGCTGAAGCTGATAGAGGGAGCTCATCCACCTCTCGCTGGATTCGAACCTGCAACCTGTCGGTCTTCAGTCCTGCCGGCACAGGGGTTTAACCCACTGCACCACCGGGGGCTCCATAATAATAATAATAATAATAATAATAATAATAATAATAATACCAAGAACAAGCCATTACAACCAATGCCATCAAAGTCAGAATTGAAAAGTCAACAATAGATCCCAAATGTAGACCTTGAAAGGAAGCAGATGAAACAACAGATTCCATCCTCAGCTGCTGCAAGAAGATCGCGCAGACGGACTGCAAGCAGAGGCACAACACCATTGCTCAGATGATTCATTAGAACTTGTGCCACAAACACCATCTGCCTGCGACAAAGAACTGGTGGGATCACAAGTTACAGAAAATGAACACGTCAAACTCTTCTGGGAATTCCAAATTCAGACAGACAGAGTTTTGGAGGACAATACTCCTGACCTCACAATCGTGTTTTTATTTATTTATTTATCGTGTCATCAGCAACCATTGTATTACAATTCTAACAGAGCAAAACAAACACAGAGATTAAAAAGGAAAAGGGGGAAAAAACACAGAGATTTTGCAAATTTGGTATTTGGTTAAATGTCCTTTGACCAGTATCTGGCCACTTCGAGTGCCTCTGGTGTTGCCGCAAGAAGGTCCTCCATTGCGCATGTGGCAGGGCTCAGGTTGCATTGCAGCAGGTGGTTAGTGGTTTGTTCTTCTCCACACTCGCATGTCGATGATTCCACTTTGTGGCCCCATTTCTTAAGATTGGCTCTGCATCTCGTGGTGCCAGAGCGCAGTCTGTTCAGCGCCTTCCAAGTCGCCCAGTCTTCTGAGTGCCCAGGGGGGAGTCTCTCATCCGGTTTCAGCCATTGATTGAGGTGCTGGGTTTGGGCCTGCCACTTTTGGACTCTCACTTGCTGGGGTGTTCCAGCGAGTGTCTCTGTAGATCTTAGAAAACTATGTCTTGATTTAAGTCGTTGACGTGCTGGCTGATACCCAAACAGGGGATGAGCTGGAGATGTCTCTGCCTTGGTCCTTTCACTATTGGTTGCTACTTCCCGGCGGATGTCAGGTGGTGCAATGCTGGCTAAGCAGTGTAATTTCTCCAGTGGTGTAGGGCGCAGACACCCTGTGATAATGCGGCATGTCTCAATAAGAGCCACACCTACTGTTTTAGTGTGGTGAGATGTGTTCCACACTGGGCATGCGTACCCAGCAGCAGAGTAGCATAGCACAAGGGCAGATGTCTTCACTGTGTCTGGTTGTGATCCCCAGGTTGTGCCAGTCAGCTTTCGTATGATGTTGTTTCTAGCGCCCACTTTTTGTTTGATGTTCAGGCAGTGCTCCTTGTAGGTCAGAGCACGGTCCAAAGTGACTCCCAGGTATTTGGGTGCTGCAATGCTCCAGTGGGATTCCTTCCCAGGTAATCCTCAGAGCTTGGGATGCTTGTCTGTTCTTAAGGTGAAAGGCGCATGTCTGTGTTTTAGATGGATTAGGGATCAACAATCGTGTTAAAAAACAAAGTATGGATTGTCGATGTTGCAGGTGACAGCAAGATTGAAGAGAAACAACTGGAAAAGCTGACACGATATAAGGATTTAATGATAGAACTGCAAAGACTCTGGCACAAGTCAGTCAAGGGGGTCCCCGTGGTGATCAGCACACTGGGTGCAGTGCCTAAAGACCTTGGCCTGCACTGAAAAACAATCAGCGCTAATAAGATTACCATCTGTCAGCTGCAGAAGGCCATGTTACTGGGATCTGCACGCATTATTCGCTGATACATCACACAGTCCTAGACACTTGGGAAGTATCCGCTGTGTGATCCAATTCAACAGCCAGCAGAGTGTCTGCTGTGGACTCCTCTTGTTGTGTTTCAAATAATAATAATAATAATAATAATAATAATAATAATAATAATAATATGGCCTGATTCTGGCAGCCCAAGAACAAGCCATTCGAATCAATATAGATATGGTGGTGATGATGATGCCCAAAAAAGTGGGATGCAAATGTATAATGCAAACGATGACTTGGCTTATAATACAAAGAATGAACGTGGAAGGAATGAACATATGGGATTCATACCATTGCTAGAAACCATTGTTGAGAAACAAAACACAGTATTCCTTGGACTTTTCCTCATCTTTCTTGCCTTCCTATGAGGAGCGGCTTAAGGAGCTGGGCATGTTTAGCCTGAAGAAGAGAAGGCTGAGAGGAGATATGATAGCCATGTATAAATATGTGAGAGGAAGCCACAGGGAGGAGGGAGCAAGCTTGTTTTCTGCTTCCCTGGAGACTAGGACACGGAACAAGATAGCAGTTCGGTTAGGAATCAAGCACAGAAAAATATGAAATTGAAACGGGGCCGATCCGCCATTTTGAGATTTTAGCGGATACAGGGGTCCAATAGGAAGGCCTCCGTATCCGCAGTTTTAACGGACGCAGATTCTGCCTCCCCGGGACGCCCAGAAGGCATCCCAGGCGGGCTCGCGGCTGCCCGGAGCCCGGAAAGAAGTTTATTTCAGGTCTGAGTTAGTTTGAGGCAGGGGAGGATACAATGTATCAAGCGAAAAGGTTAAAAGTTGCAAGATTCAAGTACCTCTAAGGGGCTGTGTTACAAAGTAAGGAGAGGGGAAAGTAAGGGGAGACTGAATGCAGTTCTGGCTTTGAGCTGCCTGTTGGGGCACATTTCATCAGTTGGTCCCAAACTTGGCTTCCAGGAACTGTGGAACTCTCCGCTGCAGTTCACACCAACTTGAAGGTGGGGGTCTCCGCCGCTGTCGGGGACAGAACTCTCTGCCCCGGAGTGTGGTGGAGGCTCCTTCTTTGGAAGCTTTTAAACAGAGGCTGGATGGCCATCTGTCAGGGGTGATTTGAATGCAATATTCCTGCTTCTTGGCAGGGGGTTGGACTGGATGGCCCATGAGGTCTCTTCCAACTCTTTGATTCTATGATTCTATGATTCCTTAGTCTTGGTCTCTCTCCTTCTAGGTGACTGCTGGCTCCTTGCGGCCATTGCCTCCCTCACCCTGAATGACCCCCTTCTCCATCGCGTTGTCCCTCATGGGCAGAGCTTCCAAAACGGCTACGCAGGGCTCTTCCATTTCCAGGTGAGTGTTGCTCTTAGTTGTAATATAATGTAGGGTGCTTTGACCAGTTTGGATGCTTTCACCTTTCTCTGGACTCCTTCTAGTTTGTCAATATCCTCGAATTGTGCCCAGAACTGGACACAGGGTTATTCCAAGTGCTTCTGACCAAAGCAGATGAGAATGGGACTATGACTTCCCTCAAGCCTAGATCCTACACTCCTATTGATGCAGCCTTGAATCACATTGGCCTTTTCCCCTTACTTACTTAGGCGATCCCTCGTAGTCCAAGGATGATGGTCCTCCAAGCTCGGTTTTCTGGCGGTGGTTCCGTAGGTGACTGTGGAGCCCTATTCTTTATCTGCATCTTCTCCCACAGTGAGGGCATCGGTTTCCGGTCAGGGTTAGCTTGACGCGCCTTCCTCTTGGCACGTTTCTCTCTTTCACCCTCCATTCATGCCTCTTCAAATTCTACAGCACTGCTGGTCACAGCTGACCTCCAACTGGAGCGCTCAAGGGCCAGGGCTTCCCAGTTCTCAGTATCTATGCCAGAGTTTTTAAGGTTGGCTTTGAGCCCGTCTTTCAATCTCTTTTCCTGCCCACCAACATTCAGTTTTCCACTCTTGAGTTTGGAATAGAGCAACAGCTTTGGGAGATGGTGGTTGGGCATCCGGACAACGTGGCCGGTCTAGCGGAGTTGATGGCGGAGGAGCATCGCTTCAATGCTGGTGGTCTTTGCTTCTTCCAGCACGCTGACGTTTGTCCGCTTGTCTTGCCAGGAGATTTGCAGGATTTTCCGGAGGCAGCGCTGATGGAATTGTTCTAGGAGTTGCATGTGACATCTGTAGACAGTCCACGTTTCGCAGGCATATCAGAATTGGCAGGACAATAGCTTTGTAAACAAGCACCTTGGTCTCCCTACAGATGTCCCGGTCCTCAAACACTCTCTGCTTCATTCAGAAAAATGCTGCACTCGCAGAGTTCAGGCAGTGTTGTATTTCAGTGTCAATGTTGATGTCTGTAGACAGTCCACATTTTGCAGGCGTATAGCAGTGTTGGGAGGACAATAGCTTTGTAAACAAACATCTTTGTCTCCCTACGAATGTCCCGGTCCTCAAACACTCTGCTTCATTTGGAAAAATGCTGCACTCGCAGAGCTCAGGCAGTGTTGTATTTCAGTGTTAATGTTGACGTCTGTAGACAGTCCACGTTTTGCAGGCGTATAGCAGTGTTGGGAGGACAATAGCTTTGTAAACAAACATCTTTGTCTCCCTACGGATGTCCTGGTCCTCAAACACTCTGCTTCATTTGGAAAAATGCTGCATTCGCAGAGCTCAGGCAGTGTTGTATTTCAGTGTCAATGTTGACGTCTGTAGACAGTCCACGTTTCGCAGGCATATAGCAGGGTTGGGAGGACAATAGCTTTGTAAACAAGCATCTTTGTCTCCCTACGGATGTCCCGGTCCTCAAACACTTTCTGCTTCATTCGGAAAAATGCTGCACTCGCAGAGCTCAGGCGGTGTTGAATTTCAGTGTCAAAGTTGACTTTTGTGGAGAGGTGGCTGCCAAGGGAGCGGAAATGGTCAACATTTTCTAATGTTACACCGTTAATCTGTATCTCTGGCATTGGAGTGGGATTGGCTGGCGACTGCTGGAAGAGCACTTTGGTTTTCTCAATGTTTAATGACAAGCCAAGCTTCTCGTGTGCTCCTGCGAAGCTGTTTAGTGTGGCTTGTAGGTCTTCTTCTGAATGCGCACAGATGACATTGTCATCAGCATACTGGAGTTCTATAATATAACCCCTGCCACATCACACTGTTGACTCATGACCAACGTGTTCTGCTAAGACTCTCACCATCGATCCCTGGTCTCTTCCAACTCTATGATTCTGTGAACATATGTACAATGTGATCAGTTGCATCAACTCACATAATGACCTTTTATGAGAGATTTAAGATGGTCTTTCTTTGTCCATGTAGACAAACTCCTTCATCAGCTCATGAAGCGAGAGCACACTCCAGACTCTGTCTTTCTTTGCTTCTCTCTCTGCTGCTCCAAGCAACTGCATAGCTCAAGCCTGAACAAAAATATAACAGTATCCAAAAGGCCCAGGCTCAGCCTGCTCCCCGGCCATTGCCCGACTAATCAGCTTCATGATTTCCTTACATGCTCCAACATAAAAGTGTCCTAGCTAACAGTCAAGGACCTGCTTTGCATTGTCCTAGCGGTTTGCAGGAGTGGCTTCTTATTCAAATTGTTTCTATCTTCGTAGCTGTGGCTCTCAGCCAAATGTTTAGCCCAAAGCCGATTCCTGAATAGAGTTCAACGCCTTTCCTCGCCTTTTGTGCACCCGCCCCCATCCAGCCCAATGCCTTTTAGCAAGCAGGGACAGCCTTGTTTTCTATGTTAATCCAACCGCTGAGCCTCCGCCCTGCTCTGGAATCTGACCTTTCTTCAAGGTGGAGGGGCGGCAAGGATACAGGTGTGGTACCTGGTGAGAAAGAAACCACCCAGCACCTCCCCGTTTGGCGCAAAGCCTTCTGCTTTCTGTCTCTGTTGACTTGTGACCACAGGGAAACCACCAAGGGTTGCCTAATAAAATACACCCTTTCGTCTTTCTTGCTCTGGTTGTGCTCAGAGAGAAGTTCTGAGCTGGGTGGGACCAGCTTTGGCTAATCGTTGAGGATGTTCCTGAGCAGTAACATGGCAATAATATATTGGTGCAACCATTGGAACCGCTTCCATAACCAGGCTCTGAAGACACATCCGTTAATATATACCAACAGACAGTTGATCAGGCAGTTATCAGCTCCATCAGCAGCGACGGTGATGGCTTTGAAAGGCAGCAGATCACAGGAACTGTCTTCATAGACCTGTCAGCGGCTTATGAGACTGTGAACCACCGCCTCCTCCTGAGAAAAATGTATAATATCACAAAGGACGACCACCTCACCCGCCTCATAGGAAACCTGCTACAAAACAGGAGCTTTTTTGTTGAGTTCCAGGGCCAGAGAAGCAGATGGCGGAAACAGAAGAATGGCCTGCCTCAGGGGAGTGTGCTTGCTCCATTGATGTTTAATATTTACACAAATGACCAGCCACTGCCAGAAAGGACAGAGAGTTTCATCTATGCTGACGATCATGCCATCACCCCTCAAGCAGGGAGTTTTGAAATGGTTGAACAGAAGCCCTCCAAAGCTTTAGGTGCTCTTACTGCCTATTATAGGGAAAACCAGCTGATTCCTAATCCATCTAAAACACAAACATGTGCTTTTCATCTTAAGAACAGACAAGCATCTCGAGCTCTGAGAATCACCTGGGAAGGAATCCCGTTGGAGCATTGCAGCAGACTCAAATACCTGGGAGTCACTCTGGATCGTGCTCTGACCTACAAGAAGCACTGCCTGAACATCAAGCAAAAAGTGGGCACTAGAAACAATATAATATGAAAGCTGACTGGCACAACCTGGGGATCACAACCAGACACAGTGAAGACATCTGCCCTTGCGCTATGCTTGCCCAGTGTGGAACACATCTCACCACGCTAAAACAGTGGATGTGGCTCTGAATGAGACATGCTGCATTATCACAGGGTGTCTGCGCCCTACACCACTGGAGAAATTACACTGTCTAGCCGGTATTCCACCACCTGACATCCGCTGGGAAGTAGCAGCCAATAGTGAAAGGACCAAGGCAGAGACCTCTCCAGCTCATCCCTTGTTCTCTGACTTACAAGAAGCACTACTTGACTAACAACAAAATAGTGGGTGTTAGATATAATATTGTACGAAAGCTGACTAGCATAACCTGAGGATCACAACCAGACACAGTAAAGATGTACACATAATAAAATAAATAATAAAATCTGATAATAACATACATTTAAAACATTAAAGGTAAAGGTTGTCCCCTAACATTAAGTCCTGTCATGTCTGACTCTGGGGTGTGGTGCTCATCTCCATTTCTAAGCCGAAGAGCCGGCGTTGTCCATAGACACCTCCAAGGTCATGTGGCTGGCATGACTGCATGAAGCGCCGTTACCTTCCCGTCAGAGCGGTACCTATTGATCTACTCACATTTGCATGTTTTCGAACTGCTAGGTTGGCAGAAGCTAGAGCTGACAGCGGAAGCTTACGCCGCTCCCCGGAGTGGAACCTGCGACCTTTTGGTCAACAAGCTCAGCAGCTCAGCGCTTTAACCCACTGCGCCACCAGGGGATCCATTAAAAACATTAAATCACATTATTAGATGTAAAGTTTCTAATGCTCTACCTTTCTCAATGCAGATCTGGCAGTTCGGCGAGTGGAACGATGTGGTGGTGGATGACCTGCTGCCAACGAAAGATGGCAAGCTGGTGTTTGTGCACTCGGCAGAAGGCAATGAATTTTGGAGCGCCCTGCTTGAGAAAGCCTATGCCAAGTAGGTGGAAACTCTCTCCGACGGGGTGGATTATATAATAATGGTCAGCCTTGGTTGCAGGAAGATTTGGGTTTGCCCCACTGTCCTCACTTTTCTCTGTTAAATGGGAACAAGATGGAAGTACCAAACACTCTTCTGCTCTTGCTCTAGGTTGAATGGCTGCTATGAGGCTCTCTCTGGAGGAAGCACCTCTGAAGGGTTTGAAGACTTCACTGGAGGCGTGACGGAGTGGTACGATCTCCGGAAGCCACCCAGCGACCTCTTCCAGATCATCATGAAGGCCTTGGAGAGGGGATCTCTCATGGGTTGCTCCATTGACGTGAGTATGCCCATAGTTTGGAGAGTCCATAGAGCAGCTTGAGGTTTCCTAGTGACAGTCCCAACTGCAGCGAATGTCCAGATATACAACAGCTGCCTTGAGCCATATCAGCAAACCAGTTCCATCCATCTGTTCCACTTATTTATGTATTTATTTTATTGTGTCAGGAGCAAGCCAAACAGTTGTATTGCATTTTTAACAAACAAACAAACAAACAAAGCACAAAGTTTGCAAGCTTGGTAGTTGACTAAATGTCCATTGACCAGTAGCTGGTCACTTGGAGTGCCTCTGCTGTTACTACAAGAGGTATTTTTAAAGTAAGGTCCGTTTTGTTGTAGACACTAGTAGTTCGCGCGCATACCGCAATGAGTGCGTGCGTCGTGTACTGGCATGCCTCGGGAACAACTGTGCTCAGTTTCCGCTCTGTAGCTAACCTGTACGGTTCTGTTCTGTGCTTTAAAAATGTTTAAGATTATCAACTCACCCTCTGCATGTGAGATTCGCTCCGTGATACGGTACTTGTCAGCAAGGAACCTGCCTGTTGCAGAAATTCATCAACAGATTTGTGAAGTGTATGGTGATACTGTTATGAGTGAAAGCAAAGTGCGTTAAGTGGGTACGACAATTCAAAGATGGCTGTGACAACGTCCATGATGAGGACCGCTCTGATCGCCCTTCTTTGATTACAGACGATTTGGTGGCTTCAGTTGAAGCAAGGATTCGTGAGAACAGGCGCTTCACAATAACAGGTCTCCCAAACGAATTTCCTGACGTGTTGAGATCAGTGCTTTACAACATTGTTTCTGAACACCTAAAGTTTAGGAAACTGTGCTCCCGTTGGGTCCCGAAAATCCTAACAGAGGACTACAAAAACCAAAGATTTGAGTGTGCGATCAAATCAAATCATCTGTAATCAAAGAAGGGCGGTCCTCATCATGGACGTTGTCACGGCCATCTTTGAATTGTTGTACCCACTTACGCACTTTGCTTTCACTCATAACAGTATCACCGTACACTTCACAAATCTGTCGCTGAATTTCTGCAGCAGGCAGGTTCCTTGCTGACAAGAACCGTATCACTGAGCAAACCTCACATGCGGAGGGTGAGTTGATAGTCTTAAACATTTTTAAATCACAGAACAGACACGTACAGGTTAGCTACAGAGCGGAAACTGAGCACAGTTGTTCCCGAGGCATGCCGGTACATGACGCACGCGCTCGTTGCGATATGCGCGCGAACTACTAGTGTCTACAACAAAACGGACCTTACTTAAAAAATACCCCTCATATAAGAAGGTCCTCCATTGTGCATTTGGCAGGGCTCAGGTTGCATTGCAGCAGGTGGTCTGTAGTTTGCTCTTCTCCACACTCGCATGTTGTGGATTCCACTTTGTAGCCCCATTTCTGAAGGTTGGCTCTGCATCTCGTGGTGCCAGAGCGCAGTCTGTTCAGCACCTTCCAAGTCGCCCAGTTTTCTGTGTGCCCAGGGGGGACTCTCTCATTTGGTATCAGCCATTGATTGAGGTTCTGGGTTTGAGCCTGCCACTTTTGGACTCTCGCTTGCTGAGGTGTTTCAGCAAGTGTCTCTATAGATCTTAGGAAACTATTTCTTGATTTAAGTCGTTGATGTGCTGACTGATACCCAAACAAGGGATGAGCTGGAGATGTCTCTGGCTTGGTCCTTTCACTATTGGCTGCTACTTCCCAGCGGATGTCAAGTGGTGCAACACCGGCTAAACAGTGTAATTTCTCCAGTGGTGGAGGACACAGACACCCTGTGATGATGCGGCACATCTCATTAAGAGCCACATCCACTGTTTTAGCGTGGTGAGATGTGTTCCACACAGCAGAGTAGCAAAGCACAAAGGCAGATGTCTTCACTGTGTCTGGTTGTGATCCCCAGGTTGTGCCAGTCAGCTTTCGTATGATATTGTTTCTAGCACCCACTTTTTGCTTGATATTCAGGCAGTGGTTCTTGTAGGTAAGAGCACGGTCCAGAGTGACTCCCAGGGATTTGGGTGCACTGCAATGCTCCAGTGGGATTCCTTCCCAGGTCATCCTCAGAGCTCGGGATGCTTGTTTGTTCTTAAGGTGGAAAGCATATGTCTGAGTTTTAGATGGATTAGGGATCAGCTGGTTTTCCCTGTAATAGGCAGTAAGAGCACCTAGAGCTTGGGAGAGCGTCTGTTCTACCATCTCAAAGCTCCCTGATGAGCGGTAATGGCACGATCATCAGCATAGATGAAACTCGCTGTCCCTTCTGGCAGTGGCTGGTCATTTGTGTCGATGTTGAACATGGATGGAGCGAGCACGCTCCCCTGAGTCAGGCCGTTCTTCTGTTTTTGCCATCTGTTCCACTAAAAGGAGATATTTTCTCAAGCGAATGCCTCTTCAATGCATAATCAAAGTAATACTTTGCATTAGAACAGTGAGAGCTCTGTAACAACAACAACAACAACAACAATAATAATGGCTGAATCTACACTGCCATATAATGCACTGTGTAGACCTATATAATGCAGTCTACACTGACCACATAATTCAGTGTAGTAATAATAATAATTTAATATCGTCAAAGTCTTTCATGCCTGGAATCATTAGGTTTCTGTGAGTTTTTCAAGCTGTATGGCCATGCTCTGCTCTGACAGCTGCAGAAGACCACCTTGCTGGGATCTGCATGCATTATTCACTGATACATCACACAGTTCTAGACATTTGGGAATTGTCCGACGTGTCCGACGGCCTTCTGCAGCTGGCAGATGGTAATTTTGTCAGTGCCGATTGTGTTTAAGTGCAGGCACTGCACCCAGTGTGCCAATCACTACGGGGACCACCTTTACTGGTTTGTGCCAGTCTTTGCAGTTCAATCTTTAAATCCTCATATCGTGTCAGCTTTTCCAGTTGTTTCTCTGCAATCCTGCTATCACCTGGGATTGCGACATTGACGATCCATACTTTGTTTTTTAACACGATTGTGAGGTCAGGAGTATTGTGCTCCAAAACTCTGTCTATCTGAATCCAGAAGTCTCAGAGTAGCTTGATGTTTTCATTTTCTGTAACTTTTTCTGGCTTGTGATCCCACCAGTTAGTCGTCGCAGGCAGATGGTGTTTGTGGCACAAGTTCCAATGAATCATCTGAGTAACGGTGTTGTGCCTCTGCTTGTAGTCTGTCTGCTCGATCGTCTTGCGCAGCTGAGGATGGGATCTCTTGTTTCATCTGCTTCCTTGCAGAGTCTACATTTGGGATCTGTTGTCGACTTTTCAGTTCTGGCTTTGATGGCATTGGTTCGAATGGCTTGTTCTTGGGCTGCCGGAATCAGGCCCTCCTTTGTCTCCTTTTTCCAAGTTCCATTTGTGAACCACATCCATGTTTTTTCTTTGTCAATTTGGCTATCAATTTTTGCCAGAAACTGGCAAAAGTGCCTTCTTTTGCCAATTTTCTCTTCTGCTCTGGATTGTTGTTGTTGTTGTTATTGTAACCCACCTCGAGTGGGGAGGAGAAGCAGGCAAGAAATTATTATTATTATTATTATTATTATTATTATTATTATTATTAAAAATAGCATGGATTTTTTGTGATATTCCCACTTTTTGATTATGTGGTGGACCTACTGTATTGAAATGGTCCTGTTACGCAACTTTTATCCCTTTCTGAAGAGATCATCCTTGTTAGATAGCATCATTGATCCCCTGTTACACTGTGTGCATTAGGCTTGGTTGATCAAGAAAAAAAATGGTTCTAAACTCGTTTCGTATATAGGGGGTGCTAGTGGCTCAATTTTGAAATTATTTCCAAAATTTTCTTTAAAAAAAGGTCAAAAATACCAGGAAATACGAATCGCTTCCTTTGTTTCGTTAATGGAAGATGCTCCTCCCTCCCTCCAGAACTATTAAAATCTCGCAGTTTCCCTTCCTTCCCTTGCAGCGAGCTTCTCTCGCCTTTCCTTCCCTTCCCGGCAAGCTGTCAGTCATGCAGAAGGAAGAGGTGGGCATGGCCAAGCACAGCGCTCCTTGGAGGTAGCTGGTGGCGTGGTCTTCAGGAACAGCTGTTCTTACCCATGCCCACCTCCTTCCTCTTTGCATCGGTGGCTTTGCGAGGTGGACGTGGCTACGCCCAGCTCTTCCGCATCGCCGCTTGTCGCCGGTAGCCACGCCCACCTCTCAAAGCCGCCGATGCAAAGAGGAAGGAGGTGGGCGTGGGTAAAAACAGCTGTTCCTGAAGGCCACGCCCCCAGCATTTACGATTCACTGCCGGAAGTCGTAAGGAAGATGGCGGACACGGCTTCGATATGGCAAAAACACTTCCGGGTTGCCAAAACGCAGCGATATCTCTTCTAAGGGTATTTTATTTACGATTTCATAACGATATTTGAAATTAACGAGCTGGCTCAACCAAGCCTAGTGTGCATCAAGTATTTCACAAGATGTTGCGTTCTTAGGGACCCTTTGAAACCTTATTATTTTCCTCTTCTCTTTCAACTCCCAATCCTTAATTCCAGATCACAAGTGCTTTCGACATGGAAGCGGTCACTTTCAAGAAGCTGGTGAAAGGCCATGCGTATTCGGTCACTGGCGCCGAGCAGGTAAGACTCCACTGTCTTCAGTACCTTTTGAGAAAGGCAGTTATTGTGGCACAGCTGGCTGGGTATCAGCTGCATTAAGATCACTAGTGACCGAAAGATCATGAGTTCAAAGCCAGCCCGGGTCAGAGTGAGCTTCCAGCCAATTTGTGTAGCTTGTTGTCAACCTTTGCAACCCGAAAGACAGTTGCATCTGTCAAGTAGGAAAATTAGGTACCATCTATGTGTGGAGAGGCTAATTTAACAAAATTTACAAGGTCAAAAAAAAAATCTCCAGCAAAAGCATGCGGGGAATGTGGAAAGTACTTCATCAGTGTCGCAGATGGACGGTGAAGCGACAGCTCCCCTGGTGGCCAGGAAACTGGAATGTTAAATAGCCTCTGACTGTCTTTCTATATGTGTTGTGTGTCTATGGCTGTAAGACTGTAGGATCTATATAGACACTACTGACTTTTTCCCACCACCACTTCCTTTTATACACCTTTCCTGCTCATCTCCCCCCTCTTCTCAGTTTTCTTATAAGAACTTGTTGCTTCACAAGTTCCAATACAAGGTTTCCAGTGCCCTCCGCTGGCTTCAAAATGTCACAGAGAGAGAATATTAAATAACCACTCACAAGCCATTTTTGCTTTGAAATGGATATATTGCTTGTATCTCTGTGATCTAGGGCTAAAATTTAGGGGTCTTTGCCAGGAGGCAGAGACCAATTATACTCATCAAAGAGTTCTTTTTCCCTGGTGAGAAGAGAAGCACCCAATATTTTTCCCTGATTTCCCAATGAAAGGTCTCACCAAGTTGAAGAAAAGCCATCGAGGTTTTATTTGCGATTCAGCGGAAAAGGATGCAGAGCTGCAATCATTCGCCAGCAGAGCATGAGGAGAATACACCAATACAGTCATATTTATAGTAAATTCAAAATTGCAGAGTTCAAACTTCCCACCCCAGCTTCCCTGACGTTCCCCGCCGTGATTGGGTGATGGGCGAACAGCTGGGAGGCGGCCCTCCCGCCCCAGCGCCTCTGGACCAATCAGGAAGCTCCAGTGGTCCGTAGGATCCAATGGGGAGACCTCTGCCACCTGGCGGCGACAGCAAATCAGGAGAGAGGGAGGTGGGATGATAGAACACAAAGGAATCTGGGAAGGAGTCTTTAAACAAAGGAAATGCCATGTGGCCTGCGAGACAAAGAGCTCAAGCAGGGCTGATATATTGTGTTCATGAGTGTTGCAGATCAACATGTGTAAAAATATCCAGATCCTTCCTGGCTGTGGGACAGGAGAACAATGAGGGCAGCCTGGGGTTAATGCTATCAATGGGAAATAAACAAAAAGCAGAGGGGAAGATTTCTCCTTATCTTACTTGAAGAGTGATAGAAACTTTGCCAAACAATTCTTTACTCTAGTTGGCCATCTCCGATGCTAGAGATAAGAATCGCCTCCTATTATCCATGCAAGTGTGCCTTTGGCTGGAGGTTTCAGTCATCGCGAATGGCTTTTGTTTCTGAAGGCCAGGTGGTTCCCTTACATACTTCTTTGGAGGGAGAAGGGGTCAGGAATACAAGGAAACATGAGGGGGAAATATAGAAATACAGGAGAAAATATGAAAATATAGAAATCATAATACAAAGAGTAAACCCAACTACCTTCCCCCAGTGTCCATAAAGGGAAATATCCATGAGGGGGAAAGGGAGTCCCTTGTTTGTGAGATGGGGCGCCATCAGGAGCCCAGGTGTGCCTCAGGTGGGAAAATTCAAATACTTTTGTGGCATCATATTCAGTAATAAATGGGTTACTTTCTGCTGTAAACATATGACAATAGAGCATAAAGCCTTGATTAAATGATTCCCACCAAACTGACCAAGGCTTAACCCTTGTTATCCAGCCTGGTGTCCTTGCCCTTAGCAAAACTATAAGTTACTATCTCAGGGGGGGGGGGTCATGTTTTCGACTTCATCTGCAGCAAAGAAAAACACTACTGACTTTTTCCCACCACCACTTCCTTTTATACACCTTTCCTGCTCATCTCCCCCCTCTTCTCAGTTTCCTTATAAGAACTTGTTGCTTCACAAGTTCCAATACAAGGTTTCCAGCACTCTCCGCTGGCTTCAAAATGTCACACAGAGAGAATTGATTCAGCCAGGATGATTCAGCCAGGATGTCAGGGAGGGAATTTGCGATGTCTTCATGCCATCAGAAATTGACTCCTGAATGTTTGCCATGTATGTGTACATTGTAATCCGCCCTGAGTCCCCTGCGGGATGAGAAGGGCGGAATATAAATTGTTGTTGTTCATTCGTTCAGTCGTCTCCGACTCTTCGTGACCTCATGGACCAGCCCACGCCAGAGCTCCCTGTCGGCCGTTACCACCCCCAGCTCCCTCAAGGTCAGTCCAGTCACTTCAAGGATGCCATCCATCCATCTTGCCCTTGGTCGGCCCCTCTTCCTTTTGCCTTCCACTTTCCCCAGCATCATTGTCTTCTCTAGGCTTTGCCGTCTCCTCATGATGTGGCCAAAGGACTTCAACTTTGTCTCTAGTCTCCTTCCCTCCAGTGAGCAGTCGGGCTTTATTTCCTGGAGGATGGACTGGTTGGATCTTCTCGCAGTCCAAGGCACTATCAGAACTTTCCTCCAACACCACAGCTCAAAAGCATCGATCTTCCTTCGCTCAGCCTTCCCTAAGGTCCAGCTCTCACATCCGTAGGTTACTACAGGGAATACCATGGCTTTGACTAGGCGGATCTTTGTTGCCATTCTGATGTCTCTACTCTTTACTATTTTATCGAGATTGGACATTGCTCTCCTCCCAAGAAGTAAGCGTCTTCTGATTTCCTGGCCACAGTCTGCATCTGCAGTAATCTTTGCACCTAGAAATACAAAGTCTGTCACGGCCTCCACGGTTTCTCCCTCTATTTTCCAGTTGTCAATCATTCTTGTTGCCATAATCTTGGTTTTTTTGACGTTTAGCTGCAACCCGGATTTTGCGCTTTCTTCTTTCACCTTGATTAGAAGGCTCCTCAGCTCCTCCTCGCTTTCGGCCATCAGAGTGGTGTCATCTGCATATCTGAGGTTGTTAATGTTTCTTCCAGCAATTTTCACCCCAGCTTTGCATTCATCCAGCCCCGCACATCCGCATGATGTGTTCTGCATACAAGTTAAAAAGGTTGGGTGAGAGGATGCAGCCTTGCTGTACGCCTTTCCCAATCTTGAACCACTCTGTTGTTCCATGGAATATAAATACTGTAAATAAATAAATAAAGTAACCCAGCTGAGCACCACCTTGAATATCTCGTCTTAACCAGCCTCTTTTCTTATCAGATCCCCTATCGCGGGCAGAGGGTGAGCCTGATACGGATACGAAACCCCTGGGGAGAAGTGGAATGGACCGGCGCTTGGAGCGACAAGTAAGCATTGCCTTTTTACAAACTATACATACAACCACAATCTTTTAGCCACTTTCATTAAAATCTCCACTAGCTGCCTGATCCAGTCTGACTGCTTCTTGTCACAACTTCACTGCCAATTGATTTATTACAGTTCTGGGGAGTGGAACACGGTGGACCCGTCGGTGGGGCAGCAACTGAGAATTAAAATGGAAGATGGAGAATTCTGGTAGGTTTTGTTCTGTTTGCTTTATGAATTCATTTGTGAATACATGTTTAGCAAGCACAAGATGTTCCAGATAAGCAATCCAATTGCTTATCTGAGATAGAATAGACCCATGGGAAGGTCATAGTTGGATTATTAGTGGCCGAAAAGTACCATATTCCTTCGATTGTAAGATACCATTGATTGTAAGTCATGCGAGGGTTGAATTAAAAGTAATGCCTCCACCTTGTTGTTTATAAAAATTCCCCAAAATCTGTGGATAAGTAAAACGTTCTGATATTTGGTGGGCTAAAAGTGGTAAATGTGTTCTACCACCGGAGCCAGTTTTGCTCCAATAGCTGTAAAAGTAAGGGAGAAAGCAGCCCCTGAATTTAATTATAGTAATTTAATTATGCGCATGCACCGAGCTGTAGCACAGCTGGTTAATCGCCAGTAGCAATACAAGGGTTGAATGAAAATTATTGCCTTACCTTCATAACTCCTCAACAGATGGCAGTACTGGTATGCGGCAGGTACTGGCTTGTTCAGTAGACTCTCCTCTACAGTTCCATTTTGGCAGGGAGCTTTAGCATTGAACGGTTGTGTTGTTAAAGTGCGAAGTATGGAACCCTGCGCAGACGGTCGGTCAACGTGACTTAAGCAATGTGCAGTCATCTAAAACTTTGGAGAACTTCTGTTCAACCATTTGAAAGCTCCCTTCTTGAGTGGTGATAGCACGATCGTCAGCATAGATGAAAACTGCATACCAATACACACATATACAATACAGTAAGCAATCTTATCTAAGAAATAACTAGTATAGGAGGCTTGTAGAAGGTTGCTATTTCCAACAAGAGAAGCATGTGTCCTTACCTAGATACAAAGGCGAGTGTGACTTCTGAGCTTACCATGTCTCTTTCCCTTCCAGGATGTCCTTCCAAGATTTCCTCCGAGAGTTCTCTCGCCTTGAGATCTGCAACCTCACACCGGATGCACTAAAGTCGCGCAAGTTCCGGAAGTGGAACACGACGTTGTACGACGGCACCTGGCGGAGAGGGAGCACAGCAGGCGGTTGCAGGAACTATCCAGGTAGGTATTGTCAAAGGCTTTCATGGCTGGAATCACTAGGTTGTTGTAGGTTTTTTCGGGCTATATGGCCATGTTCTAGAGGCATTTTCTCCTGACGTTTTGCCTGCATCCTCAGAGGTAGTGAGGTCTATTGGGTTTATATATCTGTGGAATGACCAGGGTGGGGCAAAGAACTCTTGTCTGCTGGAGCTAGGTGTGAATGTTTCAACTGACCACCTTGATTAGCATTTGATGGCCTTGCTGTGCCTGGGGGAATCTTTTGTTGAGAGGTGATTAGATCCAGGTAGGTGTTGGGAATCAGTCTGTGTTTCAGGATCCTGATGTGAGAAATGATGAAAGAAATGATGGTGCCGAGGCTGAGGTACATGATGGAGATGGTTTGGTCAATGATTTTCATACAGACAATGACAGAGAGGCCCCAGTGCAAAGGGCAGTTTCTCATGAGACTATCCCTGGGCCTAGCAATGATAATTCACTCCTCTCTGTGAGCTCCCAAGATTTGGGTTTGGAAAACAATCTGAGACCTGGGGATTTTAATGAGCAGCCAGATAGGGAGCTGAAAAATAGGTGGCTGGAGATTAGCCAGGAACAACAACAAACTCAGTATTTACGTCGCTCCGAAAGGCTGCGTCTGATGAAGGGAAAATGTGAAGGGAAATAAAACAAATTTCTGAGTTTTCATAGAATCATAGAATCAAAGAGTTGGAAGAAACCTCATGGGCCATCCAGTCCAACCCCATTCTGCCAAGAAGCAGGAATATTGCATTCAAATCACCCCTGACAGATGGCCATCCAGCCTCTGTTTAAAAGCTTCCAAAGAAGGATCCTCCACCATACTCTGGGGCAGAGAGTTCCACTGCTGAACGGCTCTCACAGTCAGGAAGTTCTTCCTCATGGAATCTCCTTTCTTCTAGTTTGAAGCCATTGTTTCACGTCCTAGTCTCCAGGGAAGCAGAAAACAAGCTTGCTCCCTCCTCCCTGTGACTTCCTCTCACATATTTATACATGGCTATCATATCTCCTCTCAGCCTTCTCTTCTTCAGGCTAAACATGCCCAGCTCCTTAAGCCACTCCTCATAGGGCTTATTCTCCAGACCCTTGATCATTTTAGTCGCCCTCCTCTGGACACATTCCAGCTTGTCAATATCTCTCTTGAATTGTGGTGCCCAGAATTGGACACAATATTCCAGGTGTGGTCTAACCAAGGCGGAATGGAGGGGTAGCATTACTTCCATAGATCTAGATACTAGACTCCTCTTGATGCAGGCCAAAATCCCATTGGCTTTTTTTGCCACCACATCACATTGTTGGCTCATGTTTAACTTGCTGTTCACGAGGACTCCAAGATCTTTTTCACATGTACTGCTCTCAAGCCATGCATTCTGCATCTTTGCATTTTTTTCTGCCAAAGTGGAGTATCTTGCATTTGTCACTGTTGAACTTCATTTTGTTAGTTTTGGCCCATCATCTCTCTAATCTGTCAAGATCGTTTTGAATTCTGCTCCTGTCCTCTGGAGTATTGACTATCCCTCCCAATTTGGTGTCATCTGCAAACTTGATGATCCTGGGATATAAAGTTTGCTTCAAGGGAAAACCTGTTAGATCAGGCATCATTTGGAAACCAAGTTCTTGTGCCATGGAAGTCTTGTTCAAGGGGTCTTGTTTCTGTTGAGTTTTTTAGCCTTTTGGATTGTCCTTGCATCCTGCTTGATTCCTGTCTGGATTAATGCTGTCTTCCATTGCTTCTATTTCTTGTGTGGACATTGCTTTGTGTTACTACTTTTTATGGACTAATTACTTTTCGGAACCTTCCGATTTTCTTACAAGCATTTATTTCTTCTGGCTATTTACTAAGCTTCAATAAAAGAAGATTTGTTGCTTCACTCTTCGTATGGTGTGTTTTAAGTCAGAGGGCTTCTTGTTGACCTGGAGTGCAACAGTAGGGAATGGCTTTTTCCGTGGACTTGGCCATGGTAGTCCACGCTCTGGTTACATCCCAAATAGATTACTGCAACGAACTCTACATAGGGCTGCCTCTGAAGACTGTTTGGAAGCTTCAGTTAGTCCAGCACTTGGCAGCCAGGTTGCTCACGGGAGCAGGGTACCGAGAGCGCACAATGCCCTTGCTACGCCAGCTCCACTTGCTGCCTATTAGCTTCCGAGCAGAATTTAAAGTGCTGCCTTTGGCCTATAAGCCCTTAACGGTTCTGTCCCAGTTTACCTGTCCAAACGTATCTCCCGCTATGAGCCACCTAGGACCTTAAGATCGTTGTGTGAGACCCTGCTCTCAGTCCCCCACCATCGCAATTGGGTTTGGCGGGGACGAGAGACAGGGCCTTCTCTGTGGTGGCCCCTCGGTTATGGAATTCCCTCCCAAATATGATCAGATCTGCTCCATCACTCCTGTCCTTCCAGAGACAAGTGAAATCCTGGCTGTGGGATCAAGCTTTTCCGGACTAGACTGATTTGCTGGCAAATTTACGGTTTTAATGGACTGTGATTAACTGCTTTTCAGGACTTAATTCAGCGATTTGTTTTTAATGTTTTTATATTGTTTTTATAATATGTCTATTTATGGCTTTTCTTGTTGAGGGCACCATGCTGTGCCAGTTGTTAGCTGCCCTGAGCCCTCCTGCGGAGGTCGAGATAGGACGGGATATAAATGCCCTAATAAATAAATAAATAAATAAATAAGTTCTGGTTCATACAGACAGTAGTTAAGCTGGGCATCCTGATGGTGCATCTATACCAGGCATGGGCAAACTTCAGCCCTCCAGGTGTTTTGGACTTCAACTGTCACAGGCCTATGGAATATTGAGTTTTTTTGTCATTTGGTGATGCAATATTCTTTAGCAAAGAAGGCTAAAGGGTTTTTGCCTGCCACTTTTGGACTCTTGCTTGCTCAGGTGTTCGTGCAAGTATGTCTGTAGATCTTAGAAAACTGGTAAAACTCCTGTGATTCCATAGCATTGAGCCAAGTGCAGTTCAAACTGCATTTAGTCTAAAGTGTAGACTGGATTCTGGATTCGGAAGGAGATTGTGAAGTGCTTAATTACTTTTAATGGTATATTACTTTAGTTGTGTTACCTATAAATGTAACACAATTAAATGTAACACAGTGTAAGGGAGCCCCCAGTGGCGCAGTGGGTTGAACCACTGTGTTGCAACCCAGGGCAGGAAACGAGACCCTAAGATAACCATCCACCACACTTGACTGTAGGAAAAACAATCCCATTTTATTGATGAAAAATGGTTACAAAATAGAGGAAAATGCAAAGTCAAAAAGCCACAGTAAAAATCAGCAATCAGAAATTTACATGAACTAGATCAAAAACCAAAAGCAATACTGTAAAATCCTGGAACCTGTTAGCAATCCACTAACTGTACTTGGAGCACTAGAAGCCTCTTGGGATGAAGACCACGGGAAACGGGAGATCTGCCAAGGTAATGTCTCAGTCTAAAACGATGCCTGAACTAAAGAGTCAACCCGGCGGGAGGCACTTAAAGCTGAGGAAACTGTTTCGTAACACGCCTCCAGGCTTTGAAGCCCTTGTTTCTTTTTCTTTTAATCTGCTTGACCTTCGCAGACTCTGCGATTCACTCCTGTTTTTCCAAATCTGTCCTCTTCTATCCTCATTAAGGATCCCAGGTGTTAGCTTCTCTGGAGAGCTATCACCACTTGGCTCTGCAACATTCTCATGAGAATGTGTACTTTCACTTTCCAAGCCTTCCAAGCCTTCAGGAGTTTCTTCTACTCAGAATCAACATTTTCATTAGCATCAGTAGCATCAGGAAATACAATCAGAGAATGAGGTTCAGGTTCAGACCCAGGCTGAACCCCAACACACTGAGCCACTGAGCTTGTTGACCAAAAGATGGCAGGTTCGAATCTGGGGAGCCACTGCTAGCCCCAGCTTCTGCCAACCTAGCAGTTCGAAAACATGCAAATGTGCGTAGATATATTATATATTATAATATAATATAATTATTATATTATATATTATATTACATGTAATATTAATAATAATATTACAATATAATTGTATAGTACAATATAGCGATGTATAGCGCTGATATTGTACTGTGCTCATGATATAATGTATTGTATGTGTGTGTGGTGTGTATATATATATATATATAGAGAGAGAGAGTAAGTCGTTCTGAGTCCCCTTTGGGGTGAGAAGGGCGGTATATAAATGTTGCAAATAAATAAATAAATAAATAAATAGATCAATAGGTAGGTACCGCTCAGGTGGGAAGGTAATGGCGTTCCATGCAGTCATGCTGGTCACGTGACCTTGGAGGTGTCTATGGACAACGCTGGTTCTTCGGCTTAGAAATGATGAAGCACCAACCCCCAGAGTTGGACACGACTGGACTTAATGTCAGGGAAAAACCTTTAAATGTATTGTGCAGTTACTAGTTATTCGATCTGCCGGCATCCAACTCTTGTTATCGGAAATACGTAATTTTCTACATTCCAAGAGCATGATTTTCTGGACTGAGTAAGCTTGTACTTGATACCTGCCATTATCATCTTGCCTCCTTCAGCCACATTTTGGATCAATCCCCAATTCAAAGTCCGTCTCGAGGAGGTTGACCACGATGATGAGGAAGGTAGCAGGGAGCCCGGCTGCAGTTTTGTCATGGCGCTGATGCAGAAACACCGGCGCCGAGAGAGGCGCCTTGGCAAGGACATGGAGACTATTGGCTTTGCTGTCTATGAGGTAATCCTTTGGGGTACGAGGGTCCTTCCTGCCCTGCTCCAGACTGTTATGCTTGGCTATGGGCTGATCTTGCCCTGACATCTCTTCTTTTTTGTCTCTTCACAGGTACCACCAGAGGTATGTACCCCAAACTTATGTTTCTCACTCATATGTTTCTTGTTCCCCAAGTGCCCCAAGAGACTCCGGGTTTTTGCCTGCCACTTTTGGACTCTCGCTTGCTCAGGTGTTCCTGCAAGTATGTCTGTAGTTCTTAGAAAACTATTTCTTGATTTAAGGCATTGACTTGCCGGCTGATAGGCCGGAGATGTCACTGCTTTGGTCCTTTCATTATTGGATGTCAGGTGGTGCAATACCGGCTAAATGTTATAATTTCTCCAGCGGTGTAGGGTGTAGACAACCTGTGATAATGCGGCATGTCTTATTAAGAGCCACATCCACTGGTTATTATTGATTGATTGATTTCCTATATTTATACCCCGCCCTTCTCCCCCCGAAGGGGGACTCAGGGCGGCCTAACAAAAGCATCGTACGATGCTAGCACCATAAAAACAACCACAGTACAATCAAAATATTAAAAATTAAAACAATTAATTAAAATACATCCGTTAAAATCAAAATCCAAAAACCAGTCCGGGTCAATTCATTGTCATAAGTTCTGCGATCTTCTTCCACTTGCTGCTCATGGATCAAACGCTTGGTCCCATAACCAGCTCTTGATTTTCCATCTATAAACACACCACACATTGAGTGAAGGAACAATCCTTTTTATTAAAGCTTAGCAAAAAGCCAGTAAAAATAAATGCTTGTAAAGATTGATAACATTCCAAAAAGCAATAAGGCATTTAAAGGCAGGAAGAAGACACAGCGTTCAAAAGTAGCATTCAAAAGCAATGTTCAAAAAGCATAAGATGATATTCCAAGGCACTGATAAGCCAGACAGGAATCAACCAAGAAGCAGACCAGCTGCTGCTAGTCAATTTGAAAGGCTAGAAAAAAACATGATGAGATCACTTGAACAGGAATTCCATGAGGCTTGTGCTTGGTTTCCAAATAATGCCTGATCTGACAAGATTCTCTAAAGGCAAACCTTAAATCCCCAAAACTGATTTTGTTTTCCTCCAGCCTTTGACCTTAACTGACGTATTCTTTCGGATCTACGTAAACATTGGACCTCTTGTCGATTCTGGCTGATCTCCAACCGCTGACTCTGCTTATCTGGCTCCTCATTAACTTTACCAGGTGTCAGAGTGTTTTCCAAACTAGAATCTGGAGAGCTCCCAGACGGAGGGAGTAAACCTTTCTCCCAAGGCCTGACAGAAACATTCTCATGAGAATCTGCCCTTTCCATCGAAGCCTCTCTGTCAGTGTCTGCATGAAACCCATTGACCAAAGTGTCTCCATCTTGCACCTCAAAGTCAGTCCCAGCATCCTCCACACCAGAAGCAACAGGGGACTGATTTCCCTCCTCATTACCCACATCAGACACAGAAACATCAGGAGACTGAAACACAATCACAGGTTCAAGCACAGGCTCAGGTTCAATCACAGACTGAGTCCCAATAATAAAATGCAATAAAATAGAGCACATGTTCTATTTTATAGAACACAGAATATATCTTATTGTGCTGCAGTTTTTCCAAGCTGCTTGGATACATATTATTATCCCACTACTGAGCAGCTTACCCTGTATATCTACCAAAATCCAAGTAAAGTTTTTATTAGGTGACAATTTCCCCCATGTGACCTTGACTGTTGCCAAGTTTCTCTCTGAGGTAGCCAGGATAAGACAACTTCCTGTATTAGAATCAGGTTGAATATTGTCTTCTATATATTTGTAGTGTATTATTATTGTTATTTCTTGGGGTGCACGAGAAACTTTTGCTTCTAAAAGGGTTTCACAGCTGGAAAGTTTCAGAACCCCTGATTTAGAGGACCACCAATTAAAAACTAGTATGATTTCATGGGCTGAAGACTTAGGGAAATAGATTGATCTGAAGAATTGGGAACATCTACGGAAAAGAGGATTGACATGTTTTGGCGCAGTTGGCTGGGAGTCAGCTGCATTAAGATTACTACTGACCGAAAGGTCATGGGTTCGAAGCCAGCCCGGGTCGGAGTGAGCTTCCAATCAAAATTGTGTAGCTTGTTGTCGACTTTTGCAGCCCGAAAGACAGTTGCATCTGTCAAGTAGGAAATTTAGGTACCACTTATGTGGGGAGGCTAATTTAACTGATTTACGAGGCCATAAAAATCTCCAGGAAGTATGCAAAGAATGAGGAAGTACTTCATCAGTGTCACAAACAGCTGGTTGTAGTGAATTCCCAACCTGTTAGGCTAGGAAAAGCCTAGAAAAGTAGAGTGGGCGGAGCCTGACTTGGCAAAAGGGAAAAAAATGACTTTAAGGGAAGGTTTTGAAACCCTGTCAGGGTGTCAGAAGAGATTGACTGTGGGTGTCAAAGAAGGAGGAGCTGGAGTTAGAAGTGGTGAAGGGTTAGTGAGAGACGCCTGAAATTGGTCAGTGGGCTAGCAGAGATATCTAGTGAGGAGATTTTTACAGCTATTAGAGAAATAACTGGTGGAGGAGCGAAGAGATAGATCCAGAATAGGACTATCTGTGCTGGTGTTTAGAATTACTTTCAGAGAATAAATCCTGTCAGTAAATTTTGTGGAGGGAGAGAGAAGTGTTCCTGTGTAACTAAGTCTGAAATGCTTAATGTAACCACACACTTTTTAAGTCAGTACTCTGAAACATCTAAGCTTTGTACCTGAATTGTTTCAGTTCTCTTAAATAAACATCATTGTTTTGTTGTTCACAACATCTGCCTCATGTGTGCCTCTGTGGGTGAAGTTTTAAAAGCAGTTTCCTACAGCAAACAGGAGACTAATGGTGGCAGCGTATAATTTAAAGAACAATCTTTTTGTGTTACGTCAGAACACAAGCCTGAGGGCTAATCCAACACACTACTTCCAGTAAGCCAAGGGCTTATCAGTGCTTTTAAGTTGGTTGCGGCCAGTGGGTTCTTTCAGAAGGTTTTCGGCCAGAAGAAAATTCCAGCTTTCCTTACAGCTTTTTGGGTTTTAAAACACAGAAGCCTCATTCCAATCTCAGGTGGTGTTCTGCCTTTTTGGGATTTTTATTCCCCCAAATAAAGCCCCCACTGGTGGCCAGAAGCTGGAATGTTAAATAGCCCCTGAGTGTCTGCCTATATATGTTGTGTGTCTATGGCATTGAATGTTTGCCATGTATATGTACATTGTAATCTGCCCTGAGTTCCCTGCGGGGTGAGAAGAGCGGAATATAAATACCGTAAATAAATAAATTTTCAGTAATGGATGCTCTTAGCCCAGGCTCATTCGCTCTTTCTTTTTCTATCGGACAGTATGTAGGGCAACCCTCGGTCCACCTGAAGCGCGACTTCTTCCTCTCCAACTCCTCGAGGGCCCGCTCCGAGCAGTTCATCAACCTGCGCGAGGTCAGCACCCGCTTCAAGCTGCCTCCCGGAGAATATATCGTGGTGCCTTCCACTTTTGAGCCCAACAAAGAAGGGGACTTTGTGCTGAGGGTCTTCTCGGAGAACAAAGCAGGGACGGTGTAAGTAGGCTGTTAGGAATTGTGGGAGTTGACGTCCAAAACACCTGGAGGGTTGACCATGCCTGGTCTATAGCATTGTTCCCCCTTTTATTTACGTATTTCTGCTGCTCCGCTTCTAATGTGTACTCCACTTATTTTCTTTTTCTTTGTGCTTCCCTTTTCAGGGAGATGGATGACGACATCCAGGCCAATCTCCCAGATGAGGTAGGAGTCTTCTTACGGCCCTTTCAAAGGGGTTGTATCTGCCTTACGTAAATCTAGATCAGGGGTCCTCAAACTTTTTAAACAGAGGGCCAGGTCACAGTCCCTCAAACTGTTGAAGGGATGGATTATAATTTGAAAAAATATACACTGCACATATCTTACTTGTAGTTAAAAAAACCACACAAAAATAATGCAATAATTAAAATGAAGAGCAATTTTAACAAATATAAACTTATATTTCAATGGGAAGTGTGGGCCTGCTTTTGGCTGATGAGATAGGATTGTTGTTGTTGTTGTTGTTGTTGTTGTTGTTGTGTTTTCAAGTTGTTTCAGACTTAGGTTGACCCTGAGCGAGTGTCAGAACCCAGACGCCTTAAAGAGCCAGACTCAGGAATGTGTCCAAAAGAATAGTTTATTAATACAAATTAAAAGAGACTCAGAGACACTTGCTTCAGTGCCGCTGGTCAAAACTCAGAAGTAGTAGCAATTATTAGGTTGAAAAGTAAACTAAACTTCCTGACTGTGAGAGCTGTTCAGCAGTGGAACTCTCTGCCCCGGAGTGTGGTGGAGGCTCCTTCTTTGGAAACTTTTAAACAGAGGCTGGATGGCCATCTGTCAGGGGTGATTTGAATGCAATATTCCTGCTTCTTGGCAGGGAGTTGGACTGGATGGCCCATGAGGTCTCTTCCAACTCTTTCATTCTATGATTCTATGATTCTAAAGCAATAATCCGGATTATCCAGGCAAAAAATCCGGATTAAACTGGAGTACTTCCAAAACCCCGCAAAATCACACAGCAAATGGAAGACAGACTAACAAAGAGCCGTGAAGAAGAGTCGTCGTCTAAATGAAGTCCGAAGTCGAAGAAATCCAAGCCCAAAGTTGTGAGGTTCCAAAGTCCACAAGGCAGCGTCATTGTCAAAAGCAATCCGAAGTCAAGGAGAGGGGAAATCCGCACTTATGAGAATCCAAGACGAGTTGTCACACGAAGATAAACAGCAACATGCAGATCCAGGACCCAAGCTCAACACAAAAGCGGCAGCAACAAGACCCAAGGCAAGAAACCAACACTTTGCCTACTGCAAAGTTCTATCACTCCCAAGAGATTTGCAGGATTTTTCAGAGGCAGCGCTGATGTAATCATTCCAGGAGTTGCATGTGACGTCTATAGAATCTCCACGTTTCACAGGCATATAGCAGAGTTGGGAGGACAATAGCTTTGTAAACAAGCTGCTTGGTATCTCTACGGATGTCCCGGTCCTCAAATACTCTCTGCTTCATTTGGAAAAATGCTGCACTCGCAGAACTCAGGCGGTGTTGTATTTCAGTGTCAATGTTGACGTCTGTAGACAGTCCACGTCTCGCAGGCGTATAGCAGGGTTGGGAGGACAATAGCTTTATAAACAAGCACCTTGGTATTCCTACAGATGTCCCGGTCCTCAAACACTCTCTGCTTCATTCAGAAAAATGCTGCACTTGCAGAGCTCAGGCAGTGTTGTATTTCAGTGTCAATGTTGACTTTTGTGGAGAGGTGGCTACGGAAAGGTAGCGGAAATGGTCAACATTTCCATTTCCGCTACCTTTCCGTAGCCACCTCTCCAAAAAAGTCAACACTGACACTGAAATACAACACTGCCTGAGCTCTGCAAGTGAAGCATTGTTCCAAATGAAGCAGAGAGTCAACATTTTCTAATGTTACACCATGAAGCTGTATTTCTGCCATTGGAGAGGGATTGGCTGGTGACTGCTGGAAGAGCACTTGGTTTTCTCGATGTTTAATGACAGTCCAAGCTTTTCGTATGCTTCTGCAAAGTCAAAGTGTGTAGGTCTTCTTCTGAATGCACACAGATGACGTTGTCATCAGCATATTGGAGTTCTATAACAGACGTTGTTGTACCCTTGGTTTTGGCTTTCAGTCTGCCGAGGTTAAATAGCTTGCAATCTGTCCGATAGATTATTTCCACTCCGGTGGGAAGCTTCCCATCAACCAGGTAGCATCTCCAGCAATCTGCTGACCAACAGACCTATCTGGTTGAAAAGTCCTTTATCTGCAAAGGGAAGGGAAATAAAGAGGGAGGGAATGTGGCATTCCTACAGTAGGAAATCTACAGTCCAGAGCGTGGCCCCCCTTCTGATGGTCCTCCTTTCTCTCTTCTTCCATCCCAGAAAGTGCTTTCCGAGGGCGAGATCGACGAGGGCTTCAAGCAACTCTTCAGGCAGTTGGCTGGAGCTGTGAGTATATAATGGCAGCAGTAAAAAGGATTTTTAGAAATACATTGTTTTGCGACACAGGCATTCAGGGAACTACACCAGCACCTACATTCAGTGAACTACAACTCCCAAAGTCAAAGTCAATGCCCACAAAACCCTTCCAGTATTTTCTGTTGGTCATGGGAGTTCTATGTGCCACGTTTGGCTCAATTCCATCTGTGCTGGAGTTCAGAATGCTCTTTGATTGTAGGTGAACTATAAATCCCAGTAACTACAACTCCTAAATGTCAAGGTCTATTTTCCCCAAACTCCATCTGTGTTCACATTTGGGCATATGGAGTATTCGTGCCAAGTTTGATCCAGATCCATCATTGTTTGAGTCCACAGTGATCTCTGAATGTAGGTGAACAACAACTCTCAAAGTCAAGGTCAATGCCCACCAAACCCTTTTAGTGTTTTCTGTTGGTCATGGGAGTCCTGTGTGCCACGTTTGGTTCAATTCCAACATTGGTGGAGTTCAGAATGCTCTTTGGTTGTAAGTGAACTATGAATCCCAGTAACAACTCCCAAATGTTAAGGTCTATTTTCCCCCAAACTCCATCTCTGTTCACATTTGGGCATATGGAGTATTTGTGCCAAGTTTGGTCCAGATCCATCATTGTTTGAGTCCACAGTGCTCTCTGAATGTAGGTGAACTACAACTCCAAAACTCAAGGTCAATGCCCACCAAACTCTTCTAGTGTTTTCTGTTAGTCATGGGACTCCTGTGTACCACGTTTGGTTCATTTCCATCACTGGTGGAGTTCAGAATGCTTTTTGATTGTAGGTGAACTATGAATCCCAGTAACTACAACTCCCAAATGTCATGGTCTATTTTCCTCAAACGCCATCTGGGTTCATATTTGGGCATATGGAATATTCGTGCCAGGTTTGGTCCAGATCCATCATTGTTTGAGTCCACAATGCTCTCTAGATGTAGGTGAACCATATCTCCCAAAGTCAAGGTCAATGCCCACCAAACCTTTCCAATATTTTCTGTTGGTCATGGGAGAACTGTGTGCCAAGGGTTGTCCAATTCCATCATTGGTGGAGTTCAGAATCCTCTTTGATTGTAGGTGAACTATAAGTCCCAGCAACTACAACTCCCAAATGACAAAATCAATTTTTTTGAGTGAAGGACATACATTGTGTTGTTAGGTGTCTTGTGTCCAAATTTGGTGTCAATTCATCCAGTAGTTTTTGATTTATGTTAATCCCACAAACGAACATTACATTTTTATTTATATAGATAATAATAATAATAATAATTTCAATAAATATGCAAATTCATGTCTAATACAGCAAAGCTGAGTTACAAAACAGAGCACTTTCCCTTTTCCTTTTCCAGGATATGGAAATCAGCGTTACCGAACTGCAGACAATCCTCAACAGGATCATAGGAAAACGTAAGCGCCGAGATTCACCCCTTCTTTCCACCCATGTGATGTCCTCATTCGTGGCCAGAAGAGTCAGGTTGAAGTTCTAAACGTCTCTCTTTTTGTTCTCTTTGGCAGATAAAGATCTTCGTACCAAAGGCTTCAGCTTGGAATCCTGCCGCAGTATGGTGAACCTTATGGATGTATCCTTACGATTATGAAGGCATGCCTTTTGGATTGTGAACAACCCTACTGCCAGTATTACAATCCTTGGATATATTGGGTACTTTGTCTCGCTATATATAAGTCAAAGTGTGTACGTTTGTTGGTTGGTTGGTACCACAAAAGGTCCTCCAAGGCTGGATGGATCTGGACCAAACTTGGTGTACAATACCCTTTATCCCCCAACTTAAAATAATTGTGGGTTTTCAACTACCCAATTTTGGGACAAGGACATCAAAATATTTAAAAAAGCAGTACATAGATAGAAAGGATAAGTAACTAGCTCTAGGTATGTACGCAATGCTCAGATGCAACAACAGGAGGGCAGTATACAGATAGAAATGTTTAGCTGCCGACCTTTAGGTATGTATATATACAGTATTCATATACAGCCACAAGAGGGCAGTATATAGATAGAAAGGATTAGCTACTGGCCTATAGGTATATGTGTATGGGGCCTTCATATACAGCCTTTCTATAGGTAGAAAGGATTAGCTACTGGCCTATAGGTATACGAATGTGGCATTCATATACTAAGCCACAAGAGAGCAGTATATAGATGGAAAGGATTAGCTACTGGCCTATAGGTATATGTGTATGTGGCCTTCATATACAGCCACAAGAGGGCAGTATATAGATAGAAAGGATTAGATACTGGCCTTTAGGTATGTATGTATGTATGTATGTATGTATGTGGTATTCACGTACAGCCACAAGAGGGCAATATATAGATAGAAAGGATTAGCTCTACGTGGGGCTGCCCTTGAAGACGGCCCGGAAGCTTCAGCTAGTCCAGCGCGCGGCAGCCATGTTACTAACGGGAGCGGGACGCAGGGAGCACACAACGCCCTTGTTGTCCCAGCTCCACTGGCTGCCGATTTGCTACCGGGCCCAATTTAAGGTGCTGGTGTTATCCTACAAAGCCCTAAACGGTTCCGGCCCAAAATACCTTTCAGACCGCATCTCGGCCTATGAGCCTACGAGGGCCTTGAGATCGTCTGGGGAGGCCCTCCTCTCGATCCCGTCTGCCTCACAGGCACGTTTGGCGGGGACGAGAGAGAGGGCCTTCTCGGTGGTGGCCCCCCGGCTGTGGAACGCCCTCCCTGTTGACATCAGGCAGGCGCCCTCCCTTATGGCCTTCCGGAAGAGCCTAAAGACCTGGCTATTCGAGAAGGCATTTAATTGAGTGCCACATTAACTGGCAAGCGACAACTGGAACGGAATATGGACTATGAGATTGGTTATGATTCTATGCTGTGACGATGCGGACTAGTTAGTGTAATTTAGATTAGATTAGTATATATTATTGATATGTGATTTCGTGTTATGCTTTTTTGTAAACTGTTTTTATATGTTGTACACCGCCGCGAGTCGCCCTAGGGCTGAGAGCGGCGGTCAACAAATGCAGTAAATAAATAAAATAAATAAATAAATAATACTGGCCTATAGGTATATGTGTATGTGGCCTTCATATACAGCCACAAGAGGGCAGTATATAGGTAGAAAGGATTAGCTACTAGCCTATAGGTATATTTGTATGCGGGATTCATATACAGCCACAAGAGGTCAGTATATAGGTAGAAAGGATTAGCTACTGACCTATAGGCATGTATGTGGGATTCATATACAGCCACAAGAAGGCAGTATATAGATAGAAAGGATTAGCTACTGACTTATAGGTATATGTGTATGTGGCATTCATATACAGCCACAAGAGAGGAGTATATAGATAGAAAGGATTAGCTACTGGCCTATAGGTATATACGTATGTGGCATTCATATACAGCCACAAGAGAGCAGTATATAGATAGAAAGGACTAGCTACTGGCCTTTAGGTATATGTGTGTGTGGCCTTCATATACAGCCACAAGAGGGCAGTATATAGATAGAAAGGACTAGCTACTGGCCTATAGGTATATGTGTATGTGGCCTTCATATACAGCCCAAAGAGGGCAGTATATAGATAGAAAGGATTAGCTACTGGCTTTTAGGTATGTATGTATGCGGCATTCATATACAGCCACAAGAGGGCAGTATATAGATAGAAAGGATTAGCTACTGGCTTTTAGGTATGTATGTATGCGGCATTCATATACAGCCACAAGAGGGCAGTATATAGATAGAAAGGATTAGCTACTGGCATATAGGTATGTATGTCATGCTCAGATGCAATCACATTGTATTCAGGGAAGTGGAGTGATGTTGGAAAAGGAAAGTGTGATATCTCTGTTTGAACGTTTCCTTAACCACTTCCTCCTTGCTCAGAGAGATGGAAATGGAAAACTCGGGCTGGTGGAGTTCAACATCCTTTGGACCAAAATCAGAAGCTATTTGGTACGTTTCCATCCCATTCCCTTATACATAAGACAGAGTACCATCATTAGAGGAGGAAGGTGGACACCTCTACATAATGTGATAATATGATGCCTTGAGCTCATCCATTTGATTTCTGTTTTGTTTGTTTGTTTGTTTGTTTGTTTGTTGGTGTTTTATTTAAATATTTTTTCTCTCTCCCCCTATTTTCCCTGATTTCAAGGCGGTCTTTAGGAAGTTCGATTTGGACAAATCAGGAACCATGAGTGCCTATGAGATGCGGATGGCCCTGGAATCTGCAGGTGAGGTGAACTGCATTAAATAGTCAGTGTAGATGGAAGCTAGGCGGCTTTTGATCCAACTCAAGTGATAAATAAATCCAATAAGTGCAAGCGTAAATTCTAATTTTGGTAGCTAATAAAATGACCTGGTGTGATGAGTAAATAACCAGAAATATCTTGGCAGGTTTCAAACTGAACAAGAAGCTCTATGAGTTGATCATCACCCGCTACGCCGAGCCCGACTTGGCGATCGACTTCGACAATTTTGTCTGCTGTCTAGTGCGACTCGAAACCATGTTCCGTAAGTGCTATTTCATGGGGGGTGAATGGGAGCGCAGTAGCAAAACCGACAGAATGGCAGAAAATGCTTTACGGTTTAAAGAATTCCAGAGCATGAGATCCCAGAGAATCATTACTATTCACAAGATAAATGGGTGAGCAGAAGGCTGATTGCCTCCCTTTGGTAGATCTCAATATGGACGAATTCAGCAAATGTTTCCAATTCCCTCTAGCACTACTAGCAATAAAAGCTGCTTTGAGTCTCCTTTGGAAGTAAGGAAGCAGGAAATGTTGTTGTTATTGTTATTCTTATTCTTATTTGTTGCAATTCAGAGTAGCAGAGTAGTTTGGAAGCAATTCACCTTGCTTCCAAACACCACCACACAAGAGCTGTAGTTTTATAGTTTATTGAGGGAAAAATCCAAGTCAAAGTAAAGAATAAGCATTGCAAAGTTCCAAAGATTAAGGTTAAATGCAGAATATAGTTCCAAAGATCTTCAAGTAAAAGCAGGAGACACAATCCTATTGACAAAATTCAAACCAGAGTCCCAGGTACAAGCAATGAAACAATTGCCCCATGAATCACAATGCAAGAAACCCCAAGCGTACTGCTTTCCAGGCTAAGGTTATTCCATGAAGCTTTCAGGCTAATAAGCTACGTTGAACTGACACTTTCCCTAGTTTTGTAAGAAGCCTAAATACCTTTCTAACATGAAAATATTACATGAAATCATTGTGATGACCTTTCACCGAGCTGACCTCTTGTCTGCCGGCCAGGCGAGAACTCCACCTGACACGGAGATCAAGATGAGCTTGCCAGGTCAGGTCACTGTCAAGGCTTTCAGTACTTTCAGTATCAGCGTGCGAAGGAGGTGAATGCCTCCCCACCTGTTCGCTATCTCCGTTAAAATTCCTTTCTCTTGGGAACCGCTGTGTTGAAGTTGACTCTGCACTGTCTGTGCTGTCTGTGGGAGCCGCAGGCCCAGAGATCTGAGGCACAGAGAAAGAGCCAGGAATCTGAATCCCATCATCCTTATCATCACAGAACATCTCAGCCACAACATTATTATTATTATTATTATTATTATTATTATTATTATTCATTCCCTTTGGGGAGAGAGAGTGAGTTACAACTATATTATTATTATTATTATTATTATTATTATTAATAATAATAATAATAATAATAATAATAAGGTCATGGAAAATGAACATGCAAAAATCCTGTGGGACTTTCGGATCCACACTGACAAAGTTTTGGAACACAATACACCAGACTTCACGATTGTGGAAAAGAAAAAAGTCTGGATTATTGATGTCGCCATACTGGGTGACAGTGGCATTGAGGAAAAACAACAGGAAAGCTCAGCCGTTATCAAGACCTCAAAATCGGACTGCAAAGGCTCTGGCATAAACCAGTCCAGGTGGTCCCAGTGGTCATGGGCGCGCTGGGTGCCGTTCCAAAAGATCTCAGCCGGCATTTGGAAACAATAAACATCAACAATATCACAATCTGTCAACTGCAAAGGGCCATCTGACTTGGATCTGCGCGCATCATTCGGAAATACATCACACAGTCCTAGACGCTTGGGAAGTGTTTGACTTGTGATTTTGTGATACAAAATCCAGCATAGAGATCCCGTTTGCTGTGACATGCTGTGCTTTTGTGTCAGTAATAATAAATAATAATTTATTTATTGTGTCAGGGGCAACCAGATAATTGTATTACATTTCTAACAGAACAAAAACAAACAAACAAACAGACAAAGCACAACATTTGCAGGCTTGGTAGTTGATTAAATGCCCTTTGACCAGTATCTGGCCACTTGGAGTGCCTCTGGTGTTGCCGCAAGAAGGTCCTCCATGGTGCATGTAGCAGGGCTCAGGTTGGATTGCAGCAGGTAGTCAGTGGTTTGCTCTTCTCTACACTCGCATGTGGTGGATTCCACCCTGTAGCCCCATTTCTTAAGGTTGGCTCTGCATCTCGAGGTGCCAGTCTGTTCAGCGCCTTCCAAGTCGCCCAGTCTTCTGTGTGCCCAGGGGGGAGTCTCTCATTGGGTATCAGCCATTGATTGAGGCTCTGGGTTTGAGCCTGCCACTTTTGGACTCTCACTTGCTGAGGTGTTCCAGCGAGTGTCTCTGTAAATCTTTGAAAACTATTTCTTGATTTAAGTTGTTGGCATGCTGGCTGATGCCCAAACAAGGGATGAGAGAAGCCTCCTCGCAGGATTGCAAGACATCCGGGCGTCCCCTGGGCAATGTCTTCATAGACGGCTGATTCTCTCAATCCAGAAGCAACCAGAACGACTTGCAGCATGCAAACAACCAAGCAAAACAACCAACTGACCTTTTCAGGACCAACCATCACAATAATCTCAATCAACATTTAAGTCGTTGACGTGCTGGCTGATACCCAAACGGGATGAACTGGAGATGTCTCTCCCTTGGTCCTTTCACTATTGGTTGCTACTTCCCGGCGGATGTCAGGTGGTGCAATACCGGCTGGACAATGTAATTTCTCCAGTGGTGTAGGGCGCACACACCCTGTGATAATGCGGCATGTCTCATTAAGAGCCACATCCACTGTTTTAGTGTGGTGAGATGTGTTCCACACTGGGCATGCATACTCAGCAGCAGAGTAGCATAGCGCAAGGGCAGATGTCTTCACTGTGTCTGGTTGTGATCCCCAGGTTGTGCCAGTCAGCTTTCGTATGATATTGTTTCTAGCGCCCACTTTTTGCTTGATATTCAGGCAGTGCTTCTTGTAGGTCAAGGCATGGTCCAGGGTGACTCCCAGGTATTTGTGTGCGCTGCAATGCTCCAGTGGGGTTCCTTCCCAGGTAATCCTCAGAGCTTGGGATGCTTGTCTGTTCTTGAGATGAAAAGCACATGTTTGTGTTTTAGATGGATTAGGGATCAGCTGGTTTTCCCTGTAATAGGCAGTAAGAGCACCTAGAGCTTCGGAGAGCTTCTGTTCTACCATCTCAAAGCTCCCTGCTTGAGCAGTAATGGCACGATCATCAGTATAGATGAAACTCTCTGTCCCTTCTGGCAGTGGCTGGTCATTTGTGTAGATGTTGAACATGGATGGAGCAAGCACGCTCACCTGAGGCAGGCCGTTCTTCTGTTTCCGCCATCTGCTTCTCTGGCCATGGAACTCAACAAAAAAGCTCCTGTTTTGTAGCAGGTTTCCTATGAGGCAGGTGAGGTGGTCGTCCTTTGTGATATTATACATTTTTCTCAGGAGGAGGCGGTGGTTGACAGTGTCATAGGCTGCTGACAGGTCTATGAAGACAGCTCCTGTGATCTGCTGCCTTTCAAAGCCATCTTCTATGTGCTGAGTCAGGTTCAGCACTTGCCACGTGCAGCTTTTGCCTTTCCTGAAGCCAGCTTGCTGTGGGATCAGGCATGGGTCACCCCCTTTGGGATGTACTTATTTTCTTTCTTTCACTCGAATCTCAAGGGTCTATCAGTTGAGGGCTAAATACAAAACTAATTTTTCTTATTTATTTATTTCTTTTTCAGGGTTTTTCCAGGCCCTGGACTCTGACAAAGATGGAATCGTCACTTTTGACCTGGTTAAGGTAATCTCCCCGGAGTCATAGCATCTTATTGGGGAATATACTGGAAATAATGCTGGGATGATTCGAAATCTACAGATATATAAACATTAAAACAGAATTCAATATCTGGGTTGCTGTGAGTATGTCAGGCATCCTCAAAGGTCATGAGGTCTGTTGGAAACTAGGCAAGTGGGGTTTAGACAGGAAACAATCATGGCCAACTAACACCTCCCAACAAAGGATTCCTCCAGGCAGGGAGCAGACAGGCTTTGAAACTGTCAGGCTATTAAATGCTAATCAAGCTGGCCAATTGCAACATTCACACTTCTCTCAAACAGACAAGTTCTTTCTTCCACCCTGGACATTCCACAGACATATCAACCCCACTTGCCTAGTTTCCAATGGGCCTCACAACCTCTGAGGAGGCCTGCCATAGATGTGGGAAAAACATTAGGAGAGAATGCTTCTGAAACATGGCCATACAACCCGGAAAACTCAAGCGACCGATTATTATTATTATTATTATTATTATTATTATTATTATTACTACTACTACTACTACTACTACTACTACTACTAGCCATCCCCTGCCATGCAGTGCTGTGGCCAAGTCTGTATATATGTGTTTTGTGTGTGTGTATATCTGTTTATATCTCTGTATATATTTCTGTATATGTGTATATATGTGTTTATATATTTGTGTATTTCTGTGTTTATATGTGTATATGTATATTGTGTATATGTGTGTGCCTGTGTATATGCATATATGGGTGTATATATGTGTGTATGTGTGTAGGTGTATACTTATGTGTGTGCATACTGTATGTGTATATTTGTGTGTATTTGCATATATATGTGTGTGTGTGTCTGTATGTATGTGTGCATGTGTATATGTATATTTCTGTATTTATATGTGTATATGTATATTTTATATATGTGTGTGCTTGTCTATATGCATATATGTGTGTATGTATGTGTATATGTATATGTATATGTGTGGAGGTGTATATGTATGTGTATGTATACTGTATGTGTATATTTGTGTTTATTTGCATATATATATGTGTGTGTGTCTGTATGTATGTGTGCATGTGTATATGTATATTTCTGTGTTTATATGTGTATATGTATATTGTGTATATGTGTGTGCTTATGTGTATGCATATATGTGTGTACGTATGTGTATCTGTATATGTATATATGTGTAGGTGTATATGTATGTGTGTGTATACTGTATGTGTATATTTGTGTGTATTTGCATATATATGTGTGTATATGTATATTTCTGTGTTTATATGTGTATATGTATATTGTGTATATGTGTGTGCTTATGTATATGCATATATGTGTGTATGTATGTGTATCTGTATATGTGTGTAGGTGTATATGTGTGTATACTGTATGTGTATATTTGTGTGTATTTGCATATATATGTGTGTGTGTGTCTGTATGTATGTGTGCATGTGTATATGTATATTTCTGTGTTTTTATGTGGATATGTATATTGTGCATATGTGTGTGCTTGTGTATATGCATATATGTGTGTTTATATGTGTATGCATGTGTATATGTATATAGTATATATGTATATAGTATATATGTATATACATATGCATGTGTATATGTATATAGGTTTATACATATGTGTGTATGTATATATTGGTGTGCTTGCGTATATATGTATGTGTCTGTATGTATGTGTGCATGTGCATATTTATATGAATATATGTATATATGGTTTATTTTGTGGGGTTTTAAAGTCTGTTCTGCTGGGGTTTTTTGTGTGTGTTTTAGGGTTGATGGTCACTTGTTGGACTGTTAGATGTATTGTGTCCAAACTTTGGTGTCAATTTGTCCAGTTGTTTTTGAGTTATGTTAATCCCACAAACGAACATTACATTTTTATTTATATAGATTATTGTTGTTGGGCTTGGCTTCATGTAAGCTGTCTCGAGTCCCCTTGGGGAGATGGTGGCGGGTATAAATAAAGTTGTTATTATTATTATTATTATTAATAATAATAATAATAATAATAATACCCTGCTTTTTCTCTCCACATGGAGACTCAAAGCATGATTTCAGTATGATTTAAAATCTCCAGATATATAAACATTAAAACACAATTAAACTCAGTCTGATTTAAAATCTCCAGATATATAAACATTAAAACACTTCATCATCACTTATATCCCGCCCATATCAGCCTGTGGTGGATCAGTAATTGGTTAAACATCGTTAGAGTTTTGTAATGGACGTGTCTTTCCTCCTTTTTCTCTCTTCCAGTGGATACAGCTAACCATGTTTGCCTGAAAGAAGATAGCGGAGCCAACCCCGCACGGCTGCCTGGCCTTCCTCCTCTTTGGACACCTTTTCTTATTATTATTTTTGTACCTGCAAGTGCCTTGCGTCACAATGGGATGGCTTGTTGCCTTTGATTTCTCTCTTATTTTGCTGCCACTTCTTCCCGCAAAGGAGGGAGGGCCCTCGCTTACACACAAACACACGCACGCCGCACACATTGCCTTTGCAACGCCCACCACCTGTGCCTGGACACGCGTGACCTCGGGAGCCACCCCGCTTCACGGAACCGCTTCCTGCTCTCCGACGCCAAGGAACCACGCGACACCGTCTTTATCCATTACGTGCCATGGTAACGGGACCGAAGACAACGTCGGCTTCATATTTTGGAAGACGGTCATCCTTTGGTTCGTCAGTTTGGATTTTCTCCTGCCCTTAAGCATGAGATGAGCTTGCTTTCATCTTTTGTGCTATTAAAGGAGAAGAGGAGAATATATAAATATGCAAATATATATACATATAAAGACACTCTCCATGCCAACTTGGACCCTTGGAACACTTTCCCACGCTTTGCCATATTTACAGGAAATTCCCCTATTTACAGGAAATTCAGGCCCGGGCAAACTTGGGCCCTCCAGGTGTTTTGGACTCCAACTCCCACAATTCCTAACAGCCGATAGGCTGTTAGGAATTGTGGGAGTTGTAGTCCAAAACACCTGGAGGGCCCAAGTTTGCCCAAGCCTGATCTAGTCTTATCTTCTCCCTTCTACCTGAAAAGCAATGGTGCAAATAAAAAAGTGTGTCATTTCCTGTATATGTGTGCGTGCAAATATATATCGATATACACTTTACTATTTTCCAGAAGCATATTAGTGCTTGCTGATGCTTTGTGTCCTCTTCCGATTGAGGAATTTGGAGCCCAAAAGCATACTTACATCTCTCTCTGCTTGTTATGGGGATGCATAGATGCCCTTTGGGGGGTCTTCGGGTTGCTTTTATGATGCCAAAACGGGGCGCTTTTTGTCCGAGACGAAAAGTTGTTGCTCGATCCTATCGGAGGATCCATTCTTGAGATTCATTTTTACATCCTCATCCTGGGTACTACTGTTTTATCTTCTTCCTTTTGATTGTTTTTCTCTGTTTTATATTGTAGTAAAAAAAAAAAAAGACATATTTTATTGCCAAAGTAAATAAAGGAATAAAGTTACTATGACAAAAATCATCTGGTTTTTATGACTTACACTTTTTTAAAATATTGTTTCTTTGTTTTGTTTTGTTTTTCTTGCTGGATGCCTGAGAGTTCCAGTACAATTGAAGGGGTCTTTGAGTGAAATTTGCAAATGCCAAGCAAGGGGCTTTGAATGAAATTAACAGCAAAAGAGAAACATACCCGTTCTCTGTAGAAAAGGAGCAACAGGGAAGAAAATGTTTTTAAGAAACAAGATGTGACATGTAGAGGTCAGAAGTTGTGTTGTGGTTAAGTTCAAAGGTTGTGGTTAAGCGCAGAGTCTGCAGGTACAAGAAGGTACTTTCCATCAAAAGGTCAAGGGAGAGGGGCTGGAAAGAGAGTACTTTCCATGACCTATTACTTGAATATAAAAGTCAGCAGAAAAAGAGGAGGTCACTTGAAGGGTAGTATCTGCGTATGCTGCCAGGCTGTCCGTCTTCTTCATGAAGAAACTAAAATAAACCTTGTTTTTTGATCTTTTTTTGGGACTGTCTCCTTCCTTACGTGTTCCCGTGATGTGAACCTAAGAAGACCCAATTTAGGGTCTCTAACACAATGATATTTTTAAAATAATTGTACAGAACATAAGACACTTCTTAATTAAGACACCTAAAATCATTAGCGAAGTAAGTTAATGACATATTTATTTATTTATTTATTCGTATATTTATTTGCTACATTATACCGCCCCTCTCAGCCCATAGGCGACTTGAGGCAGTTCACAAGGCAACAATTAAATGCCAACAACATCATTAAAATATTTAAAACATTTAAAAGCATTTACATATCAATTAAGACCATAACATATCAGTAAAAGCAAATCATTTCATCTCCAAGATAAAAACTTAATCTAATCTCATAGGCTGATTGTTCCATATTCCTATGTCCATTACATTGCCTTTTCAAACGCCTGCTCGAACAGCCAGGTTTTGACTCTTTTTTTCAGAAAGTCAAAAGGGAGGGAGCTGATCCAATGTCCCTAGGAAGGGTGTTCCTTAGCTGAGGGGCCACCACTGAGAAGGCCCTGTCTCTCGTCCCCGCCAAACGTATTTGGCACGCAGATGGAATTGAGAGCAGGGCCTCCCCATATGATCTTAACATCCTAGATGGTTCATAGATGATCAGCCACTACCATGAGGGACAGAGAGATTCATATATGCTGACGATTGTGCCATCACTGTCCAAGAGTTGAACAGAAGCTCCCCAAAGCTTTAGGTGCTCTTACTGCCTGTTACAGGGAAAACCAGCTGATTCCTAATCCAGCTGAAATGCAGACGTGCGCTTTTCACCTTAAGAACAGACAAGCATCTCGAGCTCTGACAATGGCCTGGGAAGGAATCTCACTGGAGCATTGCAGCACACCCAAATACCTGGGAGTCACTCTGGACCATGCTCTGACTTATAAGAAGCACTACTTGAATCTCAAGCAAAAACATGGGTGCCAGAAATAAGATCGTACGAAAGCTGACTGGCACAACCTGAGGATCACAACCAGACACAGTGAAGATTCTTCCCTTGCACTTTGCTACTCTGCTTCTGAGTACATATGCCCAGTTTGGAATACATCTCACCACGTTAAAACAGTGGATGTGGCTCCTAATGAGACATGCCACATTATCACATGATGTCTTCGCCTTACACCACTAGAAAAATTATACTGTTTAGCTGACACTGCACCACCTGACATATGCTGGGAAGTAGCAGCCAGTAATGAAATGACCAAGGCATTGACATCTCAGGCCATCCTCTGTTTGGATATCAACCAGCACGCCAATGCCTTAAATCAAGAAACAGCTTCCTAAGATCTACAGAGATACTCGTAGGAACACCTCAGCAAGCAAGAGTCCAAAAGTGGCAGGCTAAGACGTGGAACCTCAATCGGTGTCTGAGACCGGATGAGAAACCCCTTCCTGAGTACATAGAAGGCTGGGCGACTTGGAAGGCGCTGAATATATTGCACTCTGGCACCACGAGATGCAGAGCCAACCTTAAGAAATGGGGCCACAAAGTGGAATCCACGACATGCGAGTGTGGAGAAGAGCAAACCACAGACCACCTGCTGCAATGCACCCTGAGCCCTGCCACATGCACAATGGAGGACCTTCTTGTGGCAACACCAGAGGCACTCCAAGTGGCCAGATACTGGTCAAAGGACATTTAATCAAATACCAAACTTGCAAATTTTGTGTTTTGTCTGTTTGTTTGTTTGTTTGTTTTGTTCTGTTAGAAATGTAATACAATTGACTGGTTGCCCTGACACGACAAATAAATAAACCACGAGATGCAGAGCCAACCTTAAGCAATGGAGCTACAAAGTGGAGTCCATGACTTGCGAGTGTGGAGAAGAGCAAATACACAATGGAGGACCATCTCACCAGAGGAACTCCAAGTGGCCAGCTTCTTGCCAAACAAAATTTAGCATAATGGCAAGTTTTTAACTTGAATTGTGTGTGTGCAGTGGGTTAAAGAGCTGAGCTTGTTGACCGAAAGGTAGCAGGTTCGATTTCGGGGAGCGGCGTGAGCTTCCGCTGTCAGCCCCGCTGTCAGTTCGAAAACATGCAAATGTGAGTAGATCAATAGGTACTGCTCTGGCGGGAAAGTAACAGCACTCCATGCAGTCATGCCAGCCACGTTGTTAGAGACCCCAAATCGGGTCTTAATATTTGGGTCCAGGTCACGGGAGCACGTAAGGAAGGAGTCCAGTCCCTGGATGAGATCAAAGGCAAGATTTTATTCTCATCATGGCCATGAAGAAATATAATCTTCATATAATATAATCCATATAATCCAGTTCAAAGCATATAATCTGGGATCAGATACTGAGATCAGATTCAGTCATCCACAGAGATCATCCACACTGAAGAATTATAGCAGTTTGAGACCACTTTAAGCACTACGGCTGCATTCTATAGAATTCTGAGATTTGTAAACTTCTTAATAAAAAAATAAATAAATGCCACGCCAAACTACAAATCCCAGCATTCCATAGACTTGGGCTGTGGCAATTAATGTGGTGTCAAGCTGCTATAATTCTGCACTGTGGATAACAGGTAGTGTTTCTCAAAATTCTGGCCCTCCAGCTGTTTTGGACTCCAACTCCCAGAATCCTCGGCCAGCCTGACAAACGGCCAGGAATTCTGGGAGTTGAAGTAAAAAAACCACGGAAGACCAGACTTAATTTGCATAGAAGTCCTCCCATTGGACCGTTTGCACGTCCTTGGCCACGCCCACTCGATTGGAAGTCCACAAAACCCGGAAGAACAGACCTATTTTGCATAGAAGTGCTCCCATTGGAGCGTTGGCTCGCCCTAGGCCACGCCCACTCGAGTGGAAGCCCACAAAACCCGGAAGACCAGACTTAATTTGCATAGAAGCCCTCTCATTGGAGCGTTGGCTCTCCCTAGGCCACGCCCACTCAAGTGGAAGTCCACAAAACCCGGAAGACTAGGCCTATTTTGCATAGAAGTCCTCCCATTGGAGCGTTGGTTCTTCTTAAGCCACGCCCACTCGAGCTGAAGTCCACAAAACCCGGAAGCCCAGACTTAATTTGCATAGAAGCCCTCTCATTGGAGCGTTGGCTCTCCCTAGGCCACGCCCACTCGAGTTGAAGTCCGCAAAACTCGAAGACCAGACCTACTTTGCATAGAAGTGCTCCCATTGGAGCGTTGGYCCTCACTTGGCCACGCCCACTCGAGTAGAMGTCCACAAAACTCGAAGACCAGACCTACTTTGCATAGAAGTGCTCCCATTGGAGCGTTGGCACTCCCTTAGCCACGCCCACTCGAGTGGAAGTCCACAAAACCCGGAAGACCAGACCTCCTTTGCATAGAAGTCCTCCCATTGGAGCGTTGGCTCACCTTAGGCCACGCCCATTCAAGGCCCTAGCAGCCACTCACAAGGAGCGTGCTCCGCCTCCTTTTCCATATAAGGTGATTAGGGGGCGTGGCTTTTCCTCCAAAGGTGGCGGGAAAAAAGGGCGACCAGAAGCAATGGAGTCTCCAGCTTTGGAGGCTGTGGTGGCCGAGCTGAAGGTCTTCGGCCTGGACGTCGCCGAAGGGGAAGATGAAGGCGCTCTGGCCGGGAAGTGTAAGTGGCTGCATCCAGACTGTAAAGTTAACACAGTTTGACACCGCTTTAACTCAGTTGTGGCTCAGTATTCTAGCTGAGGCCTGTCTCAAGCAGAATAGAGTTCACTTTGGATCCCATATTCCTACTGATACAGCCTAGAATCGCCTTGGCCTCTTTAGCTGCTGCATCACACTGTTTTTTTTCCTCATTCTCCATTGAATCTTGTGTTGTTGCTGCTTGATCAAATGGCCATCTTGTGTTGTTGATGGGAAAACATCCATAAGTAAAATATTAAGGGATAGAACTACATGTTCCAGGATCCTCCATCCCATATAGGCATTAATATATTATATGTACAGATAATACAGATAATATTACAATGTAATACAATATAATACTACTACTAATAAAATGATATTATAATTATATTTTTATATTACATGTAATATTACTAATAATATTACAGTATAATGTTATAGTATGATGCAATATATAATATACTAGCGGTCCCCTGCCACGTGTTGCTGTGGCCCAGTCTGTTGATCTGGAAAATAAAGTAATGAGAAAGTCTTGATTTCTAATATATGTAACTTCTTGCTGTTTCTTTGTCAGTGTTGATGTGGAGAGTGTCTGGTTTGCACACCCAGGAACATGCAACATATCACTGTCCTTTAAGGGTCCTTTTCAAATCTAGGATACTATATCTCTGTGTGTGAATCATATCTATCTATCTATATCTATGGCTGGATGGCTCTTTCTCAGGAGGGCTTTGATTATATTTTCTTGCGCTGGTGAAGGGAGTTGGATTGGATGGCCTTAAGTATTTTCTGTTGGTCATCAAGGTTCTGTGTGGGAATTTTTCCCCAATTCTGTCGTTCATGGGGTTCAGAACCCTCTTTGATTGTAGGTGAACTATAAATCCCAGTAACTACAACTCCCAAATGTCAAGTCTATTTCCCCCAAACTCCATCTGTGTTCATATTTGGGCATGTTGAGTGCTTGTGCCAAGTTTGGTCCTGATCCATCATTGTTTGAGTCCACAATGCTCTCTGGATGTAGGTGAACTACAACTCCAAAACTCAAGGTCAGTGCCCACCAAACCCTTCCAGTATATTCTGTTGGTCATGGGAGTTCTGTGTGCCAAGTTTGGTTCAATTCCATAGTTGATGGAGTTCAGAATGCTCTTTGATTGTATGTGAACTATAAATCCCAGCAACTACAACTCCCAAATGACAAAATCATATTTTTTTGAGTAATGGTCACTCCTTGTGTTGTGAGACATTTTGTTGCCAAATTTGGTGTGATTTCGTTCATTGGTTCTTTTGTTTTTAAGGAACTCATTATGCACAGAGCATTTTTATATATATAGAAGATATATATTACTAGCCATCCCCTGCCACGTGTTGCTGTGGCCCACATGGGGGTTCTGTGTGGGAGGTTTGGCCCAATTCTATCATTGGTGAACTTCAGAATGCTCTGTGATTGTAGGTGAACTATAAATCCCACCAACTACAACTCCCAAATGTCAAGATTCTATTTTCCCCAAACTCCACCAGTGTTCACATTTGGGCATATTGAGTATTCGTGTAGAGTTTGGTCCAGATCCATCATTGTTTGAGTCCACAGTGCTCTTTGGGTGGCTAGTATATTATAATATTGTGCTATGGTAATAATAGCATAATATATTGTATTTGGGCAAACTTCCCACAATGAAACCCCATGACCAACAGAAAATACTTAAGCCCACCCAGACCAACTCCCTTCACCAGGGCCAGAAAACGTAATCGAAGCCCTCCTGACAAAGAGCCATCCAGCCATAGATATAGATAGATAGATATGATTTACACACAGAGAGATATAGATTTGAATGGAACCCCTAAAGAAGGACAATTATATGTTGCATGTTCCAGAGTAGGCAAACCAGATACTCTCTACATCCACACTGACAAAGAAACAACAAGAAATACTGTTTACCCACAAGTGAAAGACATTAAAAAAAGTGCAATGAATTTTAGGAAATGGAACTATGACTGACGAGTTTGGATCATGATTCTAGTTATGAGACGCCAATTGATTGATTGTCTATTATTGTTAATTGCTTAACTTGTTTCTGTGTTAACTGTTTTTAAGTAATTGTTGATACCGCATTGAATTTTTGCATTGATTGTTCGCTTTGTTTGTGCTCGACTGTTGTAAACCGCTATGAGTCGCCTTAGGGCTGAGAATGGCGGTATACAAGTGAAGTAAATAAATAAATAAATAAATTACATATATTAGAAACCAACATTTTCTCATTACTTTATTTTCCAGATCACCAGACTGGGCCACAGCAATGCCTGGCAGGGGACGGCTAGTATATATATATGGGGCAATATAGCTAGGATAATAAGGACAAGGGTAGTCCTGCCAACAAATGAAAGAGCCACTCAGTTCTCCTTCTGCCTCACAGTAATAAGGAAATAATATGTTGTTTTCCTGTCTTTCTGTAACAGTGGAGGAACTTTGCTTGCTGCACCGGATGCAAGAAACCGAATTGGCAGACGAGTTGGTTGCTTTTATTGCCACAAAGGGAATTCTTCACCTTACAGTTAATGTCCTGCTCGACTTCCAGTATAACGTAAGGGATTTTATGTATTATTTTACTGACACAAAAACACAGTATGTCACAGCAAACGAGATCTATATGCTGGATTTCATATCACAAAATCACAAGTTTAACACTTCCTAAGCATCTAGGACTGCGTTATATTATTATTATATTTATTATTATTATAAACGATAATTTATGTTAATAATTTATGTTATTAAGTAATAATTTATTGTTATGTTATATTATTAATTTATTTCATATATATAGAATCATAGAATCAAAGAGTTGGAAGAGACCTCATGGGCCATCCAGTCCAACCCCATTCTGCCAAGAAGCAGGAATATTGCATTCAAATCACCCCTGACAGATGGCAATCCAGCCTCTGTTTAAAAGCCTCCAAAGAAGGAGCCTCCACCACACTCCGGGGCAGAGAGTTCCACTGCTGAACGGCTCTCACAGTCAGGAAGTTCTTCCTCATGTTCAGATGGAATCTCCTTTCTTGTAGTTTGAAGCCATTGTTTTGAGTCCTAGTCTCCAAGGAAGCAGAAAACAAGCTTGCTCCCTCCTCTCTATGGCTTCCTCTCACATTTTTATACATGGCTATCATATCTCCTCTCAGCCTTCTCTTCTTCAGGCTAAACATTCCCGGCTCCTTAAGCCGCTCCTCATAGGGCTTGTTCTCCAGACCCTTGATCGTTTTAGTCACCCTCCTCTGGATATATATATATATATATATATATATATAGTCACACACACACACACACACATGCTTCGATCTGGGTCTAATCTCAAAAATATCTCAGGACGTACATGCACATATTTTTCACTTGGAACGCAAAGGTATATGCTTGTGCAAGGAACCCAGCCATGTTCAAATAGAGGGGAATTTGAATTCCTTCATCTTTTAACAGCCTCTGTATATCTTTCAGGTGCTTAATAAGCGAGTTGCAAAACCTCCGGTGAAGAAAGAGACCTGTCCTTCTGGCGCCAAAGAGATCAACACCTTTCCTGGGCCGTATCCTCAATAATGTGCAATTGGAGAGGGCTAACAGTGGAACATCATGGCAGAATTTCCTAGGGGTACAAATGGCCTGCAGAATTAGTCACCAGTGTATGGCTTCTCATTTCCTTTTCGAAGTGATTTTGATATGGAGCTTTACTTACTTAGGCGATCTCTCGTTGACCGAGGATGATGGTCCTCCAAGTTTAGTGTCCTGGTGGTGGGTCCGTAGGTGACTGTGGAGCCCTGTTCATGATCTGCATCTTCTCCTGCAGTGAGGGCATCGGTTTCCAGGTGGAAGGCAGTCCCGGTCAGGGTTGGCTTGACGCGCCTTCCTCTTGGCACATTTCTCTCTTTCGCCCTCCATTCGTGCCTCTTCAAATCTACAGCACTGCTGGTCACAGCTGACCTCCAGCTGGAGTGGCCAAGGGCCAGGGCTTCCCAGTTCTCAGTGTCTATGCCAGAGTTTTTAAGGTTGGCTTTGAGCCCATCTTTCAATCTCTTTTCCTGCCCACCAACATTCCGTTTTCCGTTCTTGAGTTTGGAGTAGAGCAACTGCTTTGGGAGATGGTGGTCAGGCATCCAGACAACGTGATTGGTCCAGCGGAGTTGATGGCAGAGGAGCATCGCTTCAATGCTGGTACTCTTTGCTTCTTCCAGCACACTGACATTTGTCCGCTTGTCTTCCCAAGAGATTTGCAGGATTTTCCGGAGGCAGCGCAGATGGAATCGTTCTAGGAGTTGCATGTGACATCTGTAGACAGTCCAGGTCTCGCTGGCGTATAGCAGGGTTGGGAGGACAATAGCCTTATAAACAAGCACCTTGGTAACCTTATGGATGTCCTGGTCCTCAAACACTCTCTGCTTCATTTGGAAGAATGCTGCACTTGCAGAGCTCAGGTGATGTTGTATTTCAGTGTCAGTGTTGATGTCTGTAGACAGTCCACGTTTCGCAGGCGTATAGCAGGGTTGGGAGGACAATAGATTTAAAAACAAGCACCTTGGTCTCCCTATGGATGTCCTCAAACACTCTACTTCATTCGGAAAAAAGCTGCACTCGCAGAGCTCAGGCGGTGTTGTATTTCAGTGTCAATGTTGACATCTTTAGACAGTCCACGTCACGTCTCGCAGGCGTATAACAGGGTTGGGAGGACAATAGCTTTGTAAACAATGCTGCACTTGCAGAGCTCAGGCGATGTTGTATTTCGGTGTCAATGTTGGCTTTTGTGGAGAGATGGCTGCCAAGGGAGCAGAAATGGTCAAAATTTTCTAATGTTACACCATTAAGCTGTATTTCTGGCATTGGAGAGGGATTGGTTGGTGACTGATGGAAGAGCACTTTGGTTTTCTTGATGTTTAATGACAAGCCGAGCTTCTCGTACTCTTCTGCAACGGTGTTTAGAGTGGCTTGTAGGTCTTCTGAATGTGCACAGATGACGTTGTCATCAGCATACTGAAGTTCTATAATAGATGTTGTAACATTGGTTTTTGCTTTCAGTCTGCTGAGGTTAAATAGCTTGCCATCTATCCGATAGATGATTTCCACTTCGGTGGGAAGCTTCTCATCAACAAGATGTATCATAGTGATGAAGATGGAAATTAAAGTTGGGGCAATAACACATCCCTGTTTTGATATGATATAGCATGGGGATTAGTATTTGTTTTTAAACAACCAGAAACACCATTTATCCAGCATCTACCAATGCCTATGGGTACCGGCTTACTGAGAGTGTATTGCATTTTAGAACCTCTGTCTGGTGACCATTGATTCCTTCTAGAGAATCAAGAATCTCGGCTGGCTTAGACTGAATCAAGAGTTTGGCCTTGAGATGCAATAGGGTTAAAAGGAAAAAGTCTCTAATCTTGATCCTTAGCTCTTCTCAGTCCTGACCTCGATGAAGAAGATGAGGACCTCTTGGATGCCTACACATCCCCATCAAAAGTAAGTCTGTCTAGATCAGGGGTCCTCAGGGCGGATTACAGTGTACACATATATGGCAAACATTCAATGCCAATTTTTGACATAGAAACATATATAGACATACACAGAGGCTATTTAACTTTTTCTGGCCGCCAGGGGAGCTGTCGCTTTCATCGTCCATCTGCGACGCTGATGAAGCACTTCCGCATTCCCCACATGCTTCCCGGCTGGAATGCTTTGCTGGAGTCTTCTTTATGGCCTCATAAATCAGTTAATTTAGCCTCCCCACACTTTTTAAGGTGGTACCTAATTTTCCTACTTGACAGATACAACTGTCTTTCAGGTTGCAACGGTCAACACAATTAGTTGGAAACCCACTCCAACCCGGGCTGGCTTCAAACTCATGACCTTTTAGTCAGAGTGATCTTAATGCAGCTGACACTCAGCCAGCTGCGCCACAATAAGCTTATATTTATTAAAATTGTTCTTCAGTGTAATTATTGTATTGTTTTTAAGTGGTTTTTTGCACTACAAATAAGATATGTGCAGCATGCATAGGAATTCATTCATGGTTTTTTCAAATTATAATCTGGCCCTGCAACAGTGTGAGGGACTGTGACCTGGCCCTCTATTTAAAAAGTTTGAGGACCCGTGGTCTAGATAAAAAAGACATAAGGTAAAGGTTGTTCCCTCCTGTCCAGTCGTCTCCGATTCTGGCGGTTGGTGCTCATCTCCATTTCTAAGCAGAAAAGCCAGTGTTGTCTGTAGACACCTCTAAGGTCATGCGGCCAGCATGACTGCATGGAGCACCTTCCCTATTGATCTACTCACATTTGCATGTTTTCAAACTGCTAGGTTGGCAGGAGCTGGACCTAACAGTGGGAGCTCACCCCGCTTCCTGGATTTGAACTGCCAATCTTTTGGTCAGCAAGTTTAGCAGCTCAGCAGCAATTCTCTGCGCCACTGGAGGCTCCAATATGGTCGCTCCTAGATGCATTAATAACCAATCTGACTACATTATGGACAAATGTATGTCATTGAACTTGGTACAGGGGTAGTCCAAAGCTTTGGTGTTTCCAAAGATGGAATTATAACCCCCCAAGAGCCGGCGTTGTCCGTAGACACCTCCAAGGTTATTTATTTGTCATGTCAGGGCAACCAATGGTCGCTCCTAGATGCATTAATAACCAATCTGACTATATTCTGGACAAATGTATGTCATTGAACTTGGTACAGGGGTAGTCCAAAGCTTTGGTGTTTCCAAAGAAGGAATTATAACCCCCAAAGAGCCGGCGTTGTCCGTAGACACCTCCAAGGTTATTTATTTGTCATGTCAGGGCAACCAGTCAATTATATTACAAGGTGATGTGGCTGGCACAACTGCAAGGAGCACCCTTACCTTCCCGTCTGAGTGGTACCTATTGATCTACTCACATTTGCATGTTTTCGACCTGCTAGGTTGGTAGAAGCTGGGGCTAGCAGCAGGAGCTCGCCCCACTCCACGCATTCGAACCTGTTCAGCAGCTCAGTGCTTTAATCCACTGTGCTACCGGGGGCTCCAAAGACATACTCTGCATCAATAAATATTGTGTTGTTTTCTGCTGGGCAGGAAACTTATAGCTTCTGCAATCAGTGGCAATATTTGTTGTGGCATTTTTCTTCCTAGATCAGTTTCTTCTTGGGTTGAGAACTCCAAATGCAGGAGTTCGGGAAAATAAAAAACATCTGAATAGTTGGGTTGTTGTGAGTTTTCCGGGCTGTATGGCCATGTTCCAGAAGCATTCTCTTCTGACATTTCGCCTGCATCTATGCAATAGACAAAAGTTCTTTCTACCACCCTAGACATTCCACAGATATATAAACCCTACTTGCCTAGTTTCCAACAGACCTCACAACCTCTGAGGATGCCTGCCATAGATGTGGGTGAAACGTCAGGAGAGAATGCTTCTGGAACATGGCCAGAGAGCCCGAAAACTCACAACAATCCAGTGATTCTGGCCATGAAAGCCTTCAGCAACACATCAGAATAGTTCATTGGTCCACCAATCATGCTTAGCCCTTGGTTCTCTAATGTCTGTCATAAAAAAGGTTCAATCTCTCATCCATCCAAAGTATAAACACACAATATTCCTGGATTGTCCTAGCCAAACGTTTTGGATCAATGGTCTTCTCTAAACCTGGTAGGTGTCCATATAGGCTATACCAGGGGTCCTCAAACTTTTTAAACAGAGGACCAGGTCACAACTCCTCAAACTATTGGAGGGCCGGATTATAATTTGAAAAAAAAAAAGAATGAATTCCTATGCACACTGCACATATATTATTTGTAGTGCAAAAAAACACGTAAAAACAATACAATAATTAAAATGAACAATTTTAACAAATATAAACTTATTAGTATTTCAATGGGAAGCGTGGGCCTGCTTTAGGTTGATGAGATAGTGTTGTTGTTGTGTGCTTTCAAGTCCTTTCAGACTTAGATTGACCTTGAGCAAGGGCCGAGTAAATGACCTTGGAGGGCCTTATCCGGCCCGTGGGCCATAGTTTGACCCCCTGGGCTATACACAACAGTTAATATGTCCCCTGTTGACATTTATGGCATGACACCTAAGGAATCATGATGGACCGAGTAAATCCCTAAAGAGGATACCACCCTAGGAATTTTTGAGGTTTTGAGGTGAGTCTCTAGCAGTGGTTCTCAACCTGTGGGTCTCCAGATGTTTTGGCCTTCAACTCCCAGAAATCCAAACAGCTGGTAATCTGGCTGGGATTTCTGGGAGTTGTAGTCCAAAACACCTGGGAACCCACAGGTTGAGAACCATTGGTCTATAGTAACTTGTGGTGAAAGCCATTCATCAGAGTTTGCTATTCAAGTTTCCAATGTTCGGGAACACATCCACCTTGGATATGAGGAGCCAGAGGCGGCCCTGGGTAATTTTCAAGGGTAAGCAAACAGTATTTCGGCACCCCACTCACCCCCAACCAATCACTGATATATATTTTCTGTTCGTCGTGGGAGTTCTGTGTGCCATATTTGGTTCAATTCCATCATTGGTGGAGTTCTGTGTGCCATATTTGGTTCAATTCCATCATTGGTGGAGTTCTGTGTGCCATATTTGGTTCAGTTCCATCATTGGTGGAGTTCTGTGTGCCATATTTGGTTCAATTCCATCATTGGTGGAGTTCTGTGTGCCATATTTGGTTCAATTCCATCATTGGTTCAATTCCATCATTGGTGGAGTTCTGTGTGCCATATTTGGTTCAATTCCATCATTGGTGGAGTTCTGTGTGCCATATTTGGTTCAATTCCATCATTGGTGGAGTTCTGTGTGCCATATTTGGTTCAATTCCATCATTGGTGGAGTTCTGTGTGCCATATTTGGTTCAATTCCATCATTGGTGGAGTTCTGTGTGCCATATTTGGTTCAATTCCATCATTGGTGGAGTTCTGTGTGCCATATTTGGTTCAATTCCATCATTGGTGGAGTTCTGTGTGCCATATTTGGTTCAATTCCATCATTGGTGGAGTTCTGTGTGCCATATTTGGTTCAATTCCATTTCCATCATTGGTGGAGTTCTGTGTGCCATATTTGGTTCAATTCCATCATTGGTTCAATTCCATCATTGGTGGAGTTCTGTGTGCCATATTTGGTTCAATTCCATCATTGGTGGAGTTCTGTGTGCCATATTTGGTTCAATTCCATCATTGGTGGAGTTCTGTGTGCCATATTTGGTTCAATTCCATCATTGGTGGAGTTCTGTGTGCCATATTTGGTTCAATTCCATCATTGGTTCAATTCCATCATTGGTGGAGTTCTGTGTGCCATATTTGGTTCAATTCCATCATTGGTTCAATTCCATCATTGGTGGAGTTCTGTGTGCCATATTTGGTTCAACTCCATCATTGGTGGAGTTCAGAATGCTCTTTGATTGTAGGTGAACTATACATCCCAGTAACTACAACTCGCATATGTCAAGGTCTATTTTCCCCCAAGAGCACCTTAAGAGCGACCCTGGGCAAAATCAAGTATACTGCAATGGCTTACTTTGTGTAATGGGTTGAGACGCATCTGCGAGGAGTGTAAGTGGTGCCAAGTTTATGACCAATGAATGCTTTCGGCCCATCGTTGGATCTTGACGTTCTGTCTTGAAATATCTTGCAGACGTCTCAGAAGCGTGAGATCACGACGCCGGAGAACCCGCGCTCTAAGCGGACCCTTTCTGGCCGTAGCCCACGCTTGGCGTTTTCCCCCAATAGCTTCTCCCCCAGGTAAGGGTCCCATAGCGGCATACGGCAGCCGTCTGCTTGCTGCTTCCATTCCACGTTGTGTTTGATTCCTGCCGATTCGGGTTTGCATGACTTGGCCTTGAGCTTTGGGTTCTTAAGATTGTGGGACTCTTTGACGCAAATTTCAAGGCACGAAAATGTTGATGCTTTTTATTTCCTAACTCAACATCTTTATTAATGACTTAGATGAAGGGTTAGAAGGCATGATCATTTACTAATATTATAATATAGTATATTGTATATACATATGATATTTATAATATTATAATGTAATACAATATAATGCTAGTAATAATAATACAATATTATAATTACAATTTTATATTTACATTACATAGAATATTACTAATAATATTACAATATAATGGTATAGTGCCATCCAGCCCGACCTAATTCTGCTATGCATGGTGACACAATCAAAGCCCTCCCAACAGATGGCCATCCAGACTCTGCTTAAAAGGAGCCACCACCAGACTCCTAGGCAATCTATATTACATTAGAGTTAGAAAGGAGCCCCAGAAGCCAACCTAATTCTGCTATGCAGGGCAACACAATCAAAGCCCCCCCGACAGATGGTCATCCAGACTATGTTTAAACAGAGCCACCACCAGACTGCCAAGCAATCTGTTTTACATTAGAGTTAGAAAGGAGCCCCAGAGACAGCCCGACCTCATTCTGCTATGCAGGGAGACACAATCAAAGCCCTCCTGACAGATGGCCATCCAGACTCTGCTTAAAAGGAGCCACCACCAGACTCAAAGCAATCTATATTACATTAAAGTTATAAAAGAGCCCCAGAGGCCTACCTCATTCTGCTATGCAGGGAGACACAATCAAAGCCCTCCCGACAGTTGGCCATCCAGACATGCTTAAACATTACCACCACCAGACTCCCACGCAATCTATATTACAGTAAGAGTTAGAAAGGAGCGCCAGAGGCCAACCTCATTCTGCTATGCAGGGCAACACAATCAAAGCCCTCCAGACAGATGGCCATCCAGACTCTGCTTAAACAGAGCCACCACCAAACTCCTAGGCAATCTATATTACAGTAGAGTTAGAAAGGAGCGCCAGAGGCCAACCTAATTCTGCAATGCAAGGTGACACAATCAAAGCCTTCCCAACAGATGGCCATCCAGACTCTGCTTAAACAGAGCCACCACCAAATTGGGAGGGATAGCCAATACTCCAGAGGACAGGAGCAGAATTCAAAACGATCTTGACAGATTAGAGAGATGAAGGGCCAAAACTAACAAAATGAAGTTCAACAGGGACAAATGCAAGATACTCCACTTAGGCAGAAAAAACGAAATGCAAAGATACAGAATGGGGGAAGCCTGGCTCGAGAGCAGTACGTGTGAAAAAGATCTTGGAGTCCTCGTGGACAACAAGTTAAACATGAGCCAACAATGTGATGTGGCGGCAAAAAAAGCCAATGGGATTTTGGCCTGCATCAGGAGGAGCATAGTGTCTAGATCTAGGGAAGTCATGCTACCCCTCTATTCTGCTTGGTTAGACCACACCTGGAATATTGTGTCCAATTCTGGGCACCACAATTCAAGAGAGATATTGACAAGCTGGAATGTGTCCAGAGGAGGGCGACTAAAATGATCAAGGGTCTGGAGAACAAGCCCTATGAGGAGTGGCTTAAGGAGCTGGGCATGTTTAGCCTGAAGAAGAGAAGGCTGAGAGGAGATATGATAACCATGTATAAATATGTGAGAGGAAGCCACAGGGAGGAGGGAGCAAGCTTGCTTTCTGCTTCCTTGGAGACTAGGACGCAGAACAATGGCTTCAAACTACAAGAGAGGAGATTCCATCTGAACATGAGGAAGAACTTCCTGACTGTGAGAGCCGTTCAGCAGTGGAACTCTCTGCCCCGAGTGTGGTGGAGGCTCCTTCTTTGGAAGCATTTAAACAGCTGTCAGGGGTGCTTTGAATGCAATATTCCTGCTTCTTGGCAGAAGGCGGTTGGACTGGATGGCCCATGAGGTCTCTTCCAACTCTATGATTCTAGGGGTCAGGGAGATCGAAATACAATAGTTTAGTTGTGCAGAGTAACTAAGGGGTGGTTTTCCAATCAAAACAAGCCAAGAGAGCGTCAAGAAAATGTCATTCAAACCAATCTTCCTCTTTCCCTGCCTCCAAAGTGCTACTCCGTCTCAGAAATACGCATCTCGGAGCCAACGTGGCGAAGTGGCCACCTCTTTTGGCTCCGTTTTGGGCACTTCCTGGACTGGAAACGGAGGCCTGAAGACTTCTCTGAAGCTGTTCAGTTCTGCAAAGGATTCCCTTAGCAAACCCTACAAATACATGTTCCAGGACCTACTGGAAAACCGAGAAGGTAATTTGTATGTATTTATGTATGTATGAAGCTAGGAGCCCCCGGTGGCACAGTGGGTTAAACCCCTGCGCTGGCAGGACTGAAGACCAACAGGTCACAGGTTTGTATCCAGGGATGAGCTCCCACTATCAGCTCCAGCTCCTCATGCGGGGACATGAGAAAAACCTCCCACAAGGATGATAAAACATCAAATCATCCGGGCATCCACTGGGCAACGTCCTTGCAGACGGCCAATTCTCTCACACCAGAAGCGACTTGCAGTTTCTCAAGTCACTCCTGACACGACAAAAAAAAAATGTCTGAAGCTCTGTGACCTGAACAAAAAAGGTGAAGGTTTCCGCTTGACATGTCCAGTCGAGTCTGACTGGGGTGGTACTCATCTCCATTTCTAAGCTGGTGTTGTCCATACTTACTTAGGTGATCCCTTGTAGTCCGAGGATGATGGTCCTCCAAGGTTGGTGACCATAGGTGACACTGGAGCCCTATTCTTGATCTGAATCTTCTCCCGCAGTGAGGGCATCGGTTTCCAGGTGGAAGGCGGTCCCAGTTGGGGTTGGCTTGATGCGCCTTCCTCTTGGCACATTTCTCTTTTTCGTCCTCTATTCGTGCCTCTTCAAATTCTGCAGCACTGCTGGTCACAGCTGACCTCCAACTGAAGGCGGTCCTGGTTGAGGTTGGCTTGACGCGACTTCCTCTTGGGACGTTTCTCTCTTTCACCCTCCATTCATGCCTCTTCAAATTCTACAGCACTGCTGGTCATATATCTATATATAATTATAATATTGTATTATTAGTAGTAGTATTAGATTGTATTACATTATAATATTATAAAGATTGATCTCACATTTGCATGTTTTCTAACTGCTAGGTTAGCAGAAGCTGGGGCTAACAGGAGGAGCTTATTATTATTATTATTATTTCCCGCATTATTATTTCCCACATTATTTTTTCCCGCATTATTATTTCCCGGGGGTCCTTCTCTACCCCCGAAGGGGAATCAGGACGGCTTACGATGGGCCCTAATACAAGGCCATTACATAGCAATTACAATAATTAAAACCACAATTCAGCGTAAAACATAATTAAACAGTACATAAGTCATCACTAAAACAATAAAACTGTCTCGTCAGCCATACCGTCATTCCAGTCACATCCCTTTAAGGTGCTGCTTGCATCCATTGTTCAAAAGCCTGTTCACAAAACCATGCCTTTAATTTCTTTTGAAAAACCAGGAGGGAGGTGGCCGATCTTACCTCAGTTTGGGAGTGTGTTCCAAAGGCGGGGAGCCACCGCCGAGAAGGCCCTGTCTCCCGTCCCCGCCAGGCGCATTTGTGCTGTTGACGGGAGCGAGAGCAGGGCCTCCCCGGATGATCTTAGGTCTCACCCCGCTCCCCGGATTCGAACTGCCAACCTTTCGGTCAGCAAGTTCAGCAGTTTAATCCGCTGCACCACCGGGGGCTCCTTCTACATACATGTATATATATTCATACGAGTTATAATTACTTGGTGATGAGAAAGGCACTTTGTACATGCGCAGAGAAGGTCCTCCAGATTTCTCCGGAGGCTAAATCTGGACCCTGAAAATAATATCCTATTATTCTTTTTTTCCCCAACAGTACTCTCATATAAAATTGAAGAATTAGGCGAAGCACTAAAGGAGCATTACAACATTGAAGAATTTTCCTCTCTGAGCATCCCTGTGCAGGTGAGCTCTGTGCCTAAAATTATATGATTATTGCTTCGTAATATTTTACTAATATTGAGATGAGGTATGGAGGCCATTCCTTAAATATCGTCTAATAATAATAACAGTACATATGTCAACAAAATTTGAAAAATGGCCTGTTTCTGGTTTGAAAGTATTAATTCCTGTTTAATTGTGCTGTCCTTATTGTGAAAGTAGTGGTTCTACTCCCGCAACGTTGCTTTTGTATTTTCATCCTTCCTGAAACCCAAAAGTTAATGAAAATATGTCATTTTTAACCTTTCAGAACAAAGATTTTTCAGTTTAATGAACTTTTCCCATGTTTTTATGATAGAACCAATTAGGAAATGACATTTATAACCCAGAAACAAAAATGGTGTTACATAGCACCATTCAACATAGCAACAGTCTTGGACAGCAATGGCTCCCAAAGTGACCCATTTAAGGTGGAATCCAGTGTCAAACAGGGATGTGTTATTGTCCCAACTTTATTTTCCATCTTTATCGCTATGATACTTCATCTTGTTGATGGGAAGCTTCTCACCGGAGTGGAAATCATCTATCAGACAGAGGGCAAGCTATCTAACCTCAGCAAAGCCAAAACCAAGGTTACAACATCTATTATAGAACTCCAATATGCTGATGACAACGTCATCTGTGCGCATTCAGAAGAAGACCTACAAGCCACTCTAAACACCTTTGCAGAAGCATACACCAGCTGCGCCCGTACCTTGGGAAGTTTGACTTGGCCATGGTATTCCACGCTCTAGTTACATCCGTATAGACTACTGCAATGCTCTCTACGTGGGGTTGCCTTTGAAGACGGTCCAGAAGTTTCAACTAGTCCAACGAATGGCAGCCAGGTTGTTAACAGGGAGCATACAATCCCCTTGTTGCGCCAGCTCCACTGGCTGCCAGTTTGCTACTGGGCCCAATTCAAAGTGCTGGCTTTGGCCTATAAAGCCCTAAACGATTCTGGCCCAACTTACCTGTCCGAACGTATCTCCCCTTATGAACCACTGAGGACTTTAAGATCATCTGGGGAGGCCCTGCTTTTGGTCCCGCCTTCGTCACAAGCACGTTTGGCGGGGACGAGAGACAGGGCCTTCTCAGTGGTGGCCCCTCGGCTATGGAATGCCCTCTCTAGGGAAATCAGATCTGCTCCCTCCCTCTTGACGTTTCGGAGGCAAGTTAAAGCGTGGCTATTCGAGCAAGCGTTTACAAATACAGAGTAGCTAATATAGGAAATCGAATGTCCTGACAATAGAACTGGACAACGTTTGAGAATAATGAGACATTGATGATGTCGCTTTTATTGTTTTTATGATGTCTTATACTGCTCAATGTTTTTTGTCTATTATCTTTTATGTATACTGATTTGTTGGAAACCGGCTTGAGTCGCCAATTGGCTGAGAAAGGCGGTATACAAAAACAGTAAATAAATAAATAAATACATACATACATATGAGAAGCTCGGCCTGTCATTAAACATCGAGAAAACCAAAGTGCTCTTCCATCAGTCACTAGCCAATCCCTCTCCAATGCCAGAGATACAGCTTAATGGTGTAACAGTAGAAAATGTTGACCATTTCCACTCCCTTGGCAGCCACCTCTCCACAAAAGTCAACATTGACACCGAAATACAACACCACCTGAGCTCTGCAAATGCAGCTTTTCCCCAAATAAAGGAGAGTGTTTGAGGAGCAGGACATCTGTAGGGATACCAAGGTGCTTGTTTACAAAGCTATTGTCCTCCCAATTCTGCTATATGTCTGTGAAACGTGGACTGTCTACAGATGTCACACGCAACTCCTGGAACGATTCCATCAGTGCTGACTCCAAAAAATCCTACAAATCTCTTGGAAAGACAAGCGGACAAGGTGCTTGTTTACAAAGCTATTGTCCTCCCAACCCTGCTATACACCTGCGAGACGTGGACTATCTAAAGACGTCAACATTGACACTGATATAAAACACCGCCGGAGCTCTGCGAGTGCAGCATTTTTCCGAATGAAGCAGAGAGGGTTTGAGGACTGGGTGTCAGGTTCCGCTGGATCTCAGAATGAAACACACACTCACAAGAACAAATCCTGGAATTGCGGTTTATTCAGTCCATACAGTACAAAGCCAAAGAGAGAACTGAGGTTTCCCGCCAAACGCCTCCAGATCCCCCTTCTGTCTTCACTCCCCCCTCCTCCCCTTTGCTTATCACAGTTTAGACTACAATTCCTTTCCCACATCTTCAAAGGGAAAGCTTGGCCCAGATGGCCCTACTATAAACTAATCTATCATGTCTACTCCCTCTAGTGTCAGGAGGAAGACTTCTTGAAATTCCTTGGAAACATGAAGGCACATCCTGACACTGGGACATCCGTAGGGAGACCAAGGTGCTTGTTTATAAAGCTATTGTCCTCCCAACCCTGCTATACACCTGCAAGACGTTGACTGTCTAAAGACGTCAACATTGACACTGATATACAACACTGCCTGAACTCTGCGAGTGCAGCTTTTCCCCGAATGAAGCAGAGAGTGTTTGAGGACTGGGACATCCATAGGGATACCAAGGTGCTTGTTTATAAAGCTATTTCCCTCCCAACCCTGCTCTATGCCTGCGAAACGTGGACTGTCTACACACTTCACATGCAACTCCTGGAACGATTCCATCAGCACTGCCTTCGAAAAATCCTGCAAATCTCTTGGGAAGACAAGCGGACAAATGTCAGCGTGCTGGAAGAAGCAAAGACCACCAGCATTGAAGCGATGCTCCTCCGCCATCAACTCTGCTGGACCGGCCACGTTGTCCAGATGCCCGACCACCGTCTCCCAAAGCAGTTGCTCTACTCCGAACTCAAGAACGGAAAACGGAATGTTGGTGGACAGGAAAAGAGATTGAAAGATGGGCTCAAAGCCAACCTTAAAAACTCTGGCATAGACACTGAGTACTGGGAGGCCCTGGCCCCTGAGCGCTCCAGTTGGAGGTCAGCTGTGACCAGCAGTGCTGCAGAATTTGAAGAGGCACAAATGGAGGGCGAAAGAGATAAATGTGGCAAGAGGAAGGCACGTCAAGCCAACCCCGACCGGGACCGCCTTCCACCTGATTTCCTCCTTTCTGTTGAAATTCTCCACATGCTTGTGGATTTTAATGGCTTCCCTGTGTCATCTGACATGTGGTTGTTAGAGTGGGCCAGCATTTCTGTGTTCTCAAATAATATGTTGTGCAATATCAAGAGCAACATTCAGAAAAAATGGGGAATTCCAGGAAGGAAACAACCAGGGCCATCTAACAACTCCCAACAAAGGAATCCCCCAGGCAGGAAGCAGCCAGGCTTTGAAGCGGCAAGGCTATTCAATGCTAATCAAGCTGGCCAGTTGGAACATCCAGGGTGGGAGAAAGAAAGTTTTTTCTTCCACCCTGGACATTCCTGAGTTTCCAACTAACCTCACAACCTCTGAGGATGCCTGCCATTGGTGTGGGCAAAACATCAGGAGAGAATGCCCGAAACATTCACCCCAAAAAATTCACAGCAACCCAGTGATTCCAGCCATGGAAGCCTTCGACAACACAATATATTATTTAATTCTGATTTATTTATATACTAATGTTTTTTTTAAGTATTATGATTTTTTGTTTTAGTCATACTATATATAGATTTGGTTTAGTTTCATTGCTAAGACACAAAAGAGACATGCACAAGAAGTGGAAAAAGGGAGAAATCACCAAAGAAGAATTCAAACAAATAGCCAACACCTGTAGGGAAAAGGTCCACAAGGCTAAAGCACAAAACGAGCTCGGGCTTGCTAGGGACATTAAAAACAATAAAAATGGCTTCTTTTCTTATGTCAGTAGAAAAAGGAAGAACAAGGAGGCGATAGGACCTCTTCGACATTGTGCACAATATCTTTAATGTCAAAAATTATCCATATGTTGTGATTTACTGATTTTAAGGATCTAGTGACGGTTCTGGGCCAGATTGGCTGTGATGCCAATGGCAAACTCAACGCCAAATCCATCGTCCTGGAAGGCGACCAGGAACACTCCTCGGGCGGTCTCATTCCGGTGGACGTCTCAGAGCTTCCAGAGTATTCCCTTTTCCCTGGACAGGTGAGGCATCTTGACCTACAGAGATGTTTGTTTATTTATCGTGTCAGAAGCGAATGGAGAACCCAGTTATAATGTACTAGCTGTACCCGCCACGCGTTGCTGTGGCCAACCTTCTCTCCCTGTTTCTCTCCTTCTCTATTTCTCTCCTTCCTTCCCTCCCTCTTTCCTTCCTTCCCTCTTTTTCTTTCCCTTCTTTCTTTCTTCTTTACCTGTTTCTTCTCTCTCTTCCTTTGCTTTTTGGTTCTCTCCTTCCTTGTCTCTTTCCTTCCTTCATTCCCTCCCCCTTTCTCTCTTTCGTTCCTTCTCTCCTTCCTTCCCTCTTTCACTTTTTTATTTCCTTCTCCCTTCTCTACCTTTCTTTCTTTTCTTCTCCCCTCCTCCTTTCCCTCTTTCTCTCCTTCCTTCTCTCTCCTCCTCTCCTTCCTTCCTTCTCTACCCTTCTTTCTTTCCTTTTTTCTCACCTTCTCTCCTTCTTTCCCTCTTTCTCTCTCCTTCTCTCCTTCCTTCCTTTTCTACCCTGCTTTCTTCTTTCTCTCCTTCCATCCTTCTTTCCCTCCTTCTCTCCTTCCTTCCTTCCTTCTCTTCCTTTCTTTCCTTCTCTCCTTCCTTCCTTCTCTACCCTTTTTTCTTTCCTTCTTTCTCTCATTCCCTCCTTCTTTCCCTTCTTCTTTCCCTCCTCTCCTTCCTTCCTTCTCTTCCTTTCTTTCTTTCCTTCTCTCCTTCCTTCCTTCTCTACCCTTCTTTCTTTCCTTCTTTCTCTCCTTCTCTCCTTCTTTTCCTTCTTCTTTCCCTCCTTCTCTCCTTCCTTCTCTTCTTTTCTTTCTTTCCTTCTCTCCTTCCTTCCTTCTCTACCCTTCTTTCTTTCCTTCTTTCTCTCCTTCCCTCCTTCTTTCCCTTCTTCTTTCCCTCCTTCTCTCCTTCCTTCTCTCCTTCTCTCCTTCCTTCCTTGTCTACCCTTCTTTCTCTCCTTCTCTCCTTCTTTCCCTTCTTCTTTCCCTCCTTCTCTCCTTCCTTCCTTCTCTTCCTTCCTTTCTTTCCTTCTCTCCTGTACCTTTGTGGTACAGACAGACAAGCAAACATTAGAAAGTCAGAAACCTGAAAGTCTTTCCCATTTTTCCTGTTTTTAGGTTGTTGTTATGGAAGGCATCAACAGTACCGGGAAGCAGTTTTTTGCATCCAAACTATATGAGGTGAGAAATTTGATGTATTACTAATGCTCTGTCTGGGCTTTTTTCCCCCATTGGTTTTATGCTATCTTGTGTTAGTTTTTTATTGGTTCCAACTGCTGATGTTGAAAACTTCTAAATTTAAATGCTATTTTTTTAATGTTTTTGTGTATTAGGTTTTAATTCACACATTTAATTCTCATACTACTAGCACAATGTATTATGATTATTATTAGTAGTAGCAATAGTATCAATATTAGTATTTATACCCGTAGCACAATGTATTATTATTATTATTAGTAGTAGTATCAATATTAGTATTTATACCCGTAGCACAATGTATTATTATTATTATTAGTAGTAGTAGTAGTATCAATATTAGTATTTATACCCGTAGCACAATGTATTATTACTATTAGTAGTAGTAGTAGTATCAATATTAGTATTTATACCCGTAGCACAATGTATTATTATTATTATTAGTAGTATCAATATTAGTATTTATACCCATAGCACAATGTATTATTATTATTATTAGTAGTAGTAGTAGTAGTAGTATCAATATTAGTATTTATACCCGTAGCACAATGTATTATTATTATTAGTAGTAGTAGTAGTAGTATCAATATTAGTATTTATACCCGTAGCACAATGTATTATTATTATTATTAGTAGTAGTAGTATCAATATTAGTATTTATACCCGTAGCACAATGTATTCTTATTCTTATTACTATTATTATTAGTAGTAGTAGAAGTAGTATCAATATTAATATTTATACCCGTAACACAATGTATTAGTAGTAGTAGAAGTAGTATCAATATTAATATTTATACCCGTAGCACAATGTATTAGTAGTAGTAGTAGTAGAAGTAGTATCAATATTAATATTTATACCCGTAGCACAATGTATTATTATTATTAGTAGAAGTAGTATCAATATTAGTATTTATACCCATAGCACAATTTATTATTATTATTAGTAGTAGCAGCAGTAGTATCAATATTCGTATTTATGGTTAGCAGTAGTATCAATATTCGTACGGTTAGCCACTTTGAATCTCCTTTGTGCATAAATACATCTGGTGTGCTCAGATCCATTCCTTTGTTTGCTGTGTGCCATAGAAAAAAATAGGAAAAGGTTAAGGGAGAGGCAGTGGGTGGGGTCATGCAAATTCCACACCAAGGGAGAGAGTCAGAAACACTGGGATGTCTGTGGTGGAGGAAACACATAAAATCTAGGATCAAATGGTGGGCAGTATGCTGTTTGGCAGTATATTGCTGCTGCTGCTGCTGCTACTACTACTACTACTACGACTAATAATAATAATAATACATTGTACTACCAATATAAATGGACATGGACATGTTCATGGCGCTCACTATAAACAGCAGTGTCATTGGAGGAAGGGCCTTTGGTATCTCCGGAGTAGCAGGAGCTATAGCTTAGCTATTCATGGAAGTGGGAGCCTGTCTGTGTAAGTGTACACCTCAGCCACGCACATACATACATATTTTCACTTTTATTATGTGTATAGATATTGCTGCTGCTACTACTACTACTACTACTACTAATAATAATAATAATAATACATTGTACTACCGATATAAATACTAACATTGATACTACTGCTACTACTACTAATAAAAGAATACATTATGCTACCGGTGGAACTGATAATAATAATAATAATAATAATAATAATAATAATAATAATATACATTGTGCTACCGATATAAGTACTAATATTGATAGTACTACTACTAATAAGAATACATTGTGCTATGGGTATAAATACTAATTTTGAAACTACTGCTACTACTACTACTACTAATAATAATAATAATACATTGTGCTACGGGTATAAATACTAATATTGATACTATTGGTACTATTAATAATAATATTAAAACTTTGTGCTAGCAGTATAAATACTAATATTGATACTACTGCTAATAATAATAATAATGCATTGTGCTAGCAGTATAAATACTAATATTGATACTATTGCTGCGGGGACATGAGAGAAGCCTCCCACAAGGATGATAAAAACATCAAATCATCCGGGCGTCCCCTGGGCAACGTCCTTGCAGACGGCCAATTCTCTCACACCAGAAGCGACTTGCAGTTTCTCAAGTCGCTCCTGACACGACCAAAAAAACCAAAAAACTATTGCTGCTACTAATAATAATACATTGTGCTAGCAGTATAAATACTAATATTGATACTACTGCTACTGCTACTACTACTACTAATAATAATACATTGTGCTAGCAGTACAAATACTTAAATTGATACCACTGCTGCTACTACTACTGCTACTACTACTACTAATAATAATACATTGTGCTAGCAGTATAAATACTAATATTGATACTACTGCTACTACTACTAATAATAATACATTGTGCTAGCAGTAAAAATACTTGTATTGATACTACTGCTGCTACTACTACTAATAATAATTGTGCTAGCAGTATAAATACTAATATTGATACTACTGCTAATAATAATAATACATTGTGCTAGCAGTGTAAATACTAATATTGATACTACTGCTACTACTACTTATAATAATAATAATAATAATAATAATACATTGTGTTAGCAATATAAATACTTATATTGATACTACTGCTATTACTACTACTAATAACAATAATAATACATTGTGCTAGCAGTATAAATACTAGTATTGATACTACTGCTACTACTACTAATAATAATAATACATTATGCTATGGGTATACATACTAATTTTGATACTACTGCTACTACTAATAATAATAATACATTGTGCTAGCAGTGTAAATACTAATATTGATACTACTGCTACTACTACTTCTAATAATAATAATAATAATAATAATACATTGTGTTAGCAATATAAATACTTATATTGATACTACTGCTATTACTACTACTAATAACAATAATAATACATTGTGCTAGCAGTATAAATACTAGTATTGATACTACTGCTACTACTACTAATAATAATAATACATTATGCTATGGGTATACATACTAATTTTGATACTACTGCTACTACTAATAATAATAATACATTGTGCTAGCAGTGTAAATACTAATATTGATACTACTGCTACTACTACTTCTAATAATAATAATAATAATACATTGTGCTAGCAGTATAAATACTTATATTGATACTACTGCTGCTACTACTACTAATAATAATACATTGTGCTAGCAGTATAAATATTAGTATTGATACTACTGCTGCTACTACTACTACTAATAATACATTGTGCTAGCAGTATAAATACTAATATTGATACTACTGCTAATAATAATAATAATAATAATAATACATTGTGCTAGTAGTATAAATACTTATATTGATACTATTGCTGCTACTACTAATAATATATTGTTCGAATTCAGGCCACTGGGTGAGCTCCCACTGTTAGCCCCAGCTTCTGAAGTTCAAAAAATACGCAGGTAATAGCGCTCCATGTAGTCAGACTAGCCACATGACCTTGGAGGTGTCTATGGACAAGGAAATGGAGATGAGCACCAAACCTCAGAGTCAGACACGACTAGACTTAACGTCAAGGGGAAACCTTTACCTTTACTCTTGTCTTCTGAAAACGGCTTTCCGGTTTCGTAGGAATCTTGAAAGTTGCTTCCTACGGCGTGTTAGGCTATTGATCCCCGACATACTTTTCATTTCTTCTCTCTTCAGGGAGTGCCACTTCCGTTTCATAAACCTACAGATTTGATTGAAGGTGAGTGAGATCCTGGGACTGGGTTGGAGCCCTTAGGCTGGATCCGCACTGCTAAGTAATCCAGTTTGGGTTTGCAGGGTGTGCTTAGTGTTGTTCAGAGTGCATTAGATGGGTCTCTGCTTCATCCCTTTCAGACCCAGAGCCCCAGATGGTCCTGGTTGCCTGTGGCCCGTACACCACTTCGGACAGCGTCACATACGACCCTTTGCTGGACCTGATTAACGTCATTAATAAAGACAAGCCAGACGTTTGCATCCTGGTAAGGCAGAAGATTCCATAGAATCCTAGACTTGGAAGGGAACTCCAAAGGCCATCCAGCTCAACCTCATTCTGCTATGCAGGGCGACACAATCAAAGCCCTCCCGACGGATGGCCATCCAGACTCTGCTTAAAAGGAGCCACCACCAGACTCCAATGCAAATTATATTGCATTAGAGTTAGAAAGGAGCCTCAGAGGCCAACCTAATTCTGCTATGCAGGATGACACAATCAAAACCCTCCCAACAGATGGCCATCCAGACTATGCTTAAACAGAGCCACCACCAGACTGCCAAGCAATCTGTATTACATTAGAGTTAGAAAGGAGCCCCAGAGACCAGCCTAATTCCGTTATGCAGGGTGACAKAATCAAAACCCTCCCAACAGATGGCCATCCAGGCTCTGCTTAAACAGAGCCATCACCCGACTCCCAGGCAATCTATATTGCATTAGAGTTAGAAAGGAGCCCCATAGGCCAAGTTAATTCTGCTATGCAGGGCGACACAATCAAAGCCCTCCCGACAGATGGCCATCCAGACTCTGCTTAAAAGGAGCCACCACCAGACTCCAATGCAAATTATATTGCATTAGAGTTAGAAAGGAGCCTCAGAGACCAACCTAATTCTGCTATGCAGGATGACACAATCAAAACCCTCCCAACAGATGGCCATCCAGACTGTGCTTAAACAGAGCCACCACCAGACTGCCAAGCAATCTGTATTACATTAGAGTTAGAAAGGAGCCCCAGAGACCAGCCTAATTCCGTTATGCAGGGTGACAAAATCAAAACCCTCCCAACAGATGGCCATCCAGGCTCTGCTTAAACAGAGCCATCACCCGACTCCCAGGCAATCTATATTGCATTAGAGTTAGAAAGGAGCCCCATAGGCCAAGTTAATTCTGCTATGCAGGGCGACACAATCAAAGCCCTCCCGACAGATGGCCATCCAGACTCTGCTTAAAAGGACCAGACTCCCAGGCAATCCATATTACATTAGAGTTATAATGTAATATATAGATTATATATTATCTATATATTACATAAATTAAGCCATCCAGCCCAACCTTATTCTGCTATGCAGGGCAACACAATCAAAGCCCTCCCAACAGATAGCCATCCAGGCTCTGCTTAAAAGGAGCCACCACCAGACTCCCAGGCAATCTATATTACATTAGAGTTAGAAAGGACCCTAGAGGCCAACGTAATTCTGCTATGCAGGAAGACACAATCAAAACCCTCCCGACAGATGGACATCCAGACTCTGCTTAAATGGAGCCACCACCAGACTCCCAGGCAATCTATATTACATTAGAGTTATAATGTAATATATAGATTATATATTCTCTATATATAATCTATATAGATTATATATACATAATATATAATCTATATATTACATAGATTAAGCCATCCAGCCCTACCTAATTTTGCTATGCAGGGCGACACAATCAAAGCCCTCCCAACAGATGGCCATCCAGACTCTGCTTAAACGGAGCCACAACCAGACTCCAACGCAATCTATATTCCATTAGAGTTAGAAAGGAGCTCCAGAGGCCAAGTTAATTCTGCTATACAGGGCAACACAATCGAAGCCCTCTTGACAGATGGCCATCCAGACTCTGCTTAAAAGGAGCCACCACCAGACTCCCAGGCAATCCGTATTGCATTAGAGTTATAATGTAATATATAGATTATATATTATCTATAATCTATATATTACATAGATTAAGCCATCCAGCCCGACCTAATTCTGCTATGCAGGGTGACACAATCAAAACCCTCCCGATAGATAGCCATCCAGGCTCTGCTTAAAAGGAGCCACCACCAGACTCCAAAGCAATCTCTTATTACATTAGAGTTAGAAAGGAGCCCCAGAGGCCATCCAGCCCAACCTAATTCCGTTATGCAGGGTGACACAATCAAAGCCCTCCCAACAGATGGCCATCCAGACTCTGCTTAAAAGGAGCCACCACCAGACTCTCAAGCAATCTATATTGCATTAGAGTTAGAAAGGAGCCTCAGAGACCAACCTCATTCTGCTATGCAGGGCGACACAATCAAAACCCTCCTGACAGATGGACATCCAGACTCTGCTTAAACGGAGCCACAACCAGACTCCCACGCAATCTATATTGCAATAGAGTTAGAAAGGAGCTCCAGAGGCCAACCTAATTCTGCTATGCAGGGTGACACAATCAAAGCCCTCCCGACAGATGAACATCCAGACTCTGCTTAAAAGGAGCCACCACCAGACTCCAACGCAATCTATATTACATTACCGTTAGAAAGGAGCCCCAGAGGCCATCCAGCCCAACCTAATTCTGCTATGCAGAGCGACACAATCAAAGCCCTCCCGACAGATGGCCATCTAGACTCTGCTTAAAGGAGCCACCACCAGACTCCAACGCAATCTATATTACATTAGAGTTAGAAAGGAGCCCCAGAGGCCAACCTCATTCTGCTATGCAGGGTGACACAATCAAAGCCCTCCCGACAGATGGACATCCAGACTCTGCTTAAAAGGAGCCACCACCAGACTCCCAGGCAATCCGTATTACATTAGAGTTATAATGTAATATATAGATTACATATTATCTATATATGATCTATATATAACATGGATTAAGCCATCCAGCCCAGCCTAATTCTGTTATGTAGGGAGACACAATCAAAGCCCTCCCAAAAGATGGCCATCCAGACTCTGCTTTAAAGGAGCTACCACCAGACTCCAACGCAATCTATATTAGATTAGAGTTAGAAAGGAGCCCCAGAAGCCATCAAACCCGACCTAATTCCGCTATGCAGGGTGACACAATCAAAGCCCTCCCGACAGATGGCCATCCAGGCTCTCCTTAAAAGGAGCCACCATCAGACTCCAAAGCAATCTATATTACATTAGAGTTAGAAAGGAGCCCCAGAGGCCAACACCATTCTGATATGCAGGATGACACAATCAAAGCCCTCCCGACAGATGGCCATCCAGACTGCTTAAGTGGAGCCACCACTTTCTGGTGTTTTCCAAACTTGGCACGAAAACACAACCTTTCCCCCCCTTCTACCTTTTCCAAATAATCCAACACTCTGATTAGCTTTATTTTCGGAAAGGAACATGGTGCTTAACTACTGTTTTTTCCCCTTTGGATAACTTGGTTTCCTCCGATTGTTTGCAGCTTGGACCCTTCCTTGATGCGAAGCACAAACAAGTGGAGGTGAGTCCGGAGTTCGTTCGTTCGTTTATTTATTTATTTATTTATAGTGTCAGGACCGAATTGAGAATACAGTGATAATGTATAGAAAAACCACAAACAAAGTTTGTACTAAATGTCCTTTGAGCAGAAGCTGGCCACTTGGAGAGCCTCTGGTGTTGCTGTGAGAAGGTCCTCCTTTGTGCATGTGGCAGGGCTCAGGGTGCATTGTAGTCAGTGCTCTGTGGTTTGTTCTCGCATGTTGTAGACTCCATTTTGTAGCCCCATTTCTTAAGGTTGGCTCTGCATCTTGTGATCCCAGAGCACAATCTGATCAACGCCTTCCTAGTCACCCAGTCTTCTGTGTGCCCAGGAGGGAGTTTCTCATCCGATTTCAGCCACTCATTGAGTTTCCGGGTTTCAGCCTGCCACTTTTGGACTCTTGCTTGCTGAGGTGTTCCTGCAAGTATCTCTATAGAGCTTAGGAAGCTATTTCTTGATCTAAGGCATTAGCTTGCTTGCTGATATCCAAACAGAGGATGGGCTTGAGGTGTCAGTGCCTTGGTCCTTTCATTGCTGGCTGCTACTTGTAATCTAATCTAATCTAATCTAATCTAATCTAATCTAATCTGTATATATAAAAATGCTCTGTGCATAATGAGTACCTTAAAAACCAAAGAACCAATGAACAAAATCACACCAAATTTGGCAACGAAACGTCTGACAACACAAAAAGTGACCATCACTCAAAAATTATGATTTTGTTATTTGGGAGTTGTAGTTGCTGGGATTGATAGTTCACCTACAATCAAAGAGCATTCTGAACTCCATCAACGAGGGAATTGAACCAAACTTGGCACCAGAACTCCCATGACCAACAGACAACACTAGAAGGGTTTGGTGGGCATTGACCTTGAGTTTGGGAGTTGTAGTTCACCTACATCCAGAGAGCACTGTGGACTCAAACAATGATGGATATGGACCAAACTCTCCACAAATACTCAATATGCCCAAATGTGAACACTGGTGGAGTTTGGGAGAAATAGAATCTTGACATTTGGGAGTTGTAGTTGCTGGGATTTATAGTTCACCTACAGTCACAGAGCATTCTGAATCCCACCAAAAATAGAATTGGGCCAAACCTCCCACACAGAACCCCCATGACCACCAGAGTGGGCCACAGCAACGCATGGCAGGGGATGGCTAGTTACTAATAATAATACAATATAATGGTGTAGTACAATATATAATATATAATATTAATATATAATATATATAATATATAATAATATATAATACTGGTATTGTACTATGCTGATTCTTTAATATATTGGAGCCTCCGGTGGCGCAGTGGATTAAAGCACTGAGCTGCTGAGCTTGTTGCCCAAAAGGTTGTGGGTTCAAATCCGGGGAGTGGGGTGAGCTTCCGGTGTCAGCCCCAGCTTCTGCCAACCTAGCAAATCAATAGGTACTGCTCCGGCGAGAAGGTAAGGGCGCTCCATGCAGTCATGCTGGCCACATGACCTTGGAGGTGTCTATGAACAATGCCGGCTCTTCGGCTTAGAAATTGAGAAGAGCACCAATCCCCAGAGTCAGACACGACTGGACTTCATGAAGGGGGAAAACCTTTACCTTTACCTATGTATATATCTCTTGTAAGCCGCTCTGTGACCCCTTCGGGGTGAGAAGGGCGGCATATAAATGTTGTAAATAAATGAATAATAAATTCAAGCCTTTGACTGTTTTGGTGGTCCTTTTCTGGACACTTTCCTTCTTGTCCATTTCCATCTTCAGAACCAAACACAGGGTTATTCCGAATGAGGTCTGACCAAAGCAGAAGAGAGTGGAGCTATGATTTCCCTTGATCCAGACATTTGATTCCTTTTGATACAGTCTAGAACAGGGGTCCCCAAACTTATTGAACAGAGGGCCGGGTCACAGTCCCGCAAACTGTTGGGGGGCCGGATTAAAATTTGAAAAAAAATGAATGAATTCCTATGCACTCTGCACATATATTATTTGCAGTGCAACCCCCCCCCCCCAAATCAAAAAACAAAGACCCACACTTCTATATAAATATAAATGTAATGTTTGTTTGTGGGATTAACTCAAAAACCACTGGACGAATTGATGCCAAATTTGGACACAACCCAATGTATGTTCTTCACTCAAAAAAATTTGATTTTGTCATTTGGGAGTTGTAGTTGCTTGGATTTATAGTACACCTACAATCAAAAAGCAATCTGAACTCCCACCAACGATGGAATTGAACCAAACTTGGCACACATTTCTCCCATGACCAACTGAAAATAGTAAGGGTTTGGTGGGCAGTGTCCTTTGGTTTTGGAGTTGTAGTTCACCTACATTCAGAGATCATTGTGGACACAAACAATGATGGATCGGGATCAAACTTGGCACAAATACTCAATATGCCCAAATGTGAACACTGGTGGAGTTTGGGGGAAAATAGAATCTTGACATTTGGGAGTTGTAGTTGCTGGGATTTATAGTTCACCTACAATCAAAGAGCATTCTGAACCCCATCAACGGAGGAATTGAACCAAACTTGACCAAGAGAAAATACTGGAAGGGTTTGGCGGGCATTGAGTTTAGGAGTTGTAGTTCACCTACATCCAAGTAGAGCACTGTGGACTGAAACAATGATGGATCTGGAACAAACTTGGCACGAATATTCAATATGCCCAAATGTGAACACTGGTGGAGTATGGGGAAAATAGAATCTTGACGTTTGAGAGTTGTAGTTGCTGGGATTTATAGTTCACCTACAATCAAAGAGACATTCTAAACCCCACCAACGATGGAATTGAACCAAATTTGGCACACAGTTTTCCCATGACCAAAAGAAAATACTGGAAGGGTTTTGTGGGCAATGTCCTTGGGTTTGGAGTTGTAGTTCACCTACATCCAGAGAGCACTGTGGACTCAAACAATGATGGATCTGGACCAAACTTGGCACGATTATTCAATATGCCCAAATGTGAACACTGGTGGAGTTGGGGAAAATAGAATCTTGACATTTGGGAGTTGTAGTTGCTGGGATTTATAGTTCACCTACAATCAAAGAGCATTCTGAACCCCACCAACGATGGAATTGAACCAAACTCGGCACACAGTTCTCCCATGACCAACAGAAAATACTGGAAGGGTTTGGTGGGCAGTGTCCTTTGGTTTTGGAGTTGTAGTTCACCTACATCCAGAGAGCACTGTGGACTCAAACAATGATGGATCTGGACCAAACTTGGCACTGATATTCCATATGCCCAAATGTGAACACTTGTGGAGTATGGGGGAAATAGAATCTTGACGTTTGAGAGTTGTAGTTGCTGGGATTTATAGTTCACCTACAATCAAAAAGCATTCTGAACCCCGTCAACGATGGAATTGAACCAAACTTGGCACACAGTTCTCCCATGACCAACAGAAAATACTGGAAGGGTTTGGTGGGCAGTGTCCTTTGGTTTTGGAGTTGTAGTTCACCTGCCTCCATCAATCACTGTGGACTCAATGATAGATCTGGACCAAACTTGGCACTGATATTCCATATGCCCAAATGTGAACACTTGTGGAGTATGGGGGAAATAGAATCTTGACGTTTGAGAGTTGTAGTTGCTGGGATTTATAGTTCACCTACAATCAAAGAGCATTCTGAACCCCATCAACGGTGGAATTGAACCAAACTTGGCACACAGTTCTCCCATGACCAACGGAAAATACTGGAAGGGTTTGGTGGGCAGTGTCCTTTGGTTTTGGAGTTGTAGTTTACCTGCCTCCTTGGAGACCAGAGCGGCCGGAGCAGAGGGTTCCAGCGATGGTCGGAGCGGCGCCGGGTGGGCGTGGTCAGAGAACGCCAGCGTTCCCTGGCCACGCCCACCCAGTGCCGCGCTCCGGCCTTCGCAGGAACCCTCTGCTCCGGCCGCTCTGATCTCCAAGGAGGCAGGTAAACTACAAAAGGCTTCCCCCTCCCACATGAGCATAAGGGCCGGAGCAGAGGGTTCCTGTGATGGGCGGAGCGGCGCCGGGTGGGCGTGGCCAGGCCAGGCTGCGCGGGCCGGAGAAATGCCCTCGGCGGGCCGCATACGGCCCGCGGGCCATAGTTTGGGGACCCCTGGTCTAGAAACATTGGCCTTTTCCGCTGCAGCATCACGTTGTTGGATCATGTTCAGCTTACGTTCTCCTAAGACTCCTAGATCTTTTTCGCATAGAATGTTTTGAACTTGTGGGTGATAATCCACTGAGCTCCCACTCACAGCTTTTGTGTTGCTTTTAGGACTGCCAGTTCACCAGCTCCTTTGAAGACATCTTCAAGATGTGCCTGAAATCCATAATTGAAGAGACAAGGAGGTAAAGACTTGGCCCTTCTCTTGGATTTATCAGATATTTTTGCCTTCTCTGTTGCTAACACTCCCAACCTTGGAGTTCTGTTTATATACAGGCCACCCTCAAGTTACGAACAAGAGAGGTTCTGTAGGCTTGTTCTTAAGCTGAATTTGTATGTAAGTCAGAACAGGTACATTTTGTAATGTAGCTTCAGCCATATATACACACAGAGAGACATACATACACACATAAGGAAAAATATGTATGTGGGTGGGGAGTCCAATAATAATAATAATAATAATAATAATAATAATAATAATAATAATATCACACAGTCCTAGACGTTTGGGAAGTGTTCGACTTGTGATTTTGTGATACGAAATCCAGCATATAGATCTCGTTTGCGGTGACATACTGTGCTTTTGTGTCAGTAAAATAATAATAATAACAACAATACACACTGTGCAATAATAATAATAACTAGGTTCTTGTGGGTTTTTTTGGGCTATAGAGCCATGTTCTAGAGGCATTTCTCCTGACGTTTCGCCTGCATCTATGGCAAGCATCTAGATGCTTGCCATAGATGCAGGCGAAACGTCAGGAGAAATGCCTCTAGAACATGGCTCTATAGCCCGAAAAAACCCACAAGAACCTAGTGATTCCAGCCATGAAAGCCTTCGACAATACAATAATAATAACAACAACAATACATATTCTGTTTTTATACTGTGCAATAATAATAATAATAATAATAATAATACATACTGTGCTTTTGTGTCAGTAAAATAATAATAATAAAAATAATAATACATACTGTGCTTTTATATTGTGCAATAATAATAATACATACATACATACTGTGCTTTTGTGTCAGTAAAATAGTAAAAGTGTTATTCAAGTCAGCTTTTTACCAGCCTCTAATAAAACTAGAGTAATACAGAGCGTGTTACTGAACTACCTCTCAATAGTACCTCAGCCTGCTCTTTAGTAATATGGTGGCAGCGGAAACCTTTTAAATAATGCTTTTAAGTCTCACAGTTCCAGTGGTTCCCAGTTCCTAACTTCTAAATGGTTTCAACAACCATTTCTCCCTCTAATCTGTAGTGGTGTCATCGTTATAATTTGGTGGTACAGCTGTGTGATTCGTTATAATTAGTCAAACAAAAAGTGGGTTGAGGGACTGACTCAACATGATGGAAGTTGTAGTTCACCCTGCATTAAGATAGAGCACTGTGACCCCCACCAACAATAGACCTGGACCAAACTTGGCACACAGACCCAACATGGCCAACTGTTTGTAAACATTGGGTTTGAGGATGAGTGTCCTTTACATATGGGATTTGTAGTTCACCCTTATCCAGAGAGAATTGAACCCAGCCGATGTCAGATCAGCACCAAACTTGGCACTCAGACCTAATATGACTAACTACGAATACAGACAAGGTTTGGGGGTGATTGTCCTTGACATATGGGAGTTGTAGTTCACCCTTATCCAGAGAGCACTGAACCCAGCTGATGTCAGATCTGCACAAAACTTAGCACACAGACCCTATATGGCTAACTGCGAATACAAACAGGGTCTGGGGGTGATTGTCCTTGACATATGGGAGTTGTAGTTCACCCTTATCCGGAGAGCACTGAACCCAGCCGACATCGGATCTGGACCAAACTTGGGACATAGACCCAACATGATGAACTGCAAATACAGGCGAGATTTGGGGGGGGGGGGGGGGATTGTCCTTAGCATATGGGAGTTGTAGTTCACCCTTATGCATAAAGCACTGAATCCAGACGACATCAGGTCTGCACCAAACTTGGCACACACACCCAATTTGGCCAACTTTGAATACTGGCAGGGTTTAGGGGTGATTGACCCACAATTTCAGGAATTGTAGTTCACCAAACTTGGCACACAGACCCAACATGGCCAACTGTGTGTAAACATTGGGTTTAAGGATGAGTGTCCTTTACATATGGGATTTGTAGTTCACCCTTATCCAGAGAGCATTGAACCCAGCCGGTCAGATCAGCAACAAACTTGGCACTCAGACCTAATATGACTAACTACGAATACAGACAAGGTTTGGGGGTGATTGTCCTTGACATATGGGAGTTGTAGTTCACCCTTATCCAGAGAGCACTGAACCCAGCTGATGTCAGATCTGCACAAAACTTAGCACACAGACCCTATATGGCTAACTGCGAATACAAACAGGGTCTGGGGGTGATTGTCCTTGACATATGGGAGTTGTAGTTCACCCTTATCCGGAGAGCACTGAACCCAGCCGACATCGGATCTGGACCAAACTTGGGACATAGACCCAACATGATGAACTGCAAATACTAGGCGCAGATTTGAGGGGGAGGCGGAGTGCGCTGCATTGTCCTTAAGAATATGGACGAGTTGTAGTTCACCCTTATGCATAAAGCACTGAATCCAGACGACATCAGGTCTGCACCAAACTTGGCACACACACCCAATTTGGCCAACTTTGAATACTGGCAGGGTTTAGGGGTGATTGACCCACAATTTCAGGAATTGTAGTTCACCAAACTTGGCACACAGACCCAACATGGCCAACTGTTTGTAAACATTGGGTTTGAGGATGAGTGTCCTTTACATATGGGATTTGTAGTTCACCCTTATCCAGAGAGCATTGAACCCAGCCGATGTCAGATCAGCACCAAACTTGGCACTCAGACCTAATATGACTAACTACGAATACAGACAAGGTTTGGGGGTGATTGTCCTTGGTATATGGGAGTTGTAGTTCACCCTCATCCAGAGAGCACTGAATCCAGACGATGTTGGATCTGCACCAAACTTGGCACACAGACCCAACATGGCCAAGTGTGCATACAGGCAGGATTTGGACGTGATTGCTCTTGGTATATGGGAATTGTAGTTCACCCTTATCCGGAGAGCACTGAACCCAGCCGACATCGGATCTGGACCAAACTTGGGACATAGACCCAACATGATGAACTGCAAATACAGGCGAGATTTGGGGGGGGGGGGTGATTGTCCTTAGCATATGGGAGTTGTAGTTCACCCTTATGCATAAAGCACTGAATCCAGACGACATCAGGTCTGCACCAAACTTGGCACACACACCCAATTTGGCCAACTTTGAATACTGGCAGGGTTTAGGGGTGATTGACCCACAATTTCAGGAATTGTAGTTCACCCACATCCTTATGTAATTTCTAATGGGAGCATTCATAAATAACAAAAGGAAAGGCTGGCTTTTTTTCTAATAAATAACGTTACAAATTGCCAAACTGATATTACCGAACACCCAAAACAAACAATACCTTTTTCAAATAACCTGGGCTTCACCAGGTCCCCCAAGCTAGTATATATATATTTTTCTTTTCTCCCCCAAACCTTAGTGCTGGATCGCGCCTGGTCATCGTCCCTTCTCTGAGAGACGTCCACCATGTCTATGTTTATCCCCAGCCTCCGTTCTCCGGCTTCGATCTGTCGAAAGAAGACGAGAAGGTACTTCCCAATACTCACTTTGCTCTTGTTGTAGTTTGTTTGTTTATTTACTTGCAATTATTTGTTTCCGAGTTCTGTTTGGCAACGCTAGATTTTGGTTTCCCACCAGCAGTTTATCGTTTCCTCTAGACTTGAATCCAATATTTTAATTCACTGGTTGTATAGGCTTTTTATTTGACCATTTTTAGCATTGACTACCTTGAATAGACTGTGGAGCAGAAATTTATTTGGCATCTACCTATTACCAGTGGTGCCTGTTACCTGGCAGCCTCCTGTACTTTAATAATAATAATAATAATAATAATAATAATAATAATAATAATAATAATAATTGATTTATACCCCGCTACCATCTCCCCAAGGGGACTCGGGGTGGCTTACATGAAGCCAAGCCCAACAGTACAACAAATATTCAATGTTTAGCCGTCCTGAGTCCCTCTTCGGAGGTTGAGATAGGACGGGATATAAAAGCCCTAAATCTATCTATCTATATAATAAAAGTTAACGTTTTTATGTGGAGGGAGGGAGGTGTACGTGGCAGCGTTCTGATTGGCTACTACTGTGGTACAATAGTGTCTAGATCTAAGGAAGTAATGCTACCCCTCTATTCTGCTTTGGTTAGACCACATCTGGAATATTGTGTCCAATTCTGGGCACCACAATTCAAGAGAGATATTGACAAGCTGGAATGTGTCCAGAGGAGGGCGACTAAAATGATCAAGGGTCTGGAGAACAAGCCCTATGAGGAGCGGCTTAGGGAACTGGGCATGTTTAGCCTGAAGAAGAGAAGGCTGAGAGGAGATATGATAGCCATGTATAAATATGTGAGAGGAAGCCACAGGGAGGAGGGAGCAAGCTTGTTTTCTGCTTCCTTGGAGACTAGGACGCGGAACAATGGCTGCAAACTACAAGAGAGGAGATTCCATCTGAACATTAGGAAGAACTTCCTGACTGTGAGAGCCGTTCAGCAGTGGAACTCTCTGTCCCGGAGTGTGGTGGAGGCTCCTTCTTTGGAAGCTTTTAACAGAGGCTGGATGGCCATCTGTCAGGGGTGATTTGAATGCAATATTCCTGCTTCTTGGCAGGGGGTTGGACTGGATGGCCCATGAGGTCTCTTCCAACTCTTTGATTCTATGATTCTATGAATTTGCATATGGTCTCTGATTGGCCAGCCTCAACATTCCAACATTCTGAGGTAGGAGAGGGAAAAGGAAAGGGGCCTGAGTCTGTCAGGAATGGTTGGAGTTGAAGTCCAAAACACCTTGTGGCCCCCATCAATGACAGAACGAGACCAAACCTGACACACAGACCCCCCCCCCCCCAAAGACCCACACTACATCCTGGTGCAGTTTGAGGGAGGTTGGACCATGGATGACAGTACTTGCAGTACTTTAACTCACTTCCTTTGAGCACTGTGGCCCACACCAATGACGGATCAGGACCAAACTTGGCACACAGAGGCCCAATGGCCCACTTTACACCTGGTGGGTTTAGGGCAGAATGGGCCACAAATGATGGGATTTGCAGTACCTTCACCCGATTCACTTCCCACAGAACATTGTAGCCCCTACAAATCACAGACCAGGCCCAAACCTAGCACACAGAGTACTCATGACCCACTCTACATCCTAATGCAGTTCTAAGGAGGGTGGACCATAGATGATGGAACTTGCAGCACCTTTACTCACTTACTGAAACCACTGCGACCCTCATCCAATGACTGATCAAGACCAAATTGGCACACAGAGCATCCATGACCCACTCTGCATCCTGCTGCAGTTTGAGGAGTGTGGACCATGGATGATGGGACTTAGAGTACCTTCACTCACTTGCTGAAACCACTGCGACCCTCATCCAATGACTGATCAAGACCAAACTTGTCACACAGAGCCCCCATGACTCACTCTACATCCTCCTGCAGTTTGAAGGAGGGTGGACCATGGATGATGGGACTTCAAGTATCTTCACTCACTTCCTGAAAACAATGCAACTGTCATCGAATGACCAATAAAGACCAAATTTGGCATACAGAACCCCCATTACCCACTTTCTCTAATAACCCAGGCAGTGCCGGGTCCCCAAGCTAGTAAATAAATAAATAAATAAATAAATAAAACATAAACAGTAAAATATATTGAAAATAATAATAAAATACAAAAACAATCTAAATGAACTCACCAAACAATATAAAGTCACAGTAATTGACATCTAGTAATTGACACAGTACATCTAGGATAGACTACTGCAACGCACTCTATGTGGGGTTGCCTTTGAAGACTGCTCGGAAGCTTCAAATAGTCCAACGAGAGGCAGCCAGGTTAATAACTGGGGCGGCATACAGGGAGCACACAACTCCCATGTTACGCCAGCTCCACTGGTTGCCAGTTTGCTACCGGGCACAATTCAAAGTGCTGGCTTGGGCCTATCAAGCCCTAAATGACCCCGGCCCAAATTACCTGTCTGAATACATCTCCCCCTATGAACCATCGTGGAGATTAAGACCCTCCGGGGAGGCCCTGCTTTTCCATCCCGCCATTGTCACAGGCACGATATCACGAGTCCACAGTGATATCTGGATGTAGGTGAACTACAACTCCCAAACTCAGTGTCAATGCCCACCAAACTCTTGTAGTATTTTCTGTTGATCATGGGAGTTCTGTGTCCCAAGATTGGTTCAATTCCATCATTGGTGGAGTTCAGAATGTTCTTTGATTGTAGTTGAACTATAAATCCCAGCAACTACAACTCCCAAATGACAAAATCAATTTTTTGAGTGAAGGACATACATTGGCCTAATAGGTGTATTGTGTCCAAATTTGGTGTCAATTCGTCCAGTGGTTTTTAAGTTCTGTGAATACCACAAACGAACGTTACATTTTTATTTATATAGATAGAGCTCCTCTGAGCTTCCTGATTGTGAGAGCTGTTCAGCAGTGGAACTCTCTGCCCCGCAGTGTGGTGGAGGCTCCTTCTTTGGAAGCTTTTAAACAGAGGCTGGATGGCCATCTGTCTGGGGTGCTTTGAATGCAATTTTCCTGCTTCTTGGCAGGGGGTTGGACTGGATGGCCCATGAGATCTCTTCCAACTATTGGGTTCTATGATTCTAGTAGCTGTGCCACCACTAGGTGGCGCTGGTGGTTAAAGAAAGGCAGCCACTGAGCAAAGGGCAAAATGTGGAAATGTTGCTTCTGGGGACCCCAACTTCCAAACTCTGCCAGCCAGGCTAGCAGCTAAGGGATGGGGAAGGACCCCACCAGTATTTTAAGTTGCATCGTGAAGGATCTTTCCACCATGTTTGGTCCTGTTCCTTCAAGCCACGTAGAAGCCTTTGCAGAACAAACATACATGCATACACTTTCTGCAAAGCAACCGACCTTTCCATCCTTTGCCTGGATTGGGGAAAGTGAAACGAAAGTACAATTGGGTGGGTTTTAAAAAATCCTAAGGGTTTTTTTTTCTTGCAAAAGTTCCTTCTGAGGGTGGAGGAGATTGCATTTCCAATCTGCCAGGAAATGTGTGTCATCCTGAGAAAGGAAATGGGGACTTCCCATGCTCAGTTTGCATAATCTCGGCCGTCACATTTTTTTTCCTCCTTTCCTCTTCATTTGCAGGGAACTCTCTCAAGAGAAACCTTACCTCAACCTGACCCTAGAATTTCCCACCAGAAATCTCCTGCGTTGCATTAGGAATGCTGGGACTCACAGTCCAAACATGAGCCTTAACCCATGTGTGCATTGTCCCTTATCCAAAAATAATGTCGATCGATTGCTGTGGCCCAGTTTGGTGATCTGGAAAATAAAGTAATGAGAAAGTGTTGCTTTCTAATATATGTAATTTCTTTCTGCTTGTTGTGTAAACAGTATTTCTTGCTGTTTCTTTGTCAGTGTTGATATGGAGATTGTCTGGTCTGCCTACTCTGGAACATGCAACATATCACTGTCCTTCTTTAAGGGTCCCTTTCATATCTATACTATATCTCTCTCTGTGTGAATCATATCTATCTATCTATATCTATGGCTGGATGGCTCTGTGTCAGGAGGACTTTGATTATGTTTTCTTGCCCTGATGAAGGGAATTGGATTGGATGGCCTTAAGTAATTTCTGTTGGTCATGGGGATTCTGTGTGGGAAGTTTGGCCCAATTCTGTCGTTCGTGGGGTTCAGAATGCTCTTTGATTGTAGGTGAACTATGAATCCCAGTGACTACAACTGCCAAATGTCAAGGTCTATTTCCCCCAAACTCCATCTGTGTTCATATTTGGGCGTATTGAGTGCTTGTGCCAAGTTTGGTCCAGATCCATCATTGTTTGAGTCTACAGTGCTCTCTGGATGTAGGTGAACTACAACTTCCAAACTCAAGGTCAATGTCCACCAAACCCTTCCAGTGTGTTCTGTTGGTCATGGAAGTCCTGTATGCCATCTTTGGTTCAATTCCATCATTGGTGGTGTTCAGAATGCTCTTTGATTGTAGGTGAACTATAAATCCCAGCAACTACAACTCCCAAATGTCGAGGTCTATTTCCCTTAAACTCCATCTGTGTTCATATTTGGGCGTATTGAGTGCTTGTGCCAAGTTTGGTCCAGATCCATCATTGTTTGAGTCCATAGTGCTCTCTGGATATAGGTGAACTACAACTCCCAAACTCAAGATCAATGCCCACCAAAACCCTTCCAGTATTTTCTGTTTGTCAGGGGAGTTCTGTGTGCCAAGTTTGGTTCAGTTCCATCGTTGATGGAGTTCAGAATGCTCTTTGATTGTAGGTGAACTATAAATCCCAGCAACTACAACTCCCAAATCACAAAATCATAATTTTTGAGTGATGGTCACTCCTTGTGTTGTGAGACGTTTTGTTGCCAAATTTGGTGTGATTTCGTTCATTGGTTCTTTTGTTTTTAAGGTACTCATTATGCACTGAGCATATATAGATAGATACTAGCCATCCCCTGCCACGCGTTGCTGTGGCCCAGTCTGTTGATCTGGAAAATAAAGTAATGAGAAAGTGTTGGTTTCTAATATATGTAATTTCTTGATGCTTGTGGGTAAACAGCATTTCTTGTTTTGCCTACTCTGGAACATACAACATATAATTGTCCTTCTTTAGGGGTCCCTTTCAAATCTATGATACTATATCTGTCATATACGTATATATATATGTGTGTGTGTGAATCATATCTATCTATCTATACCTATGGCTGGATGACTCTTTATCAGGAGGGTTTTAGTTACGTTTTCTTGCCCTGGTGAAGGGAGTTCGACTGGATGGCCTTAAGGCACCATTTCTCAACCTGGGGGTCGGGACCCCTGCAGAGGTCATAAAGAGGTGTTAGCGGGGTCTCCAAGACCATCAGAAAACACAGTATTTTTTGTTGGTCATGGGGCTTCTGTGTGGAAAGTTTGGCCCAATTCCAACGTTGGTAGGATTTAGAATGATTGTAGGTGAACTATAAATCCCAGTAACTACAACTGCCAAATGTCAAGGTCTATTTCCCTCAAACCCCATCTGTGTTCATATTTGGGAGTATTGAGTGCTTGTGCCAAGTTTGGTCCAGATCCATCATTGTTTGAGCCCACAGTACTCTCTGGATGTAGGTGAACTACAACTCCCAAACTCAAGGTCAATGCCCACCAAAGCCTTCCAATATTTTCTGTTGGTCATGGGAGTTCTGTGTGCCAAGTTTGGTTCAATTCCATCGTTGATGGAGTTCAGAATGCTCTTTGATTGTAGGTGAACTATAAATCCCAGCAACAACAGCTCCCAAATGACAAAATCAAAATTTTTGAGTGAAGGACAATCATTGGGTTGTTAGATGTCTTGTGTCCAAATTTGGCAGCAATTTCTCCAGTGCTTTTTGAGTGCTGTTAATCCCGCAAACGAACATTACATTTTTATTTATATAGATTATATTATATTATATTATATTATATTATATTATATTATATTATATTATATTATATTATATTATATTATATTATTAGCATAGCACAGGAGACAAGGTGGAACTGTCCCCTGAGCCCCTATCTCTTCATCTCTGGTCCAGTATACACACACACACAACATACATACATACAACTTGACATATGTGCATGTTATATGTATGTTGTACATTTCTTGTTTTATTATGTACAGAGCTCTTCCGAGCTTGCTGACTGTGAGAGCCGTTCAGCAGTGGAACTCTCTGCCCCGAAGTGTGGTGGAGGCTCCTTCTTTGGAAGCTTTTAAACAGAGGCTGGATACTATATTGTACTATACTATTATAATGTAATATTTTTAGTAATATTACATGTAGTATAACATATATAATTATAATATATTATTATTATTAGTATTAGTAGTAGTAGTAGTAGTAGTATATTGTGTTACATTATAATATTATTATATTATATTATATTATATTATATTATATTATATTATATTATATTATATTATTAGCATAGCACAGGAGACAAGGTGGAACTGTCCCCTGAGCCCCTATCTCTTCATCTCTGGTCCAGTATACACACACACACAACATACATACAACTTGACATATGTGCATGTTATATGTATGTTGTACATTTCTTGTTTTATTATGTACAGAGCTCTTCCGAGCTTGCTGACTGTGAGAGCCGTTCAGCAGTGGAACTCGCGGCCCCGGAGTGTGGTGGAAGCTCCCTCTTTGGAAGCTTTTAAACAGAGGCTGGATGGCCGTCTGTCGGGGGTGCTTTGAAATGCAATTTTCCTGCTTCTTGGCAGAATGGGGTTGGACTGGATGGCCCATGAGGTCTCTTCCAACTCTAGGATTCTATGTTTCTCTTGTAAATCTTTTAAAAAGTGCATTAAATTGAATTAGAAATCTGTGTCGAGGGCTCCGCTGTTTTGCAAACTGACCAACTCTCTCCCCTCTCCCCTTTTTGTCTCTTTTCAGAGGGTGCTCTTTGCCTCGGATCCTTGCACATTGGAGATCAATGGGGTGGTCTTGGGCCTGACATCGGTGGACCTGCTTTTCCATATGGGCTCTGAAGAAATTAGCAGGTATGTATCTAGTGCAGTGTTTCTCAACCTTCCTAATGCCACGACCCCTTAATACAGTTCCTCATGTTGTGGTGACCCCCAACCATAACCCTAACATTATGAATCACCATATAAATAATGATCTGCAGGATGTATTTTCATTCAATGGAGCAAATTTGGCACAAATACCTGGTATGCCCAAATTTGAATACTAGTGGGGTTGGCGAGGGGATTGATTTTGTCATTTGGGAGTTGTAGTTGCTGGGATTTATAGTTAACATGTAAGCAAAGAGCATTCTGAACCCCACCAACAATGGAATTGAACCAAAGTTTGCACAGAGAACTCCCATGAGCAACGGAAAATACTGGAAGGGTTTGGTGGGCATTAACCTTGAGTTTGGGAGTTGTAGTTCGCCTACATCCAGAGAGCACTGTGGGCTCAAACAATGATGGATCTGGACCAAACTTGGCACGGATACTCAATATGCCCAAATGAGAACACTGATGGGGTTTGGGGACAATAGACTTTGACATTTGAGAGTTGTAGATACTGGGATTTATAGTTCACCTACAATCAAGGAGCGTTTTGAACCCCACCAATGATAGAATTGGACCAAACTTCCTACATACAATCCCATGACCAACAGAAAATACGGTGTTTTCTGATGGTCTTTGGTGACCCCTCTGACACCCCTTCGTGACCCCCTCAGGGGTCCCGACCCCCAGGTTGAGAAACACTGAACTAGTGGGTCATGGGGGCTCTGTATGCCAAGTTCGGTCCAGGTCCATCGTTGGTAGGGTTCACAGTTTCTCTGGTTGTAGATGAACTACAACTCCCAAAAATCAAGGTAAATCTCTGCCAACCCCCACCCCCAGTATTCAAATTTGGGCATATTGGGTATGTGTGCCAAGTGTGGTCCAAATCCATCATCATTTGGGTTCTTAGAGCTCTCTGGATGTAAGTGAACTACAACTCCCCCAAATCGAGGTGAATACCCCCCAAAACCCTCCAATATTTTTTGTTGATCATGATGATTCTGTCAGTGACATCGGCCGCACAGCAAGGCAGGAACACGATCAATCACGGCCACTTTAGGCTATAAATTACTTTATTTTACAGCTATATACATTATAAGCTACTTAACACTCAGCACATAATAATAATAATAATAATAATAATAATAATAATAATAATAATAATAGTAAACCTTTATTTATACACTGCCACCATCTCCCGCAGGACTCGGTGCGGCTTACAAGAGGCCGAGCCCAAATACATCAAAAACAAAAAAACACAACAATACAACAATAAATAGCAAAGCAAAACAATAACAAAAATCACGACGCATTTAAAAACCTGTGGCTGCGCCAAATGTAATGGTTAAAATTTTAAAAAATGCTGGGCATGTCCAGGTGAGATAGGATGGCTATTTTAGGGATAAGTGGGTGTGCAGACAATTCTAACTCTTTCGTAAAGTGCATTTGGGCCAGGTTGCTTGGGATACCTTAATCTGGGAAGGCACACTGGAACATCCATGTTTTCAAGCTCCTTCTAAAGACTGCCAATGTTAGAGCATGCCTGATGTCCTTGGGGAGGGAGTTCCAGAGTCGTGGGGCCACCACCGAGAAGGCCCTGTCCCTCGTTCCCACCAATCGTGCTTGCGATGCAGGTGGGATCGTGAGCAGGGCCTCTCCAGATGAACGTAAATTGCTTCTCACCGTCTGATAGTAACATTGCGAACACACGAACTACTGTTACCAGTACTAGTCCACACCTCTTGTATTCCAGAGTGACGTATGACCAATGACGCAGGAAGCGTCCATTCATTCTATACACTTGATTTATGACCTCTCTAGGAATGCCGTTCCTTCCATGGTACAGTTAACTCTTTCCACACAGGAATACACTCTGCACATATTCCACTCTGTTTGCTGATCCCTGCAGAAAAGAGTGGGAAAGGGTTATGGGAGAGGCAATGGGTGGGATCATGCAAATTTTAAACATACATGCATACTTTGAAATCTACATTATAAATTGCAAACAACTTCAACAGCAGGTTCAGATCCATTGTTGATGAGGTTCAGAGTGCTCCTTGATTGCAGGTGAACTATAAATTCCAGTACCTACAACTCCCAAATATCATAGCCAATTCCCCCGCAAAACTTACCAGTGTTCAAATTTGGGTATATCGGGTACCCTAAATTTGGTCCAGATCCATCCTTGTTTGGGTTCATAGTGTGCTCTGGATGTAAGTGAACCACAACGCCATTGTTGTTTGGATCCACAGTTCTCTATGGATGCGGGTGAACTGCAACTCCCCCAAATCAAGGTGAATTCCCTCCCAAAGCCAAGTGTAGTCCGGATCCATTGTTGGTGGGGGTCACAGTGTTTTGATACAGGGTGAACTACAACCTCCGTCATGTTGAGTCCATCCCCCAACCCCCTCCAGTATATTCAGTTTATTTATTTATTTATTTATTTGCAGCTTTTATATTCCGCCCTTCTCACCCCGCAGGGGACTCAGGGCAGATTACAGTGTACACATATATGGCAAACATTCAATGCCAATTTTTGACATACAAACATATACAGACATACACAGAGGCTTTTTCTATCGCTTTCATTGTCCATCTGTGATGCTGATGAAGCATTTCCGCATTCCCCGCATGCTTCCCCACTGGAATCCTTTCCTGGAGTCTTCTTTATGGCCTCATAAATCAGTTGCTGATCAATTCCACTCTGTTTACTGTTCCCCGCAGAAAAGAGTGGGAAAGGGTTATGGAAGAGGCAGTGGGTGGGATCTTGGAAATTCCACACCAATGGAGAGAGAAAGAAACACTGGGGTGTCTGTGGTGGAGGAAACACATCAAATCTATGAGGAAATTGTCCCTGTAGGAAAGCCTTCACTTGGGTGATGGGCAGGGTAGTGTTTGTGGAGAACATGGGCAGGGCTCTTGGACATGTCCATGGCACTCACTATAACCTGCAATGTCATTGGAGCGAGGGTCATTGGTGTCTCCTGAGTAGTTCTGGGCACCACAACTCAAGAGAGATATTGACAAGCTGGAATGTGTCCAGAGGAGAGCGACTAAAATGATAAAAGGTCTGGAGAACAAGCCCTATGAGGAGCGGCTTAAGGAGCTGGGCATGTTTATCCTGAAGAAGAGAAGGCTGAGAGGGGATATGATAGCCATGTATAAATATGTGAGAGGAAGCCACAGGGAGGAGGGAGCAAGCTTGTTTTCTGCTTCCTTGGAGACTAGGACGCAATGGAACAATGGCTTCAAACTACAAGAGAGGAGATTCCATCTGAACACGAGGAAGAACTTCCTGACTGGGAGAGCTGTTCAGCAGTGGAACTCTCTGCCCCGGAGTGTGGTGGAGGCTCCTTCTTTGGAAGCTTTTAAACAGAGGCTGGATGGCCATCTGTCAGGGGTGATTTGAATGCAATATTCCTGCTTCTTGGCAGGGGGTTGGACTGGATGGCCCATGAGGTCTCTTCCAACTCTTTGATTCTATGATTCTAGTGGGAGCTATAGCTGTTTGTAGAGGTGGGGGCTTTTCTGTGTAAGTGCACACCCCAGCCACATACACACATATATTCCCTTTTATTATGTGTATAGAGGTATTTATTAGTATTATTATATGTTTATTATAATAATATTTCTTACTAGCCATCCCCTGCCATGCAATGCTGTGGCCCAGTCTGGTGATCTGGAAAATAAAGTAATGGTTTCTAATATATGTGATTTCTTTATGCTTGTGGGTAAACAGCATTTCTTGCTCTTTCTTTGTCAGTGTTATCTTATCTGCCATTTTGGGGAAAGGTTGCCTTAATAACTCAAGGGAAGGAAAGAAAGATAATCTCTATTGCTTCACCAATTGACTGTTCTGTTTGTAACTTTGATGAACTGTGCCAAGTCTGCAAGGACTTTGAAGAATAAATATTGATGTTCATAGAATCATAGAATCAAAGAGTTGGAAGAGACCTCATGGGCCATCCAGTCCAACCCCATTCTGCCAAGAAGCAGGAATATTGCATTCAAATCACCCCTGACAGATGGCCATCCAGCCTCTGTGTAAAAGCTTCCAAAGAAGGAGCCTCCACCACACTCCGGGGCAGAGAGTTCCACTGCTGAACGGCTCTCACAGTCAGGAAGTTCTTCCTCATGTTCAGATGGAATCTCCTTCTTGTAGTTTGAAGCCATTGTTCCGTGTCCTAGTCTCCAGGGAAGCAGAAAACAAGCTTGCTCCCTCCTCCCTGTGGCTTCCTCTCACATATTTATACATGGCTATCATACTCCTCTCAGCCTTCTCTTCTTCAGGCTAAACATGCCCAGCTCCTTAAGCCGCTCCTCATAGGGCTTGTTCTCCAAACCTGATCATTTTAGTCGCTCTCCTCTGGACACATTCCAGCTTGTCAATATCTCTCTTCAATTGTGGTGCCCAGAATTGGACACAATATTCCAGGTGTGGTCTAACCAAAGCGGATTAGAGCATGGGGAGCATGACTTCCCTGGACCTAGACACTATGCTCCTATTGATGCAGGCCAAAATCCCATTGGCTTTTTTTGCCGCCACATCACATTGTTGGCTCATGTTTAACTTGTTGTCCACTTGTTCAAAACCTTTAGTGGCCTCAGTTGCTGAATATCTCAAACTTCTAAAGAAAGACACTTGCAGTTCTCTCAGACATAGAGAGCAGCACATCTTAGTTTATTTTTATAATGTCTGGGTGTAACGGCACAGGTTCCTATCAAGTATGATTTTATGGTGATTGGGCTTGAAGAGAGTTGTGGAACGACATGTTTGAATGATGTTGTGTTGGAGATTTATTTGTCACACTGGATGGAGATAATGGTAGTTGCAAAGAGAGTCATGTAGACAGGGAAGACAATTCTAAAAATTCGGGCAGTGATCCAAAATAGTGGAAAATTCACTATTCTTCCTTCTTGGTGAGTGATCTCATTCTGTGGCCCTTTGGTGATCTCACCTTGTTGCCCAATCCCTATCGCTCTTTCTAAATAATCCCTTGCTAATCTCCAGACAGTTGAGTGTGTGATCCCATGGCAAATTTGAGGGGTGGAAGGGGAAACTAGGCTGAGCGTCAGAGAGGAAGATGAGGATGAATCAGGCATGATTCAGGACCCAAAAGTGTCATTGTGCGGCTTAGGCTCTCCCCCCCCCCCCCCCCCCATAGGTTGTTGTTGTTCATTCGTTCAGTTGTCTCCGACTCTTCGTGACCTCATGGAACAGCCCACGCCAGAGCTCCCTGTCGGCCGTCACCACCCCCAGCTCCTTTACCCCATAGGTAAACAGTGCTTAACTTGAGAAGGATGGAGCAGAGGATTCAGTAGGGGAAAGGCAGCACAATATAGGTAAAGAGGCAGTACAGGAATATCTGAAGAGAGAGTTCCATAGCCAGGGGGGCCACCACAGAGAAGGCCCTGTCTCTCGTCCTCACCAAGCGCAATTGCGAAAGTGGTGGGACTGAGAGCAGAGCCTCTCCAGAAAATCCTTGATGGTTTATAGGGGAAGATACATTCGGACAGTTTATGTGTGTTTCCGGCCCAGTTTCACAATATTTACACCACTTCACACGGAGGATGTTGCCAGAATTTTGGCTACTGCAAAAGCAACCACCTGTTCTCTTGATCCGTGCCCCTCTTGGCTGATCAAGAGCTGCTTGGAAGGTCTACTCGATCCGTTGTGCAGTATAATCAATGGCTCTCTTGAACAGGGTTTTTTTCCGGACAACCTAAAAGAGGCAAGGGTTCGTCCCTTGTGAAAGAAACCTAGCTTGGATCCTATGACCCTTGCCAATTACCGTCCTGTTTCTAATCTGCCATTCTTAGGCAAGGTGATAGAGCGGGCTGTACTGGGACAATTGCAGCAATTCCTGGATGTCACACCTGGCCTGGACCTTTTCCAGTCAGGTTTTCGCCCTAGTCATGGGACGGAGACAGTCCTGGTTGCCATTACGGATGAACTCCGTCGCCAGTCTGACAAAGGTGGATCTGCGCTACTGGTACTTCTCGACCTTACCGCAGCGTTTGACACCGTCGACTACGATCTAATGATTCACCGTCTTGCCATGTCCGGAGTTCGCGGTCAGACCCTCAATTGGTTCAACTAATTTCTCCAGAACCGGAGTCAACGCATGGAGTACATGGATCAAGTCTCCGATAGATCCCCCCCTCCTATGTGGGGTCCCCCAAGGTGCCATTCTCTCTCCTCTTCTCTTCAACATATACGTTAGACCCCTTGCCAGTTTGGCTCGGAATTTCGGCCTGGACTGCTACCAATATGCAGACGATACCCAACTCCTGTTGCGCTTGGAGCCGGGAGCAACGTCGATTCCAGACAATTTCACCCTATATCTGGTAGCTCTGTCGAACTGGCTACGTGCTAGCAGACTGAAGGTGAACCCGGCGAAGACTGAGATTCTCTGGCATGGCCGCCCGGCAGGTCTGACTCCTCCATTACCCACCTTCGATGGTGCCGCCCTATCTCCATCGACCACTGTTAAGAGCTTAGGTGTCGTCCTGGATTCACAGCTGACAATGGAAGCTCAGGTCGCTGTTGCTAGCAAACAGGCCTTTTTCCATCTACGACAAGCGAGGCAATTGGCGCCCTACCTATCTGACGAGGCTCTGGCAATGGTCATCCATGCCATGGTCACGACTAGGCTGGACTATTGCAATGCCCTGTATGTGGGCCTTCCGATGTCTACGACCCGAAAGCTTCGTATTGTTCAGAATGCGGCAGCCAGGCTACTCACAAGAACGCCCATGCCATAGAACACCAGTGCTGCAACATTGACATTGGCTTCCAACTGAGTACCGTGGCCTGTATAAGATGCTAGTTCTGACCTTTAAAACTCTTTACGGCCAGGGTCCATCGTACCTTAGGGACCGCCTCTCCTTCTCCCATCATCGGAGGTCGCAACGACCAGCCCAACGTGACTTACTCCATATACCGGGTCCTAGAGAAGTGCACTTGGAAAGGACCAGGCGCAGATGGGCTTTCTCTATTTCTGCCCTGGCCTTATGGAATTCCTTGCCACCCTACATGAGAGCCATGCGTGACTTAAGGCACTTAAGACCTGGCTTTTTGCTAGAGCATTCGATCTCTGTTATTTTATTTGTCGTGTCAGAGCAACCAGTCCATTATATTACATTTCTAACAACAAAGCAAACAAACAGAAAAATACAAAACTTGTGAGTTTGGTAGTTGGTTAAATGTCCTTTGACCAGTATCTGGCCACTTGGAGTGCCTCCGGTGTTGCTGCAAGAAGGTCCTCCATTGTGCATGTGGCTGGGCTCATGTTGCATTGCAGCAGGTGGTCAGTGGTTTGCTCTTCTCCACACTCACATGTCAAGGGTTCCACTTTGTAGCCCCATTTCTGAAGGTTGGCTCTGCATTTCGTGGTGCCAGAGCGCAGGCTGTTCAGCGCCTTCCAAGTCGCCCAGACTTCTGTGTGCCCAGGAGGGAGTTTCTCATTTGGTATCAGCCATTGGTTGAGGTGCTGGGTTTGAGCCTGCCACTTTTGGACTCTCGCTTGCTGAGGTGTTCCAGCGAGTGTCTCTGTAGATCTTAGAAAACTATGTCTAGATTTAAGTCGTTGACGTGCTGGCTCATACCCAAACGGGATGAGCTGGAGATGTCTCTGCCTTGGTCCTTTCACTATTGGCTGCTACTTCCCGGTGGTGCAATACCGGCTAAGCAGTGTAATTTCTCCAGTGGTGTAGGGCGCAGACATCCCGTGATAATGCGGCATGTCTCATTCAGAGCCACATCCACTGTTTTAGTGTGTTTTAGTGTGATCTCTGTTGATTTTTAATTTTTGTATGTATGTATTTTATCTTTTATAATTTAGCTGTAAATCGCCTAGAGCATTCTCGGATGGAGGGCGATTAATAAGTTACAAAATGATGATGATGATGATGATGATGATGATAATGATATTTTGTGCCTCTTTTTGTTTTCCTGCCCAGTTCTTCCAGCAGGTTGGATCGCTTCTCTCGCATCCTCAAGCACATCTTGACTCAACGGAGGTAAGAGCTTTGGTTACAGCAACCCGAACATTCCCAGTTCCCACGTTGGGCACCAAAATGTTGGGGCAATGGCTCATGGACACTCCTCCAGCTCTCTGCACATTCTCAGGAGTCCTCTGGGCTCAAGAGGGTGATGTAATGAAAGACACACCACAAGTTGAACTCCAACTGCAGAGGCCAAAGCTGGCTTCCAAACCCTTGAACGTTTTGGTCGCCCTTCTCTGGATATATTCCAGTGATGGGAACGTGCGTGGTGCCTTTTTTGGCCTTGAATGCCGAGACCGCAGGGCTGGAATTTAGCCGCGGTGTTGGGAAGCCCAGCTTGGCATCAGGTTGGTACCCAGGGGAGAGAGGAGAAGCAGCAGCTGCGGAGGGAGCGTCTCCGAATGGGGAAGTAATGGGATCTCCTCTCTTTTCTCTCCACCCTCCCTGCAATCCTGAGCAGTTACTACCCGCTCTACCCTCCTGCCGAAGAGATGAATGTGGATTACGAGAATTTCTACCCGTACGCCTCTTTGCCCGTCACGCCCGACGTCCTGATCACTCCGTCGGATTTGAAGTTTTTCATTAAGGTCTGGAGAAAATATTGGAGACAGCCACACGTTATTATTTCGGCATAATGTTGGAATGGTTTTAGGTTCAACAACTGAATACGTCCATCCAGGGCAGCATCCATCTTACTCCTATTTTATTTTATTTTATTATTTTATATTGTATTATATTTTATTTTATGTTTTATTTTATTTTATTATATTTTATTTTATATTTTAAATTTTATATTTAATTTTATATTTTAATTTATATTATATTTTATATTTTTTATTATTTTATTTTATATATTATTTTTATTATTTATTTATTTATTATTTTATTATTTATTTTATTTATTTTATTTTATTTTGTGTAAGCATCAGCTGTGAAAAGACTCATTCACCTCGATAGGTTGACATGAAGAGGTGCATTTCTCAGTGAAGACCCATAGAATGCAATTTGAACAGCATTATATTATGCACAGTGTAGACCCATAGAATGCAGTATGAATGGCATTATATGCTCAGTGAAGACCTATAGAATGCAGTTTGTACGGCATTAAATGCTCAGTGTAGACCCATAGAATGCAATATGAATGGCATTGTATGCTCAGTGAAGACCCATAGAATGCAATTTGAACGGCATTATATTATGAACAGTGTAGACCCACAGAATGTAGTATGAATGGCATTATTTGCTCAGTGAAGACCCATAGAATGCAGTATGAATGGCATTATATGCTCAGTGAAGACCCATAGAATGCAATTTGAATGGCATTATATTATGCACAGTGAAGACCCATAGCGTGCAGTCTGAATGGCATTATAGGCTCTCAGTGTAGACCCATAGAATGCAGTATGAACGGCATTATATTATGCACAGGGAAGACCCATAGAATGCAGTCTGAATGGCATTATATTATGCACAGTGTAGACCCATAGAATGCAGTATGAATGGCATTATATTATGCACAGTGAAGACCCATAGAATGCAGTATGAATGGCATTATATTATGCACAGTGAAGACCCATAGAGTGCAGTATGAATGGCATTATATTATGCACAGTGTAGACCCATAGAATGCAGTCTGAATGGCATTATATTATGCACAGTGAAGACCCATAGAATGCAGTATGAATGGCATTATATTATGCACAGTGAAGACCCATAGAGTGCAGTATGAATGGCATTATATTATGCACAGTGAAGACCCATAGAATGCAGTCTGAATGGCATTATATTATGCACAGTGAAGACCCATAGAATGCAGTATGAATGGCATTATATTATGCACAGTGAAGACCCATAGAATGCAGTATGAATGGCATTATATTATGCACAGTGAAGACCCATAGAATGCAGTCTGAATGGCATTATATTATGCACAGTGTAGACCCATAGAATGCAGTCTGAATGGCATTATATTATGCACAGTGAAGACCCATAGAATGCAGTCTGAATGGCATTATATTATGCACAGTGTAGACCCATAGAATGCAGTATGAATGGCATTATATTATGCACAGTGAAGACCCATAGAATGCAGTATGAATGGCATTATATTATGCACAGTGAAGACCCATAGAATGCAGTCTGAATGCCATTATATTATGCACAGTGTAGACCCATAGAATGCAGTCTGAATGGCATTATATTATGCACAGTGAAGACCCATAGAATGCAGTATGAATGGCATTATATTATGCACAGTGAAGACCCATAGAATGCAGTCTGAATGGCATTATATTATGCACAGTGAAGACCCATAGAATGCAGTATGAATGGCATTATATTATGCACAGTGAAGACCCATAGAATGCAGTCTGAATGGCATTATATTATGCACAGTGAAGACCCATAGAATGCAGTCTGAATGGCATTATATTATGCACAGTGAAGACCCATAGAATGCAGTATGAATGGCATTATATTATGCACAGTGAAGACCCATAGAATGCAGTATGAATGGCATTATATTATGCACAGTGAAGACCCATAGAATGCAGTCTGAATGGCATTATATTATGCACAGTGTAGACCCATAGAATGCAGTCTGAATGGCATTATATTATGCACAGTGAAGACCCATAGAATGCAGTCTGAATGGCATTATATTATGCACAGTGAAGACCCATAGAATGCAGTCTGAATGGCATTATATTATGCACAGTGAAGACCCATAGAATGCAGTATGAATGGCATTATATTATGCACAGTGAAGACCCATAGAATGCAGTATGAATGGCATTATATTATGCACAGTGAAGACCCATAGAATGCAGTCTGAATGCCATTATATTATGCACAGTGTAGACCCATAGAATGCAGTCTGAATGGCATTATATTATGCACAGTGAAGACCCATAGAATGCAGTATGAATGGCATTATATTATGCACAGTGAAGACCCATAGAATGCAGTATGAATGGCATTATATTATGCACAGTGAAGACCCATAGAATGCAGTATGAATGGCATTATATTATGCACAGTGTAGACCCATAGAATGCAGTATGAATGGCATTATATTATGCACAGTGTAGACCCATAGAATGCAGTATGAATGGCATTATATTATGCACAGTGAAGACCCATAGAATGCAGTATGAATGGCATTATATTATGCACAGTGAAGACCCATAGAATGCAGTATGAATGGCATTATATTATGCACAGTGAAGACCCATAGAATGCAGTCTGAATGCCATTATATTATGCACAGTGAAGACCCATAGAATGCAGTCTGAATGGCATTATATTATGCACAGTGAAGACCCATAGAATGCAGTATGAATGGCATTATATTATGCACAGTGAAGACCCATAGAATGCAGTCTGAATGGCATTATATTATGCACAGTGTAGACCCATAGAATGCAGTATGAATGGCATTATATTATGCACAGTGTAGACCCATAGAATGCAGTATGAACGGCATTATATTATGCACAGGGAAGACCCATAGAATGCAGTCTGAATGGCATTATATTATGCACAGTGAAGACCCATAGAATGCAGTCTGAATGGCATTATATTATGCACAGTGTAGACCCATAGAATGCAGTCTGAATGGCATTATATTATGCACAGTGAAGACCCATAGAATGCAGTCTGAATGGCATTATATTATGCACAGTGTAGACCCATAGAATGCAGTATGAATGGCATTATATTATGCACAGTGAAGACCCATAGAATGCAGTCTGAATGGCATTATATTATGCACAGTGAAGACCCATAGAATGCAGTATGAATGGCATTATATTATGCACAGTGTAGACCCATAGAATGCAGTCTGAATGGCATTATATTATGCACAGTGAAGACCCATAGAATGCAGTCTGAATGGCATTATATTATGCACAGTGTAGACCCATAGAATGCAGTATGAATGGCATTATATTATGCACAGTGAAGACCCATAGAATGCAGTCTGAATGGCATTATATTATGCACAGTGAAGACCCATAGAATGCAGTATGAATGGCATTATATTATGCACAGTGTAGACCCATAGAATGCAGTATGAATGGCATTATATTATGCACAGTGTAGACCCATAGAATGCAGTCTGAATGGCATTATATTATGCACAGTGAAGACCCATAGAATGCAGTATGAATGGCATTATATTATGCACAGTGAAGACCCATAGAATGCAGTATGAATGGCATTATATTATGCACAGTGTAGACCCATAGAATGCAGTATGAATGGCATTATATTATGCACAGTGTAGACCCATAGAATGCAGTATGAATGGCATTATATTATGCACAGTGTAGACCCATAGAATGCAGTCTGAATGGCATTATATTATGCACAGTGTAGACCCATAGAATGCAGTCTGAATGGCATTATATTATGCACAGTGAAGACCCATAGAATGCAGTCTGAATGGCATTATATTATGCACAGTGAAGACCCATAGAATGCAGTATGAATGGCATTATATTATGCACAGTGTAGACCCATAGAATGCAGTATGAATGGCATTATATGCTCAGTGAAGACCTATAGAATGCAGTTTGTACGGCATTAAATGCTCAGTGTAGACCCATAGAATGCAATATGAATGGCATTGTATGCTCAGTGAAGACCCATAGAATGCAATTTGAACGGCATTATATTATGAACAGTGTAGACCCACAGAATGTAGTATGAATGGCATTATTTGCTCAGTGAAGACCCATAGAATGCAGTATGAATGGCATTATATGCTCAGTGAAGACCCATAGAATGCAATTTGAATGGCATTATATTATGCACAGTGAAGACCCATAGAGTGCAGTATGAATGGCATTATATGCTCAGTGAAGACCCATAGAATGCAATTTGAATGGCATTATATTATGCACAGTGAAGACCCATAGAATGCAGTCTGAATGGCATTATATTATGCACAGTGAAGACCCATAGAATGCAGTATGAATGGCATTATATTATGCACAGTGAAGACCCATAGAATGCAGTATGAATGGCATTATATTATGCACAGTGAAGACCCATAGAGTGCAGTATGAATGGCATTATATTATGCACAGTGTAGACCCATAGAATGCAGTCTGAATGGCATTATATTATGCACAGTGAAGACCCATAGAATGCAGTCTGAATGGCATTATATTATGCACAGTGAAGACCCATAGAATGCAGTATGAATGGCATTATATTATGCACAGTGTAGACCCATAGAATGCAGTATGAACGGCATTATATTATGCACAGGGAAGACCCATAGAATGCAGTCTGAATGGCATTATATTATGCACAGTGAAGACCCATAGAATGCAGTATGAATGGCATTATATTATGCACAGTGAAGACCCATAGAATGCAGTCTGAATGCCATTATATTATGCACAGTGTAGACCCATAGAATGCAGTCTGAATGGCATTATATTATGCACAGTGAAGACCCATAGAATGCAGTCTGAATGGCATTATATTATGCACAGTGAAGACCCATAGAATGCAGTATGAATGGCATTATATTATGCACAGTGAAGACCCATAGAATGCAGTATGAATGGCATTATATTATGCACAGTGAAGACCCATAGAATGCAGTCTGAATGCCATTATATTATGCACAGTGTAGACCCATAGAATGCAGTCTGAATGGCATTATATTATGCACAGTGAAGACCCATAGAATGCAGTATGAATGGCATTATATTATGCACAGTGAAGACCCATAGAATGCAGTCTGAATGGCATTATATTATGCACAGTGAAGACCCATAGAATGCAGTATGAATGGCATTATATTATGCACAGTGAAGACCCATAGAATGCAGTCTGAATGGCATTATATTATGCACAGTGTAGACCCATAGAATGCAGTCTGAATGGCATTATATTATGCACAGTGAAGACCCATAGAATGCAGTCTGAATGGCATTATATTATGCACAGTGAAGACCCATAGAATGCAGTCTGAATGGCATTATATTATGCACAGTGTAGACCCATAGAATGCAGTCTGAATGGCATTATATTATGCACAGTGTAGACCCATAGAATGCAGTCTGAATGGCATTATATTATGCACAGTGAAGACCCATAGAATGCAGTCTGAATGGCATTATATTATGCACAGTGAAGACCCATAGAATGCAGTCTGAATGGCATTATATTATGCACAGTGAAGACCCATAGAATGCAGTATGAATGGCATTATATTATGCACAGTGAAGACCCATAGAATGCAGTATGAATGGCATTATATTATGCACAGTGAAGACCCATAGAATGCAGTCTGAATGCCATTATATTATGCACAGTGTAGACCCATAGAATGCAGTCTGAATGGCATTATATTATGCACAGTGAAGACCCATAGAATGCAGTATGAATGGCATTATATTATGCACAGTGAAGACCCATAGAATGCAGTATGAATGGCATTATATTATGCACAGTGAAGACCCATAGAATGCAGTATGAATGGCATTATATTATGCACAGTGTAGACCCATAGAATGCAGTCTGAATGGCATTATATTATGCACAGTGAAGACCCATAGAATGCAGTATGAATGGCATTATATTATGCACAGTGAAGACCCATAGAATGCAGTATGAATGGCATTATATTATGCACAGTGAAGACCCATAGAATGCAGTCTGAATGGCATTATATTATGCACAGTGAAGACCCATAGAATGCAGTCTGAATGGCATTATATTATGCACAGTGAAGACCCATAGAATGCAGTCTGAATGGCATTATATTATGCACAGTGTAGACCCATAGAATGCAGTATGAATGGCATTATATTATGCACAGTGTAGACCCATAGAATGCAGTATGAACGGCATTATATTATGCACAGGGAAGACCCATAGAATGCAGTCTGAATGGCATTATATTATGCACAGTGAAGACCCATAGAATGCAGTATGAATGGCATTATATTATGCACAGTGAAGACCCATAGAATGCAGTCTGAATGGCATTATATTATGCACAGTGAAGACCCATAGAATGCAGTCTGAATGGCATTATATTATGCACAGTGTAGACCCATAGAATGCAGTCTGAATGGCATTATATTATGCACAGTGAAGACCCATAGAATGCAGTCTGAATGGCATTATATTATGCACAGTGAAGACCCATAGAATGCAGTATGAATGGCATTATATTATGCACAGTGTAGACCCATAGAATGCAGTCTGAATGGCATTATATTATGCACAGTGAAGACCCATAGAATGCAGTATGAATGGCATTATATTATGCACAGTGTAGACCCATAGAATGCAGTCTGAATGGCATTATATTATGCACAGTGAAGACCCATAGAATGCAGTCTGAATGGCATTATATTATGCACAGTGTAGACCCATAGAATGCAGTATGAATGGCATTATATTATGCACAGTGAAGACCCATAGAATGCAGTATGAATGGCATTATATTATGCACAGTGTAGACCCATAGAATGCAATATGTATGGCATTATATTATGCTCAGCGTAGACCCATAGAATGCGGTATGAAAGGCATTATATTAAGCACAGTGTAGACCCATAGAATGCAATATGTATGGCATTGTATACTCAGTGAAGACCCATAGAATGCAATTTGAACAGCATTATATTATGCACACTGAAGACCCACAGAATGCAGTATGAATGGCATTATATGCTCTGTGAAGACCCATAGAATGCAATTTGAACGACATTATATTTTGCACAGTGTAGACCCATAGAATGCAATATTAATGGCATTGTATACTCAGTGAAGACCCATAGAATGCAATTTGAACGGCATTATATTATGCTCAGCGTAGACCCATAGAATGCAATATGAATGGCATTGTATGCTCAGTGAAGACCCATAGAATGCAGTATGAATGGCATTGTATGCTCAGTAAAGACCCATAGAATGCTGTATGAATGGCATTATATTATGCACAGTGTAGACCCATAGAATGCAATTTGAACTTCATTATATAATGCACAGTGTAGACCTATAGAATGCAGTATGGATGGCATTAAATGCTTAGTGAAGAGCCATAGAATGCAATTTGAACGGCATTATATTATGCACAGTGTAGACCCATAGAATGCAGTATGGGTGGCATTAAAAGCTCCGTGAAGACCCATAGGATGCAATTTGAACGGCATATTATGCACTGTGTAGACCCATAGAATGCAATTTGAACGGCATTATATTATGCTCAGTGAAGACCAATAGAATGCAATTTCAACGGCATTATATTATGCACAGCGTAGACCCATAGAATGCAGTATGAATGGCATTATATTATGCACAGTGAAGACCCATAGAATGCAGTATGAATGCACAGTGAAGACCCATAGAATGCAGTATGAATGGCATTGTATGCTCTGTGAAGACCCATAGAATGCAATTTGAATGGCATTATATTTTGCACAGTATAGACCCATAGAATGTGTAGACCCATATAATGCTGTTTGAACTGCATTATATTATGCACAGTGTAGACCCATAGAATGCAATATGTATGGCATTGTATACTCAGTGAAGACCCATAGAATGCAATTTGAATGGCATTATATTATCATCAGCGTAGACCCATAGAATGCCATTTGATTGGCATTATTTGGCAACATAGATCCAGCCACGGTTCCATCCTAGAGAAATGCATGTGTGTGATGAATACAAAGCTTTCCATGTGACTTAGCAATGTTGGATTGTGTTTTTCCATGTAAACATTGCGTTTGTGTTCGTCGTCTCTCTTGGTTTTGTGCCTCCGCAGGACATCCTCCGGTGCGTCTGCATAAATCCCGGCCGCCTAACGAAAGGCCATGTGGGAGGCACTTACGGGCGTTTGTATCTCCAACGAAAGGTCTCCGAGGAAGGGTCCCAAAGCCCCTGCGTCTCTGCTCAAGTGGTCAAGATCTAACTGCATTTATGATCCCTATCAACAAACCGGTTGGAGCTGTTTTGGTCTCCCATCAGGATCAGGCCTTTTCTATGGCCACATAAAGTACTACCTTGCCTTGCATTATATGTTGTCATTGTGTGTCTCCAAGTCATTACCAAATTATGGGATTTTCTTGGCAAGGTTTGTTCCAAGGGAGGTTGGTCTTGGCCTTTCTCTGAGGCTGAGAGAGTGTGGCTTAGAATCATGGAATCCTAGAGTTCGAAGGGACCCCCAAAGACCATCCAGTCCAGCCCAATTTGCCAGGCAGGAATTGATCCGTTGGTCAGATTATTATAGAATCCTAGAGCTGGATGGAACCCCAAGCACTATCCAATCCAACAATCAAAGCCCTCCCGACAGTTGGCCATCCAGCCATCAGATGATGATGATTATTATTATTATCAAAGATTATATTATTATTATTATTATTATTATTATTATTATTATTATAGAATCCTAGAGTTGGAAGGGACCCCAAGCGCTGTCCAGTCCAACCCCATTCTGCTAGGTAAGAGAACACAATCAAAACCCTCCCGACAGATGACCATCCAGCCATCAGCTGATCATAATTATTATCAAAGATGATGATGATGATTGTAGAATCCTAGCGTTGGAAGGAACTCAAAGGGCCATCCAGGCCAACCCCATTCTGCTAGGCAAGAAGACACAATCAAAGCCCTCCCAATAGTTGGCCATCCAGCCATCGGATGCTCATTATGATGATGATGATGATTATAGAATCCTATTGTTGGAAGGAACTTCAAGGGCCATCCAGTCCAACCCCATTCTGCTAGGTAGGAAGATACAATCAAAGGCCTCCTGACAGTTGGCCATCCAGCCATCAGATAATCATTATTATTATTATTATTATCGAAGAAGAAATAGAAGAAGAAGAAGAAGAAGAAGGTGGTGGTGGTGGTGGTGGTGGTGGTGGTTGTTATAGAATCCTAGAAGGGACCCCATTCTGCTAGGGAAAAGAACACAATCAACATCCTCCCAACAGATGACCATACAGCTGATCATAATTATTATCAAAGATGATGATGGTGATGATTGTAGAATCCTAGTGTTGGAAGGAACTTCAAGGGCCATCCAGTCCAACCTCATTCTGCTAGTCAAGAAGACACAATCAAAGCCCTCCCAACAGTTGGCCATCCAGCCTCTGCTGAAAAACCTCCAGAGAAGGAGACTCATTATTATTATCAAAGACGGTGATGGTGATTATTATAGAATTCTAGAGTTGGAAGGGACCCCAAAGCCATCCAGCTGATCATTATTATGATTAAAGATGATGATGATGATGATGATCAAATCCTAGCGTTGGAAGGAACTCCAAGGGCCATCCAGTCCAACCCCGTTCTGCTAGGCAGGAAGACACAATCAAAGCCCTCCCAACCGATGACCATCCAGCCATCAGGTAATCATAATTATTATCAATGATGATGATGATAATTATAGAATCCTAGCATTGGAAGGGACCCCAAAGGCCACCCAGTCCAACCCCATTCTGCTAAGGAAGAGAACACAATCAAAATCCTCCCAACAGATGACCATACAGCTGATCATAATTATTATCAAAGATGATGATGATGATTGTAGAATCCTAGTGTTGGAAGGAACTTCAAAGGCCATCCAGGCCAACCCCATTCTGCTAGTCAAGAAGACACAATCAAAGCCCTCCTGACAGATGACCATCCAGTCATCAGCTGATCATAATTATTATTATCAAAGATCATTATTATTATTATTATTATAGAATCCTAGCCTTGGAAGGAACTCTAAGCACTATCCAGTGCAACCCCATTCTGCTAGGCAGGAAGATACAATCAAAGCCCTCCTGACAGTTGGCCATCCAGCCATCAGATGATCATTATTATTATTATTATCAAAGATTATTATTATTATTATTATTATTATTATTATTATTATTGAATCCTAGAGTTGGAAGGGACCCCAAAGGCCACCCAGTCCAACCCCATTCTGCTAGGGAAAAGAACACAATCAACATCCTCCCAACAGATGACCATACAGCTGATCATAATTATTATCAAAGATGATGATGGTGATGATTGTAGAATCCTAGTGTTGGAAGGAACTTCAAGGGCCATCCAGGCCAACCCCATTCTGCTAGTCAAGAAGACACAATCAAAGCCCTCCTGACAGATGACCATCCAGCCATCAGGTAATTATTATTATCAAAGATGATGATGATGATTATAGAATTCTAGAGTTGGAAGGACCTCCAAGGGCTATCCAGGTAAACCTCATTCTGCTAGGCAGGAAGACACAATCAAACCCCTCCCAACAGATGTACATCCATCCTCTGCTTCGAAATTTCCAGAGAAGGAGACTCCATCATCATTATTATTATCAAAGATGATGATGATAGAATCCTAGAGTTAGAAGGACCCTAAAAGCAATCCAGTCCAACCCCATTCTGCTAGGCAAGAGAACACAATCAAAACCCTCGCAACAGATGACCATCCAGCCATCAGCTGATCATAATTATTATCAAAGATGATGATGATTATTATTATAGAATTCTAGAGTTGGAAGGACCTCCAAGGGCTATCCAGGTAAACCCCATTCTGCTTGGCAAGAAGACACAATCAAATCCCTCCTGACAGATGTACATCCATCCTCTGCTTCGAAACTTCCAGAGAAGGAGACTCCATCATCATTATTATTATCAAAGATTATGATTATTATAGAATCCTAGAGTTGGAAGGGACCCCAAAGGCCATCCAGTCCAACCCCATTCTGCCAGGCAGGGGGACACAGTCCAAGCCCTCCTGACAGATGGCCGAACAGCCTTTGCAGCAGCTAGGACAGGGAATTTCACCCTGGCGTTTGAAAGGGTTTTGGTATTTATACCTATAACCTTCAGCACGGGCCAAGGAGATTAGCCTTGGACCTTGTTCCTGACGTTGCTGAAGTTACCTTTGGACGTTGGTATTTATGGCAGGGAAACACGTCTTGGGTTTGCGATGGGGAGGAAGGAATGCCTGGATTCAAGCCTGCGCTTGCTCACGTTCGCACATATATGTGCCGTTTCCCAACTAGCTGCTTCCAGAACAGGTCTCTATGGGATCAAACATTTATGTTAAAGGACGCTTTGTTGGAGGCCCGCAGGCGTCAAGCCGTTGATCCTCCTCGGAAAGACGCTCGCATTCCTTAATTCAAATCCTTGTCGTCTTCCATTGTTTTCTTTTATTCCTTTTGCTTTGCTGCCCATTTTTGATGATATGTTTTGGAACGTGGATCGTTTTAATTACATTTTATTACTATATAGGAACGCCACCCTGCTCGCTGTCAGCACGGAAGGTTGTTTTAAAACACTGTAATTAACATTTTATGAATGAGGACAATTTGGAGTTACTTGGGGTCAGGAGAAGGAGGATTCCCAGCAGACCGGAGGATCATAGAATCCTAGAGTTGGAAGAGACCTCGTGGGCCATCCAGTCCAACCCCATTGTGCCAAGAAGCAGGAAAATTGCATTCAAAGCACCTCTGCGAAGGTGTTTAGAGTAGCTTGTAGGTCTTCTTCTGAATGCGCATAGATGACGTTGTCATCAGCATACTGGAGTTCTATAACAGATGTTGTTGTAACCATAGAATCATATAGTTGGAAGAGACCTCGTGGGCCATCCAGTCCAACCCCATTGTGCCAAGAAGCAGGAAAATTGCATTCAAAGCACCTCTGCGAAGGTGTTTAGAGTAGCTTGTAGGTCTTCTTCTGAATGCGCATAGATGACGTTGTCATCAGCATACTGGAGTTCTATAACAGATGTTGTTGTAACCATAGAATCATATAGTTGGAAGAGACCTCGTGGGCCATCCAGTCCAACCCCATTGTGCCAAGAAGCAGGAAAATTGCATTCAAAGCACCTCTGCGAAGGTGTTTAGAGTAGCTTGTAGGTCTTCTTCTGAATGCGCATAGATGACGTTGTCATCAGCATACTGGAGTTCTATAACAGATGTTGTTGTAACCATAGAATCATATAGTTGGAAGAGACCTCGTGGGCCATCCAGTCCAACCCCATTGTGCCAAGAAGCAGGAAAATTGCATTCAAAGCACGTCTGCGAAGGTGTTCAGAGTAGCTTGTAGGTCTTCTGAATGCGCATAGATGATGTTGTCATCAGCATACTGGAGTTCTATAACAGATGTTGTTGTAACCATAGAATCATAGAATCATAGAGTTGGAAGAGACCTCATGGGCCATCCAGTCCAACCCCCTGCCAAGAAGCAGGAAAATTGCATTCAAAGCACCCCTGACAGATGGCCATCCAGCCTCTGTTTAAAAGCCTCCAAAGAAGGAGCCTCCACCACACTCCGGGGCAGAGAGTTCCACTGCTGAACAGCTCTCACAGTCAAGAAGTTCTTCCTCATGTTCAGATGGAATCTCTTTTCTTGTAGTTTGACGCCATTGTTCTGCGTCCTTCGTACCCGAAAATTTCCATCAGTGCCTTGAGGCTGTTACTGGATGGTTGCGTGCCAGCAGGTTGAGGGTGAATCCAGCGAAGACGGAGATCCTTTGGCTGGGCCGTCCGGGTGGGAGGGAGATCCAGCTGCCTACCCTGGATGGCGAGACACTACGTCCGTCACCTTCTGTAAAAAGCCTTGGTGTCTTATTGGACCCACTGCTCACAATGGAGGCCCAGGTCTCTGCTGTGAGCAGATCCGCGTTTTTCCATCTACATCAGGCTAGGCGACTGGCTCCCTACCTATCTAGGAACGACATGGCTACGGTCATGCCAGACTAATCTGATCTCTTTTTTCGATAGAGTTACAAGCTGGATAGATGCGGGGAATGCCGTGGATGTAGCGTACCTGGATTTCAGGAAGTCCTTCGACAAGCTCCCCCATGACCTTCTGGCAAGGAAACTAGTCCAATGTGGGCTAGGCAAAACTACGGTGAGGTGGATCTGTAATTGGTTAAGTGGACGAACACAGAGGGTGATTCTCACCAATGCTTCCTCTTCATCCTGGAAAGAAGTGACGAGCGGAGTGCCATCAGCAGGGTTCCGTCCTGGGCCCGGTCCTGTTCAACATCTTTATTAATGACTTAGATGAAGGGTTA